AATGCGATCACCCTTGAAATGACTATACTTTTTCCGTGTTATTAATACAGTTGATTTTTTTATATCAATTTTTTTTTTAATTTTTATATCAAATGCACTCGATTCATGATCTTTGTGACTAATGTTATAATAATATTTCTTTTTTTTTTCAATTTACAAGAAGTTTTAATAATAATTGAACCAGAAAGCGCGCGAGTGTCACTTTTTGTACTTTTTTTTATTATAAATTATTATATTTTATTTTTAATTAATAAATTAATAAATAATAAATTAACGTAGGTAATTTAATTATTATTATTATTATTCTTATTATTATTAGTATTATCGATATCTTATTTATTTATTATTATTATTATTATTATTATTATTATTATTATTATTATTATTATTATTATTTATTATTATATATTATTATGTATTATTATTAATAGCTGCTTAGGGCCTCGGCTTGCCAGGAGCCCCCAAATTTTTGTAAGGTAAATTTTTTTTTCAAATTTTTAATTGCAATGATGTCACGCACTCACTTCAATCATTTATTTTAAAATAAGTAAACAAAAACATGAATTTTTTCAATATAATTAAAATTGTTTGCAGTTTTCTATACAGACTTCTGGTTCTCGATTAATCGCAATGCAATTTGTATTTTTCTTCTTTTTATAATCTCATTTCTCCTTATAATTCAGCAAAGAGAACATTACCATATAATGCCATCTACATTGGTAACGAATAACTATTTCAAAGCTTACGCACCAAGTTGGCTCAGCCCTGCCATGACTATGTTGATCAGCTGGTATCAGAACATCAACATGGCGCATCAGTATTAACATGAAAATAGTTTATGTTTATTTCAATTATAGTTCAATCGATTAGAAATTAGTAACAATAAATTAGTGTTATTCAAACGCTTACACTTTATTTTTCGTTTTTGTTACTTAGTCAAAAATATCTTTGTCAAAGACAACGAAGCGGGTAAGAGGTCCATTCTGCAATTCGTTTATAACCTGAAAAGACTCATTTTGTATATAAAAATAGATCTTACTTTTAATCTATTTTTTTTGGACTTTAATATGACAGAATTGCAAATCACTCAGTTCTTTTTGTTAATATTCATTGTATTTTTTACATAATTTGTAATAGAATTTGTTATAATAATAAATAAACATTTGTTCGGAATTTTTCTCAGGCAGAATTTTGGTTATAAATTTCGATCCTAAGTAATCTTGTAAAAATACAAGTTTACTGCATCATTTTAAAAACATTGTTGTTAATTTAAATATATATTTAAATTAAAGGTATATACAAAATACATTTATTTTAAAAAGTGTTTTATTACCCCACTTGGAAAGATTCACCGGAAAGTGCCCCCTGGAGGTTCTATCAGAATTCCGCCGGAACTTCCAACGTAATTCCGTCGGAATCCCATCGGAAATTCTTTGGAATTCCGACGGAATTACGTTGGAATTTCCGGCGGAATTCTGATAGAACCTCCAGGGGGCACTTTCCGGGGAATCTTTCCAAGTGGGACGTTATAATGAAACTTTCATCAGTTTTTGATGTGAAGTTGTCTAATTTTTTATCTCAAATTTCAAAAGGGCTGAGTGCTTAGGGCCCCTTTTTTGGTAACTCCTGTCTAGTGCTTAGGGCTCCAGTAGGTGTAAATCCGGCTCTGAGTATTATTATTAATTATTATCATTTAAACAGTTTTAGTTTTTTCATCCAGTTATAATAATTATAAAATAATTTTCTCATGATATTCTGTTAAATATTTATTACAAAGTTGTACGACTTGATTTTGTAATAAATTTTTATCCAGAATATCATGAGAAAATTATTTTAAAATTATTATTATTATTATTATTATTATTATTATTATTATTATTATTATTATTATTATTATTATTATTATCTTAAAATTGAATACAACTAAATAAAAAGAATTCCCGTTTTAGTAGAAAAACATTTAGGGATTTATTAGTTTATTTTTTTTCTTCCTTTTTTTTTTGAGATAAAATATGCGAAGAAATGATAATTTTTGGAAGTCATGCGAATATAAACTCTAATCCAAGATTAACCTCGTTTTCAATTAGAATCTTGAAGAGCATGCGGGCACCTTTGAATCATCGAGGTCGAGGGGAAACGTTCATTTATACTCAATATTGTGGAATCACCGATCCTCCACTATATATATAATAGTAAAATTTATGCTGGTGCATTATTGGAATTTTCTGCTAAAAATGACTTTTAGAAATTTATTTATTTTGTTTTTTTATAATTATACCCAATTTTTTTAAATTTTCAATTATTATTTAATTTAATAAATATTAATTAAACTATACCTATAATTGATAGATTAAATTATAATTAAGAATAAGAATTATTTATAATAATAAATTAGTAAAAAAATAGTAACTAATTTGAATTAGTAAAATTTAACCTATAATTAATAATTTAATAGTGAAATTAATAATATATAGTGAAAATTCAAATTTATAGAGAGTACATAATATTTAGATCATTAATCCAAATATGAAAATCTCTGAATCATGCAAAACTCTCAGAAAAGGAAAGATTTCTATGCTTTTCTCGGTAACTCGACTTTGATTTGTCCTATCCGCCAAGACGCTCCTTTTTCTGAAGTAATTTTCTAAAGATAGACGACCCCACGCTTTATACGAATCATTTGTCGTCTGAAAGTTGACACGATCTTTCTGAGAATATCTTTTTCTAGCAAAAAAAAAAAAAAAAATTTTTTTTTTTTTAAATCTTCTCGCTTTCCATTTTAAATAAATAATAATTTTACTTTATTAAAATATTAATTTTTCATGTCCTATGAAATTATTTACTTCTACTTAATAATTTAATTTAATTTAAAAAAAAATATTCTCTAAATTTGATAGTTATGTCGCTGTAGTAATAATACTAATAATAATAATATGATAATATCAATGATATATAATATTAAAAATAATAATAATAATTCAAAGTTCAGAGATTGTTTAACATAGGTTTAGAATGTGCACCTGGAATGTAAAATTGAAACTCCCTTGAATAGGACAAACTTCCCACGATAAATTTTCAAAGTGACTAATTTCTGATAACCAAAGTATATTTTATAACTATGCGAGAGCGAGAGGGGTTTGATTTATTTTACTCGACAATATACATACCTGCGCTACATATATGTATATAAATTATAATGATGGGCGCGCCTCCTTTAAAGCCGGCCATTATATTTATTAAGAGGAATCTTGTTTCGCATATTGTCAATGATACGTTATAAACTTACCTACACTGCACTTGGAGGAAAAAAAAAAAAAAATAGAAAAAGAAAAAGTCGAATAAAAAATTTCTCATGACAATAGCTCGCCTTCGCTTTAGTTTCACCTGAGAATGCACTTTACCTATTTGCGTGGCACTATGTGGCTTATTATTATTATTATTATTATGAAGCTATCAATGAATACCATTTAAAACCATATAATAAGTATTGTAATAGATTTTTATTTCTGTATTTAAAAAAAAAATCTATGAAAAATTATTATATTTAAAATAAAAAAAAAAAACTTGTACTATATTTAAAAATATTGATTCTTTTGTACACCCAGAAAAAAGATTTCTTTGATTCAAAGAAATCAATTTCTTTGGCAAATTTTTCTTTGATATAAAGAAAATTTGTTTCAAAACAAATTATCTTTGATTTAAAAAAAAAGAATTATCTTTGTTTCAAAGAAATTTTTTTATTTAATTCAAATAAATGTTTCTTCGACCCTATATAATATCAATGTTTGAATTTCTTTGATTAAATGCACAAATATTTCTTTCATTCAAAGAAAATTTCTCTTTGAATAAAAAAAAATTGTCTTTGAAACTAAGAAGCTTTTTTTTGTTTCAAAGAAAATTTTTTTTTTTTTTGAATGAATAAGAAAACAAGTCAAAGAAATTGGTTTTTTGAAATCAAAGAAATCTTTTCTCTAATGAGTGATACTGTAAAATAATAAAATATATTTATTTGATTCAAATAATCGGATATACTTGACTATTGGGAAACAAATATTTATATTCAAGTGAATTAGAATTTATTTGAGTGAATTATAATATTATTTGCCTTCGAAATCAAAATTATTGTTTTATTTATTATTATTTGTTCATTAATTTTATTGTTGGTTTATTTAATTATTCAAATAAAAATTATTTGTTTCAAGTAAATATTTACTTGGTGGTTCAAATAATGATTTATTTGATAATAGTAAAGTAACCGATTATTTGAATCAAATACGTTTTTTTCAGTGTATGTCATTTGTAAGTTAGTATTGAAATTGCAAAAATAATAATAATAATAATAATAATAATAATAATAATAATAATAATAATAACACTTCATAATAATAATAATGCACTGAAAAAAAATTTATTTGATTCAAATAAAAATTATTTGGTTCAAGTAAATATTTATTTTATAATATTTGAATCAAATAAATTTTTTTTTCAATGTTTGAAGATTAAATTTTATAGTATGTACTTATATAATAAGTCGTATTATTATCTTTTAATATGATCATCTTATAAAATGTATCTTGATGTTTTCGCGCCGATTACATTTGTTTGACATGGCAGAATACTTTATTCTTATTGATTGATAGAATAAAACTTATCTGATTTATTCTACCTCTATTACACACACGATTGGTCAACACTTATCTTTTTTTCAAAAAGGGGACTGACGTTTTAATTTCATATTATTGCAACTCCCATTTTTCTCGTTAATTTATTATAATAAATTTGTCGCATACTTTCCTCTATATTTTTAAATATAATTTATTCTTACAAAATGAAAAAAATTTGACGCAAAGTAAAAAATACTCTTATAAATTAAGAATATATTATTATTTTGAGAGTAGTATGTAATATAATATTTTTTCAATAATAATAAAAAAAAATTCAATTTTTTTTAAATGCTTTTAATTCTCATATAAAATTTGTAATTTTGTTTTTGTTTCTAGTTTAATTTTGTTGGACGAATCCTGGGTCCACGTGGTATGACTGCAAAACAGTTGGAACAAGAAACGGGATGCAAAATCATGGTGCGAGGAAAGGGTTCGATGAGGGATAAAAAGAAGGTAAATATAAATTTATTTTTTTATTTATTTTTTTTTTTTAAATAAATACAAATTTCTCTATTTTATTATTTTGTCAAAATTACGGACAATTATAGGTCTCCTAATAATTAGGCGGTAATTAGGTTGAACAAGTTTGAACTTCACAACTGGCACATAATTTTGAAACAGTGCCAAAAATTCTGTTTTATCCAAGACTGACATCTTTTCGTGTGTGAATTTTCACAACAACAACAACAACATCAAAAAATAAAATAAAATACTTTACTTTCTGAAAATTTTCATTATAATGAGGTATTCCACGCCAAATCAGACACCATTTACATCTCCTTTTTTGAAACTTGTTTCTTTTAGTACTAGTTGAAACTAACTTTAATGATTTAAAAAAAAAAATTTTACAAAAAAAACTACTTCCGTTTAGAAAAATTTTAGGCCTGGTCCGGTCGTAGGCAATATTTTCGGAATTTAAAATTTTTTAAAAATATCCCCAGGTTTTTCTTCAAAAACTATATAACCGAATATTTGATTTTTATAGTGATTGGTTGAAATTAATTTTTATTAAAGTTCAATTTGTTGGCGTTAAAAACCATTTTTGGAGTTTTGAGGTTATGTAAGCGTAGATGGCGCAACTAATTTGCGCGCGAAATTTAAATTCTGAAAAAGAAATTCAATTTACTTGAAAGTTAAAATTTTTTAATATTTCCTTTAAATTCCCCCTCTTTAATGTAAATCATCATTTTCTTTTTTTACAATATTACAAGAAGCGAGTTTAGTAATATTTATCTCTAATGGCTTAAATATAATAATGGTACAGTTTTAAGACAATGATTTTTAATGAGACTACATGCGGAACGTTTAAAATGAGAGTAAAATTAATATATTCAACGCAAGCAATTATTATTATATTGCATATGAATCGTTTCGTCTTATGGGGCAAAATATATTCAATGGTATATATTATAAAATATCGTTATACGAACTTTGCTAGAGCAATAATGCAGTCTGTGCAACACTTTTTTTTTCCTATTCAAGTCCCACTCGTATATATGTCTATATTCACATTAATTTGATAGTGAACATTCCAGGCGTATATATATATAGATATTTCGTTTCTTTTCCACGGAGTCGTGCTCCAATGAGAGTGGTCGCATAACTCGAGTGTCTCATAACTTTGAATATACACTTTAAAACAGCAAAACGTGTTCGAAATAATTCTATGGGAATAGTACTTTTAATTCTAATTTTTTAATCGAATTTTCACTTTCACTTTCATTGATTCTAATTTTTACTCTTATTTTCACTTTGACTGCCCACTGATTCTAATTTTCACTCTCATTTTCACATTCACTTCCATTTTCACTGATTAGAAATTAGCGAAAGTTAAAATTTAATTAAGAATGGAAATTAGAATCAGTGAAAGTGAAAATAAAAATTAGAATCCATAGAAGTGGTAGTGAAAATGGGAATAAAAATTAGAATCAGTAGAAGTAAAAATAAAATTATATAATTGGCCCCACGTTCAAATTTTAACTTTTGTTTCGTATAAAGTTAGAAGTTTAAAATTTCAACATAGTTATTTTGTTTTTCATCATCGGTTTTGGAATTTTTACCACATTTAAAAAATATGTTTTACCAGATTATTGTAAATTAAATATTTAAATTTAGTATAGGCACTAAAGGTAAATTAAAATATAAGCATAAAGTTTAAAATTTGTAACAATTGAAATTATTATTATCTAATTAATAGATAAATAAAGTAAATGTGTCGTTACTGACACCTCATTATAATTTGAATTCTCCCGCGGTATGAATTTCAAAAAGTTGTAGATGGCGCTTTCAGCCCGCGTCCGAGCAGACGACAAACGCACGTTTCTCGCGTCTCGCCTGCTGGCAAAAAGATATAAAGACTCTCAGAGTGAAGCGATTCGTTGCATTCACACCGGTCTTAATTGTAACATTTCATTACATATTCCGCGGAATAATTGTAATAGAATCACCGATTATCACAGGCCTACAAAATTTTCGATTTTGTCAGACCCAGAATCCGGACTAGTCATTTTTCATGTAATTTTTCACGCTGAATCCAAAAATGACAGCGAAATTGGTCTATCACGTCAGGATTTTGAGATATTCTAACCTGAAAGCGTGAAAAAGACCGTTTTTGGCAACATTCAATCATCTATAAAATCTTCAAAAATTTTTTTTAAACATAGGTCCAAATTTTTAAAGAAAGTACTACTATTCACCTTTCAAAATTTTATTGGCCCGTTCCGATCCGATTTCTTTTCACTGAGATACAGCCATTTGAGTTTTACGTTACACGACCTAAAAACTTTTTAAAAAAGGAAAAATAAAATTGCAAAGAACTTCAACTAAAACTCGTTACTAGGGGGGTTTTTGGAGTCGTTGATTGCAATTTTAATGTCAGATTTTCGAAATTAAAAATTTCGGATTCAATATGGCGGATATTTTTTTAAATTCAACTGATTCGCTTGAAAATCGCGTAACTTGGGAGTATTTTAGATCTTTGATGACGATTCTGATAGCAGCCGTATTGGATCCGACATTTTTTCGAAAATCTGGCATCGTTATCGTAATCAGCTACCTCGAAATCCCCCGAGTAACAAGTTTCAATTTAATTACTTAATTTTCCTTTTTTTAGGGTTTTCAGGTCGTGTAACGCAAAATTTAAATGGTTGTATCTGAATGAAAAAAAATCGGATTTGAACGGGCCAAGAAAATTTTAAAAGGCAAATAGTAGTACTTTCTTTAGAAATTTGAACCAACGCTTAAAAAAATTTTTTGGAGATTTTATAGATGATTGAATGTTGCCAAAAACGGCCTTTTTCACGCTTTTAGGTTAGAATATCTCGAAATCCGGACGTGATAGAGCAGTTTCGCTGTCATTTTTGGATTCAGCGTGAAAAATTACATGGGAAATGACTATTCCGATTTCTGGGTCTAAAATTTGTAGATCTGTGATTAGCATTCAGGATTTATAATAAAGTTATTGTGTCATTTTATATGAATTGTTTTATTAATATTGTGAACAAATTGAACGAGAAAATTATTGAATTATCGCAAATAACAATTCCAAATGCCAAGGATCAAATCTTTTTATCTTTTAGATTTGGCCGCTCATTTAGTTTTCATTTTTTTTTTTTTTTTTTTTTTATTATTTTTATGGGATACTGATTCGATCATTCGTATTGTGGGAATTAAATTCGATCTTTGTGGCATTGTGGCTTCCAACCAAATCTTAACCTGCGTATTAAAATTATTTAATAAATTGAATTAATCTTGGATTTGGGTTTTATTATTTTATATTAGACATGTGTATTGAGGTTAGGTTAAAGTAAAGTTATAGTTTTAGAGGTTTTAGAATAAAATTTGAGGTTATACGTTAGATTATGTATAAGCTTTGAAGTCATATGAAATGTGAGGTTATGTTAGGCATAAAGGTTTAATATTAGGCCAGGCATAAGATTTTGAAATTAGATCAGGCTTAAGATTTAAGGTTAAGTTTGACATAAGGTATGAAAATTAAATTAGATCCAAAAGTTTATTGTTTAGGTTAGGAATACTCTCTCTAAATTCGAATTAGTGAAAATTCGTTCCCTAATCGAAATTAATGAAAATTTCTACTACTTTTAAATTTTCACTAATACTTTAGTAAAAAAAAAATATTACTAAATCAAATAGTAATATTTTACTAAAAATTAGTGAAAATTTCTACTAATTTGAATTAGTTAACAAATTGTCACTTCTTAAAATTTAGAGAGTAATATTTCGAAATTATGTTAAAATCTTAGATGTAAAATCAAAGATTCGATTGGGCATAAAGTTTGAGGTTAGGTTGTATGCTCAAAGATAAGTATTTTATATTAAATAATTGATTCATATTTATGTAAAATTAACAAAAATAATTACTAAAAAAAAAAGAAAAGAAAACAATTTTTTTAACAATTAATTGTAGACTTTAAAAATGCTGACAGAACATTAAAGGAGAAGTCGATAAAATAAATATATATATGTGTAAAATAGAAAACCTCATAAAAATTGTATTCGTCGCTTGAAAACAGATGTATTCATAGATAATCAATAACTTTTTAAGAGTTCCTATATATATATTTTTCCACTGATGTGTTTTGTTGATGTGTAATTCTTGCGAAAAAAAAAACTATTAGAAACTCGTTATAGAAAAGTTGTGCCATAAACATTTGCCCTTATACAGAGGTATAAATTAGCAAAAATTAAGGTCTACTTCGATTACTTAGATCCATTTTCAGCGTAATCGTCCTCAGCTGCGTAAAATAGAATTTAAGTAGATTTACGTTAAGGTATTTCTCTTTCTTTCTCCCTCATTTAAAAAAAAATTTTTTTTTCTTCCCATGGTTAGTCAATCACATGAAAGTGAGATTTTTCATTTATTCTCTTTTCCTTCTCACATATTGAATAAATAAAATTTTTCAAAATTTTTTCTCGACATTCATTTCTACACTAAAAAAAAATTTATTTTATTCAAATAATCTGTTGACTAGTATCAAATAAATATTTACTTAAACCAAATATTCAATTCACTCAAATAAATATATTTATTTGAATAAAATAATTTTTATTTTTCAATTAAATAAATTTTTTTTTGAAATAATTTCGATTTTTCAAACAAATACAATTTAATTGATTCAAATAATAATTATTTAATAAAAAAATAAATATTTGATAATTTTCAAATTCAACCAAACACTTACAGAGAGAGAGAGATATATTATTAATCCTCTTCGTGAATTATTATATCATTAACTTTGTAAATTATTGAAATTTTGTATATATAAAAAAAATATGTAATATAGGTAATTTTAAAGTATAATATATATAATTTATATAATTGAAAGTTAAATCCTTGAAATAAAATATAATCTTAAAGTCAACTCAGCAGAAAAATATATGCAGTTGGCTGTGCTTAACGGTACATATATAAAGTAATTGAGATGCCACACACGTACATCGCAATTGTCCCAAGACATTTGGAGATACCTCGATGACTTTATTTGCCACAGAAATTTTTTTTTCTTTTTTATAAATTTATCAATTATTTTTCTTTCATTAGGATTATATACTATTTATATATTTATTATACATGGAATTAATTAATTAATATTGAACTGTTTTTTGTATATTTTTTTTTGTAGAAATAAATTTTCGTTAATTAAAAATACTTTACATAATTTTTTTTCATAATAAACGAATATTTTTCAAGCTGCATAAAACAGATTTTTCGTAAGTATACTAAAATAATATTTTTTTTTTTTATTGATGTTTTCTTTGTTATTTTCTTTACACACTTTGGTAATATTTTGATTTTCAGTTGCACTTCTATTTCTTTTTTTGTGTCACTAGTTCACGAAGCTGATGTACGCAACATTTATATAAACGATTTTTAAAGAAATAAAATTTTTTAAAATAAAAAATTCTATAATTTTTTGCCTAAATATTATTTTTTTATAATTTGTTGATTAATAAAAACTACAAGAAATATATTTTTTAGACAAAAAATTAAAGAATTTTTCATTTTAAAAAATTATTTCTTTAAAAATCGTTTATATAAACGTTGCGTACTTCAAGCTTTGTCTATTTCAATATTTATGTAGGCTAAAATAAATACTGACCGTTCAAATGAATCAAATCATTTTTTTGGTCTATAATTTTTTTTTTTTTTTAAATTACTTCAGAATTAAAAAAGTAAAAAAATGTAAATTATACCTTCAATAAATAATTAATTTATTTTTAAATTCAAAAAGTAATATTTCATAAGAAATTTCAAAGTTAAAAAGTAGTAAACAAATTTTTCGTCCATTTGAACGTTCAAAACTTCAGGCAAATTAATATTTATTAGATTATGTTTTTAAAATATAATTATTATTATTGTATTATTACTGTTATTATTATTATTATTATTATTATTATTATTATTATTATTATTATTATTTTTATTATATTTTATATTATTATAAAATTATTGTTCGATTACGTTAGTTTACTGTCAATCGGAATTGTATATACAGTTGGAATTTAATGGTTTTTGTATTTTTTTATTTTTATTTCTTGTTTTTTTTTTGCATCATCGCAGGACTGACATTTAATTCTCTTGTTTTATGATTTCCCAGGAGGAGCAGAATCGGGGTAAACCTAATTGGGAACACCTGACAGACGAGCTTCATGTTCTGCTCACAGTTGAAGATACCGAGAATCGTGCCACCCTGAAACTTGCCCGAGCCGTCGAGGAAGTCAAGAAGCTACTTGTGCCCGTGGTGAGACAGTTCCGAACTTTAATTCATAATTCATACCTTATAAAAAAAATAAAAAAAAAAAAAATAAAAACTTTCATTTCACACAAATATTTATAAATCTTACAATTAATTTTTTCAATTACGCTTTTCTGGAAAATAAATTTTTTAAAAATTAATGATTTGCCATAAAAATTAATAATTAGAATTTCTATTTAAAATTTTATACTTATTCATATTTTTACATAAATTATCATTTATCAAATTATTAACATTTGACAGAATTTCCTTTTTTTAAAAACAAATTTTTATTTAATTGATTTTTTAAATACCGAATTTTTATTTGAGAGTAATTTTTTATTTTACATAATTTCTCGCTTACTCAACTATTTTTTTAATTGAAAAAATTCTAATTTAAAAAAAATTTTATAATTTAGCAGAATTCTCATTCAACAGAATTTTAAGTGTTTCAAATTTTTAAATATATCAGAATTTTCAATTCGACAAATATTTATTTGTCCGAATTTTTATTTGCAAACATTTATTTTTTTGATAGAATTGTTAAAAGGCCAAATTTTTATTTGTCCGAAATCCACAAATGACCGAAAATATTTCGTCCCGAATTTCAAAATAAACCAATGAAAATTTTCTTCCTAATTCTGAATTGATTTATTTTAGTACATGAACGCCAAAATCTTTCTGTCGATTATTACTTGTCGAACATTTGCAAATTTTGGACAAATGGAAATTCGGCGTTTTAACAATTCTTTCGAATAATAATTCGTAAAAACAAAAATTCGTTCAAATATAAATTCGGTAAATTTTTTTTTGTTAAATGCCAATTCAAACAATGAAAATTCGTCTAAAAAATAATTTTTATCTGAAAAAAATGCTTTAAAATGAAAATTCGAATTATTAATGTTTTATGGCTAATTTATGTGACCATTTTAATTAATTTTCAAAAAAAAAAACTGAAATGGTCCATTTGTTGTCCACACTCTTTTCTTAGTATATATATATTTATTTCTAATGCAGTAATTATAGAAGTTTTTTTCCGCATTGGAATTATAATTGTGTCTCAAAAGTGAAAAATGATTATCGACTATAGTATATATATAGTTGATCCCACAAAGAAAGGTCGTCAATCAGATTGTCGGAGTGATTAATCTTAAATCTGTATTACTGTAGAATTATAGAATTGTATATTTGCCTCGGTAATTCATCACCTTTCGCGCAGCGCAATTACGGACCTTCTTAAAGAGATTTTAATGATACGCGGAACTCTTATTTATATATATAAATCTTTATCTGATTACACAAAGATTTATTTTAATTGCTCATATATGTATAAATAAATAAGTGTTGTATGTGTGTAGTATATTGAAAAAGAAATTTTTTTTGACAAGATTGTCGGATGTGAAGAGGCAGAAAGTTCTTAATCCTGTTTTTTTTTTATCTTATTATCACCTCGTCTAATCGTTTGATGAAATCAGACAAGCGAACTTGACATATGTAAATATCTCTACCCTTCCGTGCTATTCACATGCATTCAATGTATTGAAATCTATATCCATGTGCAACAGGCGTGGTATCATTGTGACTTTTATCAAGAATCAATTGAATGCATTCCTCAAGGGGCGGATTTTTTTTTTTCTATTTTTTTCCTAATTAATTTTATTGAATATTTTTAAAAAATTTCTAGTCAAAATTATAAATTTTTCAAGACGCATAATTATGTTCTAAAAATCATTAGTTAGAATTTTCATTGTATGGAATTTTATTTGTCATAATTATTTTTGAGCCGAATTTTTATTTGTTCGAATTAGTATTTTGCAGAATTGCATTTTTTGCATTTTTTGCATTTAACATAATAGACATTTTAAAGAATTTTTATTGGGTAGAATTTCATTGCATAGAATTTTATTTCAAATAAATGTGCATTTGTTCGAATTTATATTTGATATAATTTCCATATAAGTATAGAACAGAAACATCGAAACTTTTCAATGTCGGTAAATGTCGATAATAGAAATCTGTATTGATAAACAAATAAAAATTATAGTCTGCTTTTTATAGTATACAGGACAGAAAAACTAAAACTTTTCAATGTCGGTAAATGTCGATAACAGAAATCTGTATGGTAGAATTTCTCCTAAAAATATTTATTCTAATTCTATGCAATGAAATTCTACCCAATAAAAATTCTTTAAAATGCCTATTATGTTAAATGAAAATTCGAGAAAATAAAAATTCGTACAAATAAAAATTCTGTGAAGTAAATTTTCGGTTATATAAAAATTCTGTAATATAGAAAATCATTTTGATGAAAATTCTATGCATAATACTAATTCGAACAAATAAAAATTCGTCTTTAAAATAATTATGTCAAATAAAATTCCATAAAATGAAAATTCTAACTAATTATTTTTAGAACATATAATCATGCGCGTCCCAATTTTTCAGAAAAAAATTTGCAGTTTTTGAATAGTCACAAAGAATATTTCTCAAAATTTGAAACACTTAGAAAGTGGGCCATTAAGTTTTAATAATAATATTCACGGGGAACACCTGCGATGCTAAAATTTACTTTTGAGAGACACAACTTTGCAAATGACACATATATATATATGAAGGCTGAAATTTATATAAAAGAGTGCCTCGCTGCCAAAGCCACCGCGCGCATCAGCAATATATACACGGAATCCTTGCCAAAGTCACATATATCTTTTCTCAGTTATTACACTCGTGTCGAGAGTTTATGCCATAATTCTCTTTCTCTTTCTTACCACTCTGAGAATCTAAGGAATTTAACTTTAAGCTGACGTCTTTTCTTCACGCGGGACACATTTCATTTTCCTATACGCGAGAAGACATTCAAATTACTTAGCTTGTCAAATTTTCAAATAACTTGAATATATATCGGCGATTCTCCAAAAAAAGAGGGTATTTTCATATCTTATTTTTAAAAAATAATTTTTTTTTTACTGAAAAAGTAATATTTCAACTGAAAAATTTTATGTCCTAACCTCAAAATTTTATAAAAAGAACTATTTTAAATTCATCAATCCAATTAATATATATTCAACTGATTTGAAAAGACAAAAATAAACTTTATTGAAGTTGTGGTCCATTACTGAGAAATCCAATTTCCACCAATCACAGTAACTTTTAGACCTAGCGGTGAAAAATGGTACTACAAATCGCCTTCAGCGACAATTCCATTATTTCAATTGTAAGATTATTATTATAAAGAGTCATTAACTTTTGATATTGTCTGACGTTGATATCGATTGTTAGCAGGCCGATGGTGAGGACGAATTAAAGAAGAGACAACTTATGGAACTGGCCATAATCAATGGAACCTACAGAGATTCAAATTCAAAAGTTGCAGCAGCAGCAGGTAATTATTTCAAACTTAAAAAATTATTTTCAAAAAAGTTTTAAGCTTTAAAAGTCAAGTCCTGAAAAAAAAAAAAAAAAACATAAAGGCGATCGTCAATCCTAATAAGAAAAACAAAAAAAGTTTGAAATTTTAATTCCTGTTAAAACTCTAGTCGTAGGATACCACCTTGAGCCAACGCCATCAGTAAGATGCTCAGGTAGGATGACATGAAACGACTCTTATGAAATCTCGACACCAAATGACGTCCGGGTGACTTTGATATTTTATTTCTCTCACTCTTTCATTCTCTTTTCATTTTCTCTAACGAACAAGACAAAAAAATTATTAAAACATTTCTGACTAGACACAATCTTATATATACTAAACACTAAAATCCCTTGAATCGTTATTGTAACCAACATTGTCATTCGGACTATTAACAAAAAAAAAAGAAAAAAAAAGAAAAAGCACAAATAATTTTTTGACACCATTAAGTTTGAGATCAGTTTAAAAAATTGAGTTTAGCATTTGATATTGCAGCATGTGATGCTGAAGAATGGAGGCGCCTGGCAGCAGCAACAGCCGAGACACAACGTTTACTTCCTGGTTTAGGAACACAAATGAGAACACCAAGTGCACCTCTTGGTGCACCATTGATACTCTCGCCAAGGATATCCGTACCAACGACAGGCGCCTCCCTTCTCAATGGATCTGGACCACCAGCATCATTATTGTCCGGTGATCCACATGGTCTTATCTACACGCACTATCCCGATTATGCCAATTATGCAGCGTTAGCTTCACCATTACTCACCGAGTATGCTACGGCTGACCATTCTGGTGGGTTATTTGCGCGTTGACGCTAGGCCGAGAGTCGCTCTCCTTCTTTTTTTTAATATAATAATCATTAAAAAAAACAAACAATCAAGAAAATTTTTTTGAAAACAAAAAAAAACGTTCAGCTCCGTTGTTAGCACGTTTTTTTTTTTTTTTTACGATGATTCATTTGTCCGTTCATCATTCGACAATTTTTTAGTTAGGGATTTATATATCGTGAAAAAATTATTTTTTCTTTACAAATAATTTACAATTGTCCTTCTGCTTAGGTTCTGCGTATCATTTTTTGATCTTTGATACGCATAATCTAAACGAAAAGATAATGAATTGTATATAATACAATCGTTTTTCCGATAGTATCGAATGTTTGCGGAATATGATTGGTTCAATAAGTTCCAAACTGACCAATCAGGTTGCAGATCATTCGATATATCTCGATTTAGTGCCAAATTGTGAATGAGCCTTAAAAGTAAACAGTGAATTACCCTTTAAAGTGCTGTTATTTTAAAGAAATAATTTTTTGCCTAAAAAATATTTTTTTATAATTTGTTGATTAATAAAAACTAATATTTTTTAGGCGTGAAATTTGTAGAATTTTTTATTTTAAAAAATTATTTCTTTAAAAATCGTTTATCATAAACGTTGCATATTTCAGCTTCGTTAAAAAATATTATTCTTTGAAAAAAAATTTATTTAAAAAATTTATTGGAAAAAAAACAAATTAATTAAAAATTACATAATTAAAAATAAACCTCGTTTATTTTTGATATTTAATTAAAGATAGAAAATGCGTGAAATTAAAGAAAAAAAAAAATATAAATCCCTAACAACGAAATGAAAAAAAAAAAGAGTTATTGTATGTTTATTTTATTATTTTATGATTGTTATTATCAATGACCACAATGTCGAGAGATGGACGGACTCGATTAAAGATTTATATATACAGGGCTGATAAAAACACACTTCATGTGCTTGATTCAATCTATACACATGAGTACTTGATTATTCTCTAGTTTTATTTCTGGAAAATCTGGAAATTTACATGTCTATTAATATCTATAGGTTTTAGGTGTTTTTAGCAGAGAAAATAGAGAAACAGTCAATTGCTAGTCCATCACTATTTTTTTTTTTTGTTTTTTTTTTTATTAATTACAATTATAAAAAAAAATATATAGAGTTATATTAGAGCAACGTATGCGTCGCTATGAGTATATAAGTCACGACTTAAAAAAAAAGCAGCAGCACATGACATTACGTCCAAGTGTAGGTATTTTTAATGATTTAGGAATTTTTTTTTTTTAATTTCCGCTCTATAAAATGCTGCGGTACGAGAATGTATAGCTGTACTAGTCCAAAAGTTTTTTTTTCATTTTTAAAAAATTTTCTTTCTATTTTTTTTTATTCTTTTTTAATTTTCTTTTAATTTTCTATTTTCTTTTTATTTTTTTGATTTTTATATATTATTTTAATTTTCTTTCTATTTTCTATTTCCTTTTTAATTTTTTTTGAAAATATTTTTTACTTTCTCTCTATTTTCTGTTTATTTTATTTTATTTAAAAAAAAATGATTATTATCCTCCTTCTATAGGATATATAATCAAAAGTTGGTAGATCTTTCATAAATAGAATCTCGAAAGCAATAATTTTGTCATTTTTTTTTTTTTTTTATTTTTTTTTGTTAACTCGAGAGATTTGTCGAATACTCGCGTCCCGGATTTAGCGCAAAGAAAATATCAAAGATTAAATACAAATCAAGTAGACTTTTAGTTTCTTTTACATATATACACACATATACACAAACACATGATTTTTCCTCGAGATATAATATATATAAGACGCGAATATATTCAGGGAGAATTTCTATTATAGAGCAAAGATTCACTTATTATTTTATTCAATATTGCAGGGCTAGTATAGTAAAAAAAAAAAAACAAACAAAAGTTTATTTAAACGCATAATACACTCAGTATTGAAAGTGGCATGGTGTTTAAAGTGGGCCAGTTAATGGCACTGTCGTGCAATTCGTTTAATTTTTTTTTTTTTTTTTTAATTAATTTTAATCTGAAAAAATTAGCAATTTCGTTTTTTTTTTAAATCAGGCCTCGGATTAATACGACTTTTTTCGACTTATTTTAATAAAATGCGACTTTTTCGACTTTTTACATTTTTCTTTAAAAAATTTTTAAACAAAATTCGTTTTTTCTTTTAGTACAGAATGTAGATCTTCAAATCTTGTTTATTTCAATTATTTAACAAATTTTTAACTAAAATTCTTCACTAAATTAATTATTTTTAATAATTTTAATGAAATTCTTCACAAATTCGAATTATCTTAAACTATTTTTCAATTAAAATTTTTGCGAAATTTAATAATTTGTTAATAATTTTTTTAAAAATTAGCAAATAAAATTACAAAAAATTTTTAATTCAAAATCACTTGAAATTTAATTATATGCAAAAATTTCAATTATTTTTTTAATAATTTTTATAATATTTTTCGAAAATTCAATTATCTGAAAGCATTTTTCAATTAAAACATTTTGGAATTCAATTTTTTTTATGTGAAATCACTAAAAATTTCTCTTATTATAATTATTGTCTGAAATTTAATAAAAGCTTTTGAAATACAAGTATTTTCAAAAATTTCAATTTAAAAGCTTCTAAAATTTAATTATTTCTAAAACTTTATATGTAAAATTTTTTGAAATTTATTAATTTCAATTATAACTCTGCTGAAATTCAATTATTTTTTAATGATTTTTTTATAATATTCTTCGAAAATAATTCAACTATCTAAAACCACTTTTCACTTAAAAAGTTTTCAAATTATTGTATTTTTGTCTGCAATTTCTATTAAATTTTTTAGTAAAATCATTAAAAAATTTTAATTAAAAATCACTTGAAATTCAATTAATTTCGAAAATCTAAATTGTAAATCTTTGATAATTCAATTACTTTTACAAAAATATTATCTAAAATTATTTGTTAAATTCTTTTTAGTTTTGTAAAATTTAATTATTGTCTGAAAATTTAAAAAATCTTTTGAAATTCAATTATTTCTAAAAAATTCAACTTTTAATCTTCCAAAATTATTGTTATTAAAAAAAAATTTTCATTTAAAAATCTGTAAAACTTGATTAAGTATTGCCTGAAATTTTTTTCGACTATCAAAACTAAAAAAACTATGGAAAAAATTTTTAATTCGAATAAATTGCTTAAATCAGACTTGAAAAAATTATAAAAATGGAAGTTTAATAATTTTGTTTAGAAATTTGTCCTACTTAAATAAAATTTTGAAAATTTATCTTACAATTAGTTCGATTCTGAAATATTTGAAATTAATTTTCTTGATAATATTCATTATAGAATTATTCTCATTACAGAATTAATAAAATGAATTTAATTTCTAATAACAATTAGTTATTTAAAGTAAAATATTTATTAACCAATTAAATTTTGTTAAAATAAAAAAAATCAATTTTTTCGATTTTTTTGTAATATAAATCGACTTTTTTTATGTCTTAAAGTCGATCCGAGGTCTGAAAAATTGTCTTTCAATTTTTTTTTTTATATAAATACATTAGTATTTACGTTTTTATTTTTAGCACAATTTTTTATTTACTTGACTTTTTAAAAAAAAAAAATTATTTCCTTTCCTCCTTTTTTGTTAGTTATTTTTTTGTTTATAATAATTTTTGATTTTATTCGCGAATCGTACGTCGCCGTGCACTACTCAATGCAATAATCAAAGGCCATTCATTGTTGTAGCTATTATTTTTAATAATAATTATTATATTATTATTATTTTTATTATTATATTATTATTATTATTATTATTATTATATTATTATTACGCGAAAAGAATAGATTTATATATATTGTATTTATTGAATCTTATAGAGATTTAGCAAACTTTTAGAGTGATAGATTTTTTTCAGAAGATTTTTTTATAGAACTATTTCTAGATTTAAATTTAAAAAAAGAAATGTACCGTTGGATATTGTTAGTATGTAATATTATTAATAGAATTTTATACTTTTAGCTCGAAAAAAAAAAATTAACAAACAAACAAAAAAAGAAAGAAAATAAGATGTTTTTCACGCGTCTTTTCACAACGGTGCCAGAGTCATAATAATGAAAAAAGCGAGTAATCAAACGTATAGAGCATTTCTTTATTGTTTATTAATCTGGAATTGTGTTTTTTTTTCTTCTTAATTATCTATTTTATAATAATACGGTGATGGTCATTAACTTTGGTACTTCATTCTGCATTTTTAATCATTTTTCTTTTTCTTATTTTTTAACTATATTTTTTATTTGTATTTGTATTTTTCTTTGTTTTCTTTTTTTTATTATTTTTTCTTTTTTTTAATCTTTTTTTTTCCTTTTCCTTCTTTATTAAACATTCGTGCTTGACCAGTAATTAAAATCGGTTTTTAACACTACAAAGTACCACTAGAATCTCAAGTAAAAAAAAAAAAATAAATAAAAATCCCTAGGGTTTTGGTATCAACGTAACACACAAACGACTAAAAACAAAAAAAAAAAAACAAAAAAAAAAGAACTAACTCGATCGGTCCGCCTTTTCTATATAGAAAACTTACAATTTTTTTTTTATTTTCCTAATCCGAGAAAAAAAATTTGCTTCTATAATTTGTACACACATAATTTTTAATTTCCAAATAATCGAGTCATAGGTCCGCTTAATTGTTATACGTATATAAGTTTTGAGCTTTAAATATTCTTGCATGTTACCCGCGGTAATGAGAAGTAAAAAAAAAAAAAAAGAAAGAAAAATAAGGAGCGATCGAAAAAAATACGAACGAGGAAAGACTGAAAAAAAGTGCTTATTCGTGTCCAAGTTTAGCGTAAAATTCTACCTTGTCACGAAAATTTTTTATTCGATTTAATTTTCTTTTTTACTAAAGTAGAAAATTTTTTACATTGAATTCTTTGATAAAAATTCAAAAGGGGAGAAATTTTTAATTTTTCAACAAAGCAAGGAGAAAATTTAAAAAAAAAAGCAAGAAATATCCGGTGATAGGTAGGATTATTTACGTAGGATCTTTTAGGCAGACAGCTAGGCGTAGGAAAAAAAAAATACCCAGGGACCAAATAATACATGTTTTTTCAGAACTGATGGTTCTAGCGCATACTATTGTAGCTGTGTATTATTATCGGAGACTTGAATCCATCTATAAATATAAAAAATGATATACTTAAAATATTTATAGTTTATTTTTTTTTTTTCGTTTTTTTTTCTTTTTTAATTTTCAGTGACACAAACAGTATATAATAATTTTTAAGTTACTCACAACAATATTTCGTTATAAAAAAAAAAAGAAAATCGTACAAGAAAATGAATATAGTTAATATATATATACACTATTTATACGCAGCTAAAGAGAAGTATTTTTTAAGCGAGTCACAAAATAAAAAAAAAGAGAATACTCCTAGAATATTTAGTTTTTTTTTTTTTGTGGAAAATAATTCGAAAAAAAATATTAAAAAAATTATCAAACACACACACAGACACGTACACAAAATATGCTAATATGAAAATCATGTAAATTATTTTATATTATTTTCTATGATTATTTAATTATTTTTATTTTTTATAAAGATTTAGCCATTATATTTATATGATGAAGGGTAAAGTGACGGATTTATATACACATAATAATATTATTATTATTATTATTATATTTTAATTTAATAATCGATGCATAATTTCAAATACTCAGTGTTGATATGAATTTTCTGATTTTTATTTAATGAGGTGACTTCTCGGATATAATTAAAAACAAAAAAAAGAAAGATAATAAATCTGTTTCAAGCCATATGTTATGAGTGAGAAACTCTAAAAGTCCTTTTTTTTTTGAAAAAAATGGCTTTTTGAGAATAACGAACAACTTCGAAATATATAATTTTATTTATGTATAGATTCTAGTTGTAAGAAATAGTTTTAATTAATTTTTTTTTTTTCGTTTTCTAAACAACTTGATGGTAGGAAGCTTTGATTTATTTATTTCAAAAAACAAATTTTCTTCTAAAATTTGAAGAAAGGGAGCTAAAAATTATTTTTAATTACCTAATTTAATTAAAAATTAATTTTTCGCCTTCAGATTATTTATTTTTGACAAAATTTTTTTTTCCGAATAAATAAAAATTTAAATAAACAAAGCTTTCAACCTCGAGTTTAAATATTATTTTCGTAAAGTATGAGCTGCAAGAAAAAAAATTTTTAATAAAAATATAAATAATTAAAATAAAAAAAAAAGAATTTTTTTCTCCCAGCTCGTAACTTTTGAATGACTTTCGAGTCGCAAAAAATAAATAATTAATCTTGTTGATGAATGTTAGTTTTTAAAGGAAAATTGAAGGAAAATGGAAAAAGAAATGACATTTATATATCTATATATATATATGGATAAAAAAAAATGGACGAGATACCGAGGACTATTGAGATGTCTCGGAAGATATTATAAAAAAAAAATACAATATATATTGTGTGCGGCGTGATTACTGATATTTGTATGTTGGGGACAGGTGCAGCAGCCGCTGCGAAGCAGCGTAGGCACCTGGGTCAAATTCGAGAGCACCCTTATCAAAGGGCTGGCGCACTCTCGTGAATACACTGAGTACAGAGTCGCGCCTACCGCGGAAAGGTTAGTTTTGCACAAACGTTCATTTACGTTTATAATTTCAATTTCAATATATATATATATTTATATATAATTAAATAACTTTGTATACCGCCTACAAAAATGTATGCGAGAGCTTCCGCATTGCACTCGCCTTCTTTTTTTGAAAAAAAAAAAAAAAAAAATGACTAAGGATGCTCCAAAACAAAATGAATTATTAAATTCAACAAATTTTTTATTAAAAATATTTTTATTTTTATTCTTGTTTTTCATTTTTTTGAAAATATTTTTTTAAATCCGTAGTAATTATTTTTTACTGTTATTAAAAAATATATTTATTTTTATTATTATTTGATAATTTTACGAAATTATTATTTAAATATAATTCTTTTTTATTTATTGTTATACAATACTTTTAAAAATTATATTTTATAATATTTTTTGGAAAATTAGTTTTTTGAAATAAAAAGTTTAGAAAATAAGAATTTTATAATTAATTTTCGAAAAATTATTATTTAATATTTTGAACTGTATTATTTTATGATAATTTTATTATTATTTAATAATTTTAAAAAGATTTTGTGTAATTATTATTTTTTTTGAAATTATTATTTATTTACAAATTTTTTTCAAATTATTATTAAATTTTTATTATTTCAATTATTGTTCTATGATAATTTTATAAATTTTGTTTTATAATAATTTTTAAAAATTGTGCTTTTGTTTAAAATTTTAGAAAATTATTGTTTAATTTTTTTTAATTATTATTTCATTGTAATTTTATTATTTAATAATTTTAAAAACGATTCAATGTAATTATAATTTTTTAAAAATTATTATTTACTTATAATTTTTCGAAATTATTATTTACTTATAATTTTTCGGAATTATTATTTACTTACAATTTTTTAAATTATTATTTAATAATAATTTTTTTTGTATTATTGTTTTATAATTTTAAAAATTGTTTTTTTTTAAATAATTTTAGAAAATTACGTTCATCAATTTTGAAAAATATTATTAAATATTTTAAATTATTATATTATAGTAGATTTTATTATTATTTAATAATTTTAAAAAGATTCTATGTAATTATATTTCAAAATTATAATTTACTTACAATTTTTTTCAATTATTACATAATAATTTTTTCACTTATTGTTTTATAATTATTTTAAAAACAAGATTTTATAATCAATTTTCGAAAATTATTATTTAATTATTTTATATTATTATTTTACAGTAATTTTTATGATTATTTTATAATTTTTCAATTTTTTTTTTATATAAATAATAATTATATAATAATAATAATGATAATTTTTGAGAAAAATGTTGATTTTTAGAAAAAGAAAAAAAAAAAAGATTGAAAAAAATAATAATTTATAACTGGTAAGTTATTTTGTAAAAAAAGAGCATCCTTAGGAAATTGTAGTGCTGTGTGAACGCTCGTTCTGTGTACCTGATACCGCATCTATATCGATTCTGTATATTTGTTGAAAATCGAGTTTTGTATCTATATATATACAGCAATACCCCAGGAACATGAATGACACAAGTGCCCCGTCCTCTATATTATTTATTTCAAAAAAAAAAAAAGAAAATACTCGTCAAATTATTTCAAAATATTTTCCTCATTTTTTCGTATTTTTCTTTTTTAAAGGAAATTAATTTTCTTTTTGAAAATTAAATTTTCTGCGAGGAAAATATTTAGAAAAGAAAAAAATTTTGAATTGAGAGAAAAAAAGTATATTATAGAGAATTTTTTTTTTCATGAAAAATTTTGTTTTGAAAAAGAAATTTTTCAAAAATATTTTGTTTTTTGGCGTAACTCCCCGCTCTTAGGTCTAAGCAATAATCGCGTGTACAAGAGAACAGGTTTCTTAAATGTTGCTATTATAATAAATATATTATATTATATTTACGCCAGATCGGAGAATGTGGGTGCGCACCTACCTCATCCTCAGAACAAATTGGTAGCAAATACACTGCCCGGAATTATTTTTTTTTTTTTTTTTTTTTTTGAAATGACATAAAATAATTAAAATTGTCTAGTTTTTCAAGCCTTGAATAGACTCAGTATTGCAATATTTTTTTTTTTTTAAATATAGGGGCAGTGTGGTATTTGTGTAATAAATATATTACACTGAAAAGAATTTTTTTTTGGTGCTTATAGTTTATCTTATTTATATCTATTATACAAATATTAAAATATATAAAGGATCATTAAATTTCGAATTCGCTGAAATAAAAGTTTTTTAATTCAATTTATTGAAAAAAAAATGGAATTAAAAAAATAAAAGATAAAAATTACCCGAAACTTAAAGATCTATATATATATATATTTAAATATATTATATTCATACAATATAGTAAGATTTCAATCCGTCTATTGTAAATGTTTTCCAGGACATGATAATTATATTTTGCATTTTGTTAATTTTTTTTTTTTTTCTTTTTTTTTCTGGCAACTTGTGCCTGTGGAACACTTATTGAATTTCCATTTTATTGTGTATACAAATCGACATATACATATATATATATATAAAAATAATTATATATATAATTATAAGAATAAATATTTATATGAAAGAAAATAAAAAACGAGTTAGTAAATTTTTACAGGGGTGGTAACGCGGTACACAACGAAGGTTTCGCGGTTTTTTTTATTATTTCTCTAATCAGTCGGAAGAAAAATTATTTTCAAAAAAAATAATATCCTCCAAAACTAGTTAATTTTTTTTTTCACCACAGGAATATTTGCACGGCATTGGCGCTGATATTGTCCAAGACGACGTGTCCCATGTATTTTTTCACTAACAATTTTTTTTTTCAATCGTAATTTATAATTTTATAACTACCACCCTTTTTTTTCATCACTAGACGCAATATCATCCATATAATATAGACTGCACAAAAAACAGAACCATCTATTTATTTTAATTTAACTAACAAAAATTGCTCCACATGGCCAAGTTGACACTAACTATATTTAATTTTTTTTTTCCATTAAAAATAATAATAATAATAACAATTATCTTCATTTCTTTTTTTTTCATGTTAACGTTCGCTTTTTTAATATGCCTGGAACTATATATATATATATATTTATAAATAAACATATATGGCACGTGCCTTAACTCATTAGCCTCTGTCACTTTGCTTGCTAATGGGAAATAATTATTATTAATCACTATTAAATTAATAATATTGATCGCATGTGTATGGCGACCGAATTAGCGTCATTCGATGTTGAGAAACACTGCGTGCGAATAGTGGAGGGGAGATATAACGCTTTGTAATTGGTGTTTACTTCCCGCCATTACGTTGCGCACAGTGTTTCTCAACGTTTCGAGCAACGATAAATAATAGACGCTAATTCGAAAAAATTATGCAATACTAAAAAAAAATCCTGGTACCTCGACGACAACGTCACTTTTACTAAGCACTGCTACTTGGTGACAGGTGCACACCCAAGCTACCTCTAAAATTCTCGGATAAAAAATATTTCCTTAAATTTTTTTATTTTTTTTTGTTTTTTCTGTCTAATAATATTAATTAATTAATTAATTAATGCTTATTCTGAGCTGTATTCACAGCTCCTGTTCTACTCTAAATAACGTTTCTTACCAAAAAATTATCAAATCATTATTATTATTTTTTTTTTTTTATTCTACATATGCCTTAAATATTTCCTTAGTGTCTTTTGCCTGTCCTATGCGCGGGGAGGGTACACGAGCCACATTTAAAGAAAATAATATATAATTTTTTAATATCTGTGTGAAAAAAAAACAATTTTTTTTTTTGCCTGCCACATTGTAACAAGGCGCAGGTTTAATATAGTAACCGTTGTACATGAGGACCTTTTTTTATAATTTTACATGTACGAATCAAATGCTTCAAACTAATCAAATTTTTTTTTTTTTTTTTTTGAAAATTATGTGTAAAGCAATGCTACCCTTTCACAATTCGTACTCTTCTTTATTATAATATTCCTTGTTCGATAATAATATTCATAGAAAAAAAAAAAAAAATTTAGTGTTCTAAAATCGATACCGTTGACATATCTCAAAAAAGGAAAATAATATTTTGATCTATTGTTATTTGAACTCTTTCACTCTTTTTTGAGGTTATGTTAACGAGATCGACGCTCAAGGCTGTTGGGACGAAAAAAAATTATTCTAGATTCGATTCGAGTTTACTATTTTCAAACATAACCTAAAAATTAAACACTGGATATGCCTACATATTTTTGTCCTTTTCAACACGCACGTGTTGCCATGACAACGTGTGAGTGAGAAAAGGACAGAAAAAAAATGAAGGCATATCTAGCCAGGAGTGTACAAAAAATTTGTATTACCACGTCCAATGTTGTTATATTTTTCAGCTGTAAACTAATTTGACTAACGTAGTGAAGATAACATAACCTACTTCTCGTGGCAACACGTGCGTTATAGAAAAGGCGACAAAAAATAGGTTATGTTTTCTTTACAAATTATTTTACGCTGAAAAAGAAATAAATTTTTTTGAAAAAATTATTTCATAACCTAAAAATCAAAACGTTTCCCAACAGTCTTCATTAAATATTAATAAAATCTAACAGAAGAAAAGGAATTTTCATATATTTTTTTTTTATTATTGCTATCTGGTAATGGTTAACAAAATTCGGAAATCGAGTGGATTTATATAAAAAAAAAAAACATGCGATTCTTATTCTTTTGTTTCTTGTCAATTTTTAACAATATTGTTTTCTATATAAAGAAAACAAAAAAAAGCATTTTGTACGTATAATAATATTTGCGAGAGCATTGCTTTTCATTAACAAATTTTTTTATTTTCTCTCAGCTATGATGAGCTATTTTAGATAATATTAATATTTTTTTTTTTTTCTTGTTAACGTCGGTTCATAATCAAATTACTAACAAACTGTTTTTCTTTTCTTTCTTGTTAACCCTGGTTGCCCATGGCCTGTAGGCTTGGAGTGCTAACAATGGAATCCACTCGCCCCGTGCTAACAACTTGGACTCTATGGAACAGCATCCGCGTTTGATTGGTTCGACACAAAAACCAGCCGACAGACCTTCGCCGTCCGCGTCACCAGCCCTGTTCGTCTCAAGCTTATCCATCCTGCCAAAAAAAAACAAAAAAAAAAAACAACAAAAAAATACTAAAAAAAAAAAAAACACGAAAAATAATCCAGAAAAAATCCTTACTATCCAGAAGTCAGTACTTCGTATATAGATCTTAATATTATTTTATTAGGTAACTGGGCGTAAAATACTTTAATCCAAAAGAAACCTACTTCGTATTTTGAAGTCCTTAATTTGGTAAAGACGATTTCCTCCTATGAGTAATCGTATAAGCGAGAAATGTATTTTTTTGGGGGAGGGGGAAATAAGCAAACGCCATTACGATTATTGTTGGTACTAAATGTGGCGGCGTTGTTTGTATTGAGCATGCCCTTAAGGTGGTTTAATAGTAGACATTGCCTTAAACTTTAATAGTACAGAAAATAAATATGAATTAAGGGGATGTTAAAGTAGTGATACTTCTTCTTACATAGTAGCTTCTGTGTAAAAAGTATCGCAACTTTAACATGCCCTTAAGAAGAGTGGCTATCGTAACAACCTCAAAATAAAAAAAAAATTTTTACCTTTTTTTGAAATACAACATTTTTTTTGAAAAATCTACACTTTTTGGAAATAATGACATTGTAATTATTTTAATATTGTTAAAAGTCGATTTTTGAAAAATTAAAAACAATAAAAATTATTTTTATTAAATAATTTTTTTTAACAAAAAATATTTTTTAGCAACATTGATAAAATTATGATTGTAGAGAATATATTTCAGAATTGTTTATCAAAAATTGGATAAAAATTTGCGATTTTTGTAAAGAAAAATCAATTTAGAAAAAAAAAATCATTATTGAACGAATTATTTTTTGATTCAATCTCATTATTTCCAAAAAGTGGATAAAATTGTTATTTAAATAACTAAATGAAATTAAATTTTATTATATTTTTCTTTGTTTTAAAAAGAAACTTTTTACTTTGAGGTTATGTTACAATCTCTTCAATTCAGATTATTGTTTCATTTTCTATAAAAAAGAATTTCTATTTTAAGGTTATGTTCCGGTATTGCACCTCCTTAAGGGCAGATCAAAGTCGATGCAATTTTTCCATTGAAGCTCTACGTAAAAATTGCATTGACTTTGACCTACCCTTAAAAAAGTATATATTATTTAAAAAAAATATATTTTAATTGAAAATCTTTTTTAAGAAATAATATCAGACGAACAATTGAAATAAAAGTTAATTCAACTGCATAATTTTGTAATTTTAAATTACAAAAAAAATTCCAACACTTTAAAAGTGTTAAAAATTGTTTTAAAATTTTTTTTTTAATTTTTAAAATATTTAACATTTAAATTGAATTTAAATTTAAATAAAATAAAAATTACATTTGAATAAAAAAGGACAATTTTCTGAAAAAAAAAAAAATATAAACAATAAAAATTGTTCTCTACTCGTCAGAAGTTTTTGTCATTTATTCAAATGTAATTATTTTAATTATACAAAGTGTTAAAAAAAATTAAAATAAATAATAATAATTATTAAATTGTAAAAAAGAAAATTAATTTAAAAAATTTGTTAAACACAAGAAAATGTAAAGTTGAACTAACTTTTATTTTCACTGTTCAGATAATTTTTTTGTAAAGCAGATTTTTTTTTTTTTGTTTACTATAATTTTTGTGAAAAAATTTGATTTTTTATTTAATTCTTTTGAAAATTTGAGAAAAAATTCTTTTTTTTGTATTTAATTGTTAAATGTAAAAAATTTCCATTTCTAAAAATTAAAGTATTTAGTTTGAAATTTCAATTTTTAAAAAAATTCCAAATTTTAATTTCATTTTTTATTTAACACTGCAAGAGGTTCTGAAATTTTTTACAAAATTCAGATAATAATGGAATATTTCTTAAAAATTTGAAAAAGAATTAAAAGAAAACTGATATTTTTTCGGAAAATTAATTTAAATTCTTCATTTCTATTCAAATGAAATTTTTGGTATCTGTTTTTTTGGGGGAGGGGTTTCAAAACACATTTTAATCGAAAGATTTAAAATTTTACAAAAAATCAAAAAAAAATTTGTCTCGAATTGAAAAAAATTGAAAAATAATTTAAATTTAATTTTTCAATGTTTTCAATGACAATTTTTCTTGTCACTTTGGTTCAAAAAAAAAAAAATTTTTAGTAATATTCGCATGATTGACACTAAAAAAAAAAATATTTTTTAATACATTTTTTTTTCAACGCTGTTTAAAAAAGGAGGAAATCGATTGGTAATTTTGGAATAAAGCACAATACAATGATCCAGTGTGCGCATTGTAAAAATTTTACAGGTGGCCCATCTACAGAACTAGTCGAATCGAGATTGAACGACGAAACACATTTGGCTTCCACAGTACTTATATACAATATAAATATATATATTTTATCGAGAGTGTAAAATTTTATGATTTTAGGTATTTTTTTAAAAATGAGGATAAAAAAAATAAACTGAAAAAGAAGGTACAACATGGAAAAGCATCGCGCGCGATGGAGTTGAAGAACAAGGAATTAAAAAACAAGGATTGTAGCTTTTTATTAACTATTTTTTTTTCTAGTTTACTTTATGAAATGAAAATATTATTATTCTTTTTTTTTAATCTGAAAACAATTTTGTTCTCAAAAAAAAAAAAAAAAAAAAATGAAAATAATCTCGAATCTCAGATTAACGTTTTCAAGTAACGTTTATAGTAAATATATAATTTAAAAAAAAAAGAATGCTCGAAAAAAAGCCAAATTTATGAATCTTTCTATTTTTTACATACAAAGACCATTTTTCGAAAGAAGTTTTCTTCTTTATATACCTCTACAAAAAAAAAAAAAAAATTGAAAATTATTACAATAAGTTTTTTTTTCGCTAAAATTTTGATATTAGGGAACAGTCACTTTTATCTTTATTTCGTTTTTTTTAACGAATCTTTTTTCTATTAAAAATTTGCAAATTAAAAAAAAAAATTTTGTTTTGTAAGTGACTTTCCTTATGAAAGAAAAATTGTGGAATTTTATTACTATTATTACTATTATTATTATTATTATAAATATTTTTAATATTATTATTATTATTGTGAAATTTTGTTCATAGTTTTTATTGCAGGAGCAATGGCGTGAGAGATTGATTTACTTAACGTTGAATACAATTATTATAATTATAACTTGTTAACGTTTAGGTCTGCCATATATAAAAAAAAAAAAAAAAAAAAAAAAAAAAAAAAAAGTGACGATACAAAATATTGTAGTTATATTATATTATTATTGTATAATTGTACACGTTAAAAGCTCCTGTGCCTATTTTTTTGTTAATTAAGTTAAGTATTGCAAAAAAAAAAAAAAAAAGGGATTTTTTTTTTTTTTTTATTCGTCAAATCCTGTATAATGTTTCGTCATTTGTTGTAAATACGTGTTTAAAGCATAGTTATATACACCAATTATTATATTTCATCAGTGATCTGCAAATCTACTTAAGTTCTATAATCGTGGATTTATCTGACAAAATATATACTATTTTAATTATATATATATATCAATACGTAAACGATATATATATATATAAATATTAGATTATTAATAAGAATTTATAATATGTTAAAAGGACAAGATATAGAAAACGCTTCTTCTTCTTTTTTTTTGTCGTAATTTAATGTTTATATCATAAGTATAAAAAAACATCTACGAAAAAAAAATCCACACAAAACGTTTAGAAAAAAAGAAATTTTGTTAGTGTATTTTTTGAGTTTAAGTTTTTTTTTTTTCTCTGGATTTATTCTCATTTTTTTCTTATAGATTGCTATTTTTATTGTAAAGAATTTTTTAGCACACCACTTTGGTACGTGCAGGATATCGTGGCAATATTAAAAATTACGGGCAGCAATGCAAATAATAATAATAATAATTTTTTTTTTCTTATCTCTATAAAGATCTGATTATTATATATTTGAATATATATATATAGATATATAATAATAAATAATAAATCGTATTATTTTCTGAGAGTTTATGGAATATAGAAAAAAGAAAGAGGTAGAGATAGAAAATATATAATATCAGATACCTATATATATATAAATATATATATATTATATTTTATAATTCTGGTTTTGCCAGTGTTTATTATATTATTATTATTTTTTTTTGTGAAATATTTCGTTACCACGATTCAAAAAGTGTTTTTTCTTTTTTTTTTTATATATATATTTAATTCGAATATAATCTTTCATTTCCTCATATTTAAATGTGTGATAAGAAAAAAAAAAAAAAAAAAAATATTGCATAATTATTGTGGAATTTATTTATGCAGTACCAGAATTATAATGTCATTATATATAGATGTATTTACTCTGTCGAAGATTAAAAAAAAAAAAAAAAAAACCTTATATTTATTTTTATTTGAATGAAAAAACCAATATCACTTTTCATAATGTTTAAAGTTCTAGATTAGGTATCTTTTTTTTTTATTATTTATAATTCTGTAATTTGGAAAATTATTTTAGAAAAAGTAGAGCAAAAAGAAAATTTTTTTTTTCGACATCAATGACAGATAAATATTTTTATTACTATTGTTACAATGGAAAATTTTGTTTTTTTCAAGATTACAACACTTGAATAAACTAGAAAAATCGAAATTATTGTGTTCTTATTTATACCATTTTCATTTTTTTTAAGTTTCTAAGGGGCCATTCATTAATTACGTAAGGACACAAGATTTTTCCTCTCTCTCTCTCTCCCCTTGATATAAAATAAATAAATAAAAGACGAGAATTAATAAACAATTTTAATTTATTATACTTCTTACAAAACTTAAAACTAATTGAATGATAAACAGTCCATCGAGCATAACTTATATTTACAAAGTTCTTTGATGGTAACGCTTATTATAATATATTTATTATAGAATGTAAAATTTAAAAAATTGATCTTCTTAATGTTACTAAAATGGCAAGTTTATTTTTCATTCATAAACGGATGAGGAGAAGATTAAAAAGAATTTTTCTTTTTCCCTTTCTATAACACTAAACACAAATTTTCTTTGGCAAATTTTAATCATTTGATAATTAACTTTTTTTTTTAGAATGAAACCCAATTTTATATTAAACAAAAAAATATTCTTCAATAAAAAAGAATTTAATTAAATTTTTAATTATTTTATCAAATTTATTCATTAGTTAACACATTTAAATTAAAATTTTTTTTTTTACATTTATATTAGTTATAAAACTAAATATTCTTTTTTTTTAAGATTCTTTCATTTATCTACATATTTATTTATATGTATCTTTTTTCAAAATTCCTTTTTTTTTCTATAAAAAAATAATAATAATAATAATCACGAAATTCAGTGTTTTGTATCTAATTTAATCATATTCTTTTTTTTACGACTTCTGGGAAAAAGAACATTCTTCTCACCAGTTTTTAAGGCATATATTTCTTTTGCAACTAAACTCATTTTACTCGAACTCAATTTAATGTCTTTCAAAACTAATGGTTCAATTTCTCTAAAAAGTCCAACAACTTTTGCCGATAAATTAAATGGAATATCATTGGCAAGAAAGAATTCGGTAATTTTATTTTCGGCTTCATGTACTTTTTGTCGAAATGTAAGACCCGTATTTAAATCAATTAAATCATCAGTTGTTGTTCCTATTGTTGATGTTGGTGGTGGCGATGTTGTGACAATACAAGAATTATTCATTGGCAATAAACCAGTAACATTTTTTATTGTATTAACAATACAACCGTAGCGAATCATTTTTTCAGAAATTTCCCTTTTTTTAATATGTTTCACTGTTTTCTCATGATTTAAAATTTCCTTTCTACCGCATAACATTGTTTTATCACAATATTTACAATGAAATTGTGAATCATTCGCTAATCTTATAACCCACTCCTTCCACAATGGAAATTCATCAAACCATTCTTGTTGAAAATTTTTTCCACCTCTTCTTTTGCCTCTTGCTTTTTTTACTATTGGCTCCTCATGTTTTATATCTATGGAATTTTCGTCTATTGATATATATGATGATAATTCCATTGTATCCAGTTCCTCCTCCTCCTCATCATCATCATCGTCATCATCGTCATCTGAGTCGAGTTTTCGTTTAATAGGAACTATATCCGTCATGTTAAAAAACTGAAATGATAATTTTTTTGGTTTTAATTTTATAATTGAAAATGAAAAATAATAAAAAATTTTTCTTTTCATTTTAATATTCAAGAATTATTTTTTTATTCTTAGATAAAAAATGTAAACTTTTTGAAATCATTATTAATATATTATTTATTTATAAATTTCAACTGTTAATGATGATTTAATTTTTTTTATTTTTATTTTTTATATTTCATCTAAATAAGTCGTTGTGAAATATTTTTAGAAAAATTTTATAATTTCTAATAATGATTTCTGATATCCGTACAATTAATTTTTCAGACTGTTTAGTAATTTAAAAAAAAAATTCAAGGATTTTTCAAAGTTCACTTTCGGCGTTGAAACTTGGAAAATATTTTTTATTTAAATAATAAAGTAAGTTTTGTTTTTTAGCTTTTTCTCAATAAATATAAAATAAATATGTAAGTATAAATAAAAGCATAAACAATTTTATAGTATCGAATCGACTTTAAGGTACAAAAAAAAGTCGTTTTAGTCGATTCATATTCCAAAAAAAAGTCGATTTTTTTTATTTTAACAAAATTTAATTGGTTAATAAATATTTTACTTTAAATAACTAATTGTTATTAGAAATTAAATTCATTTTATTAATTCTGTAATGAGAATAATTTTATAATGAATATTATCAAGAAAATTAATTTCGAATATTTCAGAATCGAACTAATTGTAAGACAAATTTTCAAAATTTTATTTAATGACAAATTTCTCAAAAAAAATTCTTAAATTTCCATTTTAATAATTTTTTCAAGTCTGATTTAAGCAATTTATTCGAATTAAAAATTTTTTCCATAGTTTTTAGTTTTGATGGTCGAAAAAAATATCAGGCAATACTTAATCAAGTTTTACAGATTTTTAAATGAAAATTTTTTTTTTAATAACAATAATTTTGGAAGATTTAAAGTTGAAATTTTTAGAAATAATTGAATTTCAAAAGATTTTTAAAATTTTCAGACAATAATTAAATTTTACAGAACTAAAAATAATTTAACAAATAATTTTCTAGATAATATTTTTGTAAAAGTAATTGAATTATCAAAGATTTACAATTTAGATTTTTGAAATTAATTGAATTTCAAGTGATTTTTAATTTTAATTTTTTGATGATTTTACTAAAAAATTTAATAGAAATTGAAGACAAAAATACAATAATTTGAAAATTTTTTAAGTAAAAAATGGTTTCAGATAGTTGAATTTTCTAAGAATATTATAAAAAAAATCATTAAAAAATAATTGAATTTCAGCAGAGTTATAATTGAAATTAATAAATTTCAAAAAATTTTACATGGAAAGTTTTAAAAATAATTAAATTTTAGAAGATTTTAAATTAAAATTTTTTAAAATAATTGAATTTCAAAAGATTGTGTTTAAATTTCAGACAATAATTATATAATAAGAGAAATTTTTAGTGATTTCTGTTGATGAAAAATTTATTAAAAATCACATAAAAAAATTGAATTCCAAAAGTTTTTAATTGAAAAATCCTTTCAGATAATTGAATTTTCGAAGAATATTATAAAAATCATTAAAAATAATTGAAATTTTTGCAAATAATTAAATTTCAAGTGATTTTGAATTAAAAATTTTTGATAATTTTATTAGCTAATTTTTTTAATAAGATAAATCTTTAGATCTTTTTTTTTAAGATAATTGAATTTGTGAAGAATTTCATTAAAATTATTAAAAATAATTAATTTAGTGAAGAATGTTAGTTAAAAATTTGTTAAATAATTGAAATAAAGAAAATCTGAAGAATATCTGCATTGTATACTAAAAAAAACGTATTTTGTTTAAAAAGTTTTTTTAAATGTAAAAAAAAAATTAAAAAAGTCGCATTTTATTAAAATAAATCGAAAAAAGTTGTATTTTTGAAAAAAAAGTCGGAAAAAGTCGAAAAAGTATAACTTGATGCCTGAGTTTGAGGAAAACATTGAGAAAAAAAAACAATTTTAGAAATGAAAATAGAAAATTTAAGGAAATACAACGTTGAAGAGAAATTTTAAAAGAAAAATCGAGAATTTTAGAAATTCACAAAATAAAATAATTATTTATTTTGGAAAATTGAGAATTTTTCTTGAATAAATTTTAGGATTTTCAAAAGATTTTTAAAAGTCAAACAACTTTAAATGAAATATAATAAATTGACTTCATATTTTAGAGAAGTAAAAAATGCCTCTAATGGCATTATATAAAATAAAAATTACTTTTTATTGGCAACAATTGATTTTTTGTTGTTGTGTAAAATTTGTAAATAAATAAACTTTTGAATAACTTAGATGTAAACGAACAAATTTGACTTTTATTTTACACTTACCTAATAGTAGTTTAAATATTACAAAGATAATTGTTGTTGAATGTAGTTGACATTAAAAAAAAGAATATATCCCACTTTTTTTTTGTTGATAATTTTTGAAAATGACAATAACTTAACCTCCAAAATGTTCAACTGTTTTTCTTTAGGCGCAAATTCAAAACACTAAATTCTGTCACTTTATTTAATTTTTAATTTGATGGGTAATTATTCACATATTATGTAAATTATTTACTAATATGTAAATTACACTCTTTTTTTTCTCACGAGGTAAATTATATAAACAAATAAAGTTTCTTTCAATAAGCAAAATCCTTCTCTTCTTTTTGTTTAAATGGCCTCTTGTATATACAGGTAGCCAGTACTAAATTTTATTTCCAGTTAGATGTATGTAAATCCAGGTATGTGTATGTAAGTCAGATACAGCTATGTACATAGCCTTTAATAGATCCCACAGTGCAGTATGCTAGAGGGAGAGGGAGAGCGGGAAAATTTGAATAATTCAAAACCAAGTTCTCTCTACCCAAGTGAGACTAAGAAAGTTTAAGTGAAAATAATAAAATGCTTATGATAAATTTCTTTATTAATCTCTTCCTTCTTCCTTCAACCGTTCTCCTTCCTTCTTTTTCCTCTATTTATTATTTATTCCATTACAATCTTAAAATTAAGAATAATTAATACACTCAATAAGAAGAGCGTGTAAAGAGAAAAAAAAAAAAAAAAAAAAAAAAAAAAAAACAAAAAAAACAAAAAAACAAAAAAAAAAAAAAAAAAAATATATAATTAACTTATAAATTAAACATTTAGTAATAAAATCTCAATTCATTCTGCTCAAATAACCACATCGCCACTAGCAAAAAATTTACCGATTTCTACAACTATATCAGCATTTGGATTAAAAATCAAATTGTCCAAATCAAAATTATCAGGATTAAAATCAGTTATCTTGGTATTTAGATATGAAAAGAAAGCCGGTCTACCCGTGGAAAGAATAGGACAGTAGCTAAGTAGGTGTTTGAGGTCTTTATATTCCGCACCACACTCACATCCTAAAGGAAGAGTCCACTGCATTCTTTCAAAGTGCTCTCCCGTACATATATGCGAGGTCCGCAACCTGGTCACAGTATTAATGTATCGGCGTGGAGCTTGGATTCCTTTAAACCAAGGTCTTTTGGTTTTGCAATTAACCCTTGTATAATATCTATTACTCGAGTACCGTATATCGGCGTATGGCCAATTTAAGGATTTCCATGACTCAAAATCTCGCTCTAACAGAGAAATAAAGTCACGCAGGGGGGTACCTGAGTAGTTCCCAAAAGGTAAGTACAATGATTTTTTAGCTACCAAATCTGCCATTTCATTCCCCTTGATCCCTATATGCGCCGGAATCCATAAAAATCGTACCCTTCCACCCAGGTTCTTCAACTCGAAAATCACTCTGAGAATCTTTACAATAAAAGGATGAGGATCCCTAATCCATATTCTTTGGTCAAGTTCTTGTAAAATTTTCCGTGAATCAGATATGATAAGTGTATTATCGTTTTTCATCTGTAAAGAGTGCCTCAATGCCGAATAGATTGCATATGCCTCACATGAATCTACCGACATCAATCCGCTCAAACGAACACCAAATTCCAAATTAATAGAAGGAGCAACAAAACTAGCGCCAGAAAGACCCTTAACTGGATTATGAGAAGCATCAGTAAAAAATTGAATAAATTCTGAAAAATCCCGCTGCATCAACTGATTAAAGGCTCTATCGGGTTGAGCATCATTCTTCAGTTCAAGACCAGAATGAACGTCAATGTCAAGGGAACTAGATAGCTCCTCCCAAGTCATATCAAAAGTTGAGGGTTTCCTGGATTTAAAAGCCTTCCTAGTAATACATGTCATATCTCGATATGTATCCAGCAATGAAAACTTCATCGAACCTGTGTCCCGTCTATATCTCTTATCTATTAGGCATTTCTCAGACAACAATTGCAACTTTGGAACGAGAGGGTTCAGAGACCAAGCAAGATTTCGGAGCATGTGCCGTTTGCCAATGATCGAGCGTCTCAAGGCCAGTGGTGACTCATTCACCTCAGATAACAAGATGCCGACAGGGGTTGATTTCATGCATCCTAAAATGGCACGCAACGCAGCCAGTTGTATTTTATCTAGAAGGTCCAAGTTAGATCGACTAGCATTTGCGAAGAGTTGACAACCCCACTCCAGGTGAGCCCTGATTAAACCCTTATAAATTAGGATCATTGAGGAAGGATTTGCTCCCCATGATATCTTTGACATAGCTCTCAGGATGTTGATGGCTCTAGAAGCTTTTTGAGCTATACTCCTTATATGCAGTGACCAAGTCAATCTGCGGTCCAAGTGAATCCCCAGATAGATCAAGTCATCCTGATTTTTAATTCTATTGTTCCCTATTTTTAAATATATATCATTAAGCTTATCTCGTGTTTTGGAAAAAATGGTTAATTGTGACTTGCCCGGAGCGATGTCAAGACCAATCTCTGCTAGCCAAGGTGTTAATACCCCTACAGTTTCCTCGATCAAGTCTATCGCATCCTTAACATCTTTCGACCTCACATATAGGAGAAGATCATCAGCAAACATTAGCCATTTGACTCTATAGGGAATGACAGAGGCTATTCCACTTAAAGCTAAGTTAAAAAGCAGGGGCGATAACACCCCTCCCTGTGGAACACCTACATGCGAAACCTTAAAATCACACGAATCTGCTGAAAAAAACAAGTTCTTCGACGAAACAATAAACGAGACGAAATTCACCAATCTGTCAGGAACTCGCAGTTTGACAAGGTGACTATAAATTGCACTGGGAAGGATGTTGCTAAATGCACCCTTGAGATCCAAGGCCAAGGCCACAGTATGGTGCCCCCCGACAAAGCCCTGCTGAATGTCCGTAGTAAAGGTGGAAACACAGTCGATCGTCGATCTCCCCTTGCGGAATCCAAACTGACCTATCGGAATACTGTTTTTCATTTCTAGGTAGTGTTCTAGTCGCTTTTGAATCATCCGCTCAAACAGTTTACTAACCGCAGATGTCAATGAAATCGGACGATAGCCCTTGCCCTCCGGTTTGGGAATGAAAACTACTCTCGTGTTTCTCCATGACGTTGGAAAGGATGACTTTAAGAAGAACTCATTAAAAAGAGACAAAAGCAAGTTGTGGGCATCCATTGGTAGTTGACGCAAGATTAAATTGGAAATAACATCTAGACCTGGAGCAGAATCCCTCTTACCACAACACATTGCTGATTTAAATTCCGCTCTCGAGAATGGACCATTAAGTAGGGAGTCATTATTAACTCCATGAATCAGGGGAAGATCTACAGGAAGAACATCTTCTTTCACCAAATCCCTTTGTAGTTTGCTAAAAATTTCAGAGTCGGGGTCATTGCAAATCCCTGTACGTAAGGGTTGCGTTGAAGACGAGAAAGCCCTAACCTTCTTCCAAATCTCTTTAGAACCCATCGCCGGACTAACCGAGTTACAGAAATCAACGAAAGAAGTCTTTTTCTTGTTTCTCAAAAACCACTTAACCTCGCTATCAACTTGATCAAATATAACTCGCATTTCCTGGGACTGAGACTTTAGGAAGTTCTTTCTGGCCTCTCTACGCCTTTCAAGAGCCTCCTCACAAGATTGGTCCCACCAGAGTGGTTTGGCTTTTCTTAGACCAGGAAGTCCTGAGGGGTAATAGGCTCCCGCAATAACCAACTGATCTTTTATGTCAGTCAACAACTGATCGTAGATCACCTCCGGGGAATCCTCAACCTCAAGACGTTGTGACAGAATCTTAACACAGGAATTAATTCCAGAGGAAAATCTCGCCCAATCAACTTTATTAGTGTTCAGTCTATTGACTGAGGCCTTTTGATATTTAGCGGAGACATCCGTACAAGCCACAACCAGGAAGTGATCCGAACTAAAGGTGTCAGAGGTAACATCAGCCGACGTAAGTCTACACAGGTCAGCAGAGACAAATATTAGGTCAATGTTCCCCCCAACCTTACCCCTACCACTAACATATGTAGGATCGCAATCGTTCAGCGGGACCAGGTTTGCCTCTTCCACAGCCTCGCTCAGTTGGATTCCCCTCAAATTGCAATTAATTGCCCCCCACATCCATGCGTGGGCATTAAAGTCACCGCATAGAATATAGGGATTTTCTTTAGTACCACAGCTAGTCAGCTGTTTCCAAATTCGAGAGGGAATCTTAACGTTAGGAGGGGCGTAGACCGAGAAAAACTGGATTTTCCCTATGTCAGAAGCAATGGTTACCCCTACACAATCAATGTATTCTAATATTGAGTGTTTGACTTTAATAGGCGCAACCATAAACCTGCTACGGACCAAGATCAACACCCCACCCCCATGTCGCTGATCAAGCCGATCGCAGCGATAGGTGGAATAGCCAGGGATTTGCCAAACTTTAGTTCCAGCAGTGAGCCAAGTTTCCGCAATGGCCAAGACATCCAGCCCATAAATATGTAACATCGACTCTATTTCAGCACGTTTATTTAGCACACTGTGAGCGTTCCAAATTCCATATTTAATAGTTTGATTGGTTGAAGACATCATTACGAACAACAATCCAATTACAGATTACTGTTATAAGTTATATTACCAGTAGAACAACGGGCAAACTATTTTCTCACTTCTATCCAATCCAAATATCAATTACCTCCTCAAAGTTTAACCAACAAAACTCCTCAAATAACTCCCGAGTATCCAAATACCTAAATAGCCATAGCAAAAAACAAGTAGTATATAAAATCAAAACAAAACAAAAAAAACCTCAAACAATTTGTAGAAAACTATTCCTTATCTCCCCTTTTTGAGGATTATTTAATGTGGATTAATTACCAACAAAATTAATTATCCTTAGTATAACCAATTGAATATATAGTAGTTTAATAATCCTTCAAGGAAGATAATACGATTAATTTTGCCAAATCCTCCTAAACATCTATCAAATTTAGTAGGAGGTGTTTTACAACCCGTAACCATTTATAGTACACAAAACAATAACACTCCAATTATTTTAATCGATTTTATATTTGAGCAGTCAGACTCAAATTATGAAACACAGTGAGAATTAAAATATAGAAATATTAAAACAGGGCCATCCCTTACCCCTCATTATTCCTTTTCTCTTTTTTTTTTTTTTTTTTTTCCCCCCTTCCCTTCCCTTTTTTCTTCTTTCTTTCTTTTCCCTTAGCCAACCTCTAAGCCCAATCAATACCAATAACTATAACGACTTAAAACTAACAAAAATAGAACTATTAAATCTCTTAGTAAATAAAAAAATTGAACTCTTCTAAGTGTTCATTTTGTAGAGAGATTCTCATTTATTGAGTTAATCAAGTTTGAGCGAGACTGATTGATATTTATAAGTGTGTTTACAGCCGATATTTTTTCAGACAGTTGATGCTGATTCAGCGCATTCGAAATTTCCAAAACCGGATCAGGAATGGGATTATTTACCTTATCTTGAAGGTCAATAGGTGTGGAAGACCTAGTTGGTTGGGTTGATGTCATACCCTGACGAATCACCGGCAAAGGCAGAGGTGTTTCACCCCTAGTTTCAATGTTATTTAATAAATCAGGATTTTCCGCATAAAACAGAAGTTTAGCCTCCTCTCTATTACAATTATGGATATAACGATATTTTAAAATGCCAAATTCAAATTTAAATACAGGGCACTCCGATGAAGAGGCCACATGGGAACCCTTGCAATTTTTACATTTTGGTTGCAAGTGACCATTCGGACAAAGGTCTGTCAAATGCCTTCCAGAACAAAATTCACACGTCGGGTAAGTCGAACGACATTGATTAGCCACATGGCAGTAACGCTGACAACGGAAGCATCTCCGAGGTCTCTGTAAGGAAGGAGTTATTGGGATAACAAAATCACCTAGTACAATGTTACGTGGAACGATAGGTGAATTGAAAGTAAATTCTATCTTTTCTAGAATTGTGTTCCTATCATCAATAATACGACGAATACTAGCTATATTATCCAAGTCTCCTTCACGACATACCCTGACTATATCCCTGACTGATCTGTTAGTGGGGAACCATCTTGTGAATCCCTTTTTTCTCAAAAAGGAATCTGGGATGAAGAGAACATATCCCGCCAATATTAGTTCTTTGGCACCAACTAAGGTGTTAGCATCTTGCCATTTTGCGCAATCAATTTTTATTTGATTTTTCCCATTACGTGTTATTTGTTTTCCCCCCTCAATAATAGGCGATATTAGATCAATTACACATATCGGGTCCAGTTTTCCAATATTTTTGCCTCTAATGGTGCTCTCCATTAAAACAATAAATGGGGGAGGGCTAGAAGCGGAATAGAGTGGAGGAAGAATACTATTATTCCATTCAAGATCGTGTTGATCCCAAATTACATCCTCAAACTGAGATTGATTGCTTGCATTTTCGGGACCAATATCCGCGGAATGTGGTTGTCGATCGGCCCGTATTTCTCGATAAGAATTTTTTTCAGGAATTAGGAGTTTTTTTGTAATATGACCAAATGAACCATCTGAAGAGCCCGTTGCCACTGATTCATTGTTATTCCTAACGGATATGTTCCTTTTCTTAGGATTAATTGAGGGTCTAATTGGGGAAGGAAGGAAAGAATTAGTGTCATTCTCCGCTGATTGAATATTATTCCCCGTCAAAAGATCTATATCCGCATCCATAACGCAACTCATGACCGCAGGATTAGGGATTTCATTTACACTGTGACCAGGTCGTTCCAAACCTCCAGACGGCACACCCTCCTCAGCAGACTCTTCCCTCAAGGACTCCATCTCATTCGTATTAAACCGGATCAAGCTGAAAAAAAATTCAAGTAAGTAAAGCAACCACAATAGAGAGAAACAATTTAGCCCTATTTTCACATCCAGTACCAAGACATCTATAATCAATCAGTAATCTAACTAATTAAGCAAAGAAAGAGAGAATTTTTTTTTTTTTTTTTTTTTTTTTTTCTTTTTCCCCTTTCCCTTTCTTTTTTTTTTTTTTTTTTTTTTTTTTTCTTTTTTTTTTTTTATTTTTTTTTTTTTAAGCAAATCTTAATTTGCTAATAATCCCCAAGATTTAAAAACGCACAATGTCTCAGTGATTAATAATTACAGGAGACTGACTGCTCAAATCCCCTATTTACCCAGCATAAGGAAAAAAAAGGAGGAAAAGCATTTCCAAACTTAACACGCTTATTTATTAACAAAATCAACTCTTATCTTTTTTTTTTCTTTTTTTCTTTTTCTTCTTTCCCTCTTTAACCTCCTTTTCCTCTCCTTATTCCTTTTTCTTTTTTAAACAAAATCAGCAAGAAAAATTAAAAAAAAAATAATAATGTACTCACTCAGGCAAGTTGAGGATTATGGTTTAAACCATTAATTTTTAAGCAGGGATAAAGCCAAGCAAATGAAGAATTTATTAGGAGAGAATAAATTGAAGGAAAGCATAAACTAAATTAGCACAAATCCAAAAAGCAGCAAACTCCAAAATATAAATCAGCAAGGCCGAATATTTATTTTCGAAATTAATACCTGTATTCCGATGGTATTAAAGAATGTGGCAAATTTTCCTCAAATTATCAACCATTGATTTTAGGTTATGAGACCATCACGCTTCCTTAATTGATTTTTCCGCTATTCCTTCTGCACGCTTTAAAAATCATTTTTCCATTCAGAAAGAAATCAGTAATAATTTATATAAAATCCATTTATCATAAGGTGTGGTTATTTATATTTAAGATGCACTCGGATTCATATATTGCTGTTAGACATGTGACCAAGAAGATAGTAGTATCTAACCACAATTAATATTATAATTCTCAATACAAATTCTTGCAATTATTTCACTCCTGGCTTAATACCAGGTTTAAATCAGTTTCAAACAAATATGAAATTTGATGAAATTTACCTTTTTTATTTGCGTAATTTACGCACTTTTATACAGAGGAACTTCTGAAATGTGACGGATTATTTTCTGTAAATTGTCGGTAAACTTGTGTAAATCACGTATTATATAATTACATTTAACAAACTTTATCTGTCCAACTCTGCAATCTGTCTATATAAATGTATTTTTTGTTTAGTTTTGATTGTCAATTTTCACTAATTTTTCTTAAAACGTGTTTTCTGTGACCAGTTTTTAATAAAAATATTAATTCTAAAATATGAATCATGTTCAACTTTTAAGTGGAAATTTAATGCCGCTCGTTGGATGTAAGTATAATAATTTTAAAACGCAGATTATAAAGATTCAGAAACATAACCTTATAATATAATAAAAACGAAATTTAAAATATAAAATTAATATACTATTGATTTGAAAATATAAATATGTTTTGTTGAAACATAAAATTGTATAAAGAAATATTTATTTATTTAATAATAAACGGTAAAATTAGATAATTTAAAATAATTAATTAATTTATGTTAAAATAATACATTTAAAGAAATAATTTTAAACTAGGATTAGATAAATACAATAATCATTAAAAAAAAAATTATTATTTTTTAAAGTCTATAAAAAAATAAGGAATGTAAATAAGTTATTAGTAATATTTTAGTTGGAACTTTTCGAGTGAACAGTGAAGATATTTTTAAAGTTCTCGATGAAGCTTTAAATGCAGGATATCGTTCAATTGGTAAGTAATGAAAATTTTTTTTCAATTTATTATTGTTATTATTATTATTATTATTATTATTATTATTATTATTATTATTGTTAATTTTAAAATTGTAGAAAATTTCCTTTTCCAAATTGATAATTTAATAATCAAAATTTGAACCATGGAAAGAAAAATAATATAAAGAAATTTATGTATTTTTTTTATTCTTATTTTCAATGTTTGACAGTGATTTTTCGATGACTCATAGTTAGTCATCCTCATCAGGATCTTTAAAAAAAGATTACACCAATTAAAATACTATTTAAAACTTATATTTACAAAATGATAAAAAAAAAAAAAATAAATTACCTAAATAATAAATTATTAGTTGTTAAAGTAAATCTTCGTAACTCTTTAATAATGAACTTTTGAAAAATGTTACGTATGAAGCAATGAATTTGATTTTAAAAAAATTAGATTTAAATTTTAAAAAATCATGATTTCTATCAGCCCTGTAACCTGTTATATCATATAATTATTTATTTATTTAAAAATTTACGGTCAAAACTCTTTCGTTATGTAAAGAAATAAATTTTTATAGACACTGCTGCTGTTTATAGAAACGAAGATGCAATTGGATCTGCTTTAAAGATATTGCTTCCAAAATATAATCTTAAGAGGGAAGACATTTTTATTACTACTAAACTTGGTAAGTGATATTAATGGAAAATAACAGAACAAAAAAAAAAAATTAATAATATAATTGACAATATTCGTCTCAGATTGAATAAAATAAAAATCACTTTTCGTTTTTCAAAAGTCGTCCTCTTTAAAAAATAAATAGTAAATATAATTAAAAATATTTATTTTATAAAGTTCCAATTTTTTTTTTCACAAAGGAATTAAAGAAATAATTAAATATAAATTTAGAATTTACCATTAAAAATAAAATATAAATTATTAACAAAGCATTTAAAAGTCATTTGAAAATTGGTAAATGAATAAACGTATTGATCAATAGACACTAACGAAGAATAAAATTCTTACAATAAGAAATAATTAGAAGAAAATAGGATTTTTGACCTTTTTTTTTGATAATCGAAGATAAACAATAGAGACGTAAAGGTGTCTATAAATAAATTAATAATTTATTAAATGTTTAATGTACTTTTTTGATTGCAATAGTAATTTTTTAAAAATTTATAGTCCAAAAAATTATTTAGTACAATTTGAACGAATTATTTAATTTTTGTAAAATTAAATTTGCTGAAAATTCTTTATACAAATTAGGTACAGACAATAGTTATTAAAAAAAAGAATTTAATTGTTTAAAAAAATATTTTAAATAATTGAATTTTAGAAGAACTTGGTTAAAAATTATTAAAAATAAGAAGATTCTTCTTGACGAAGAATTTTAAATGAAAATTTAGTAAAATAATTGAATTTCAAAAGAGCTACAGTCCAAATTTTTACAATTAAACAAATTTCCAATGATTTTGAATTGAAAATTTTGATTTGATGAACTTGATTTTTTTACAATTATTTTAGGCAATAATTTAATTTTCGACAAATTTTTCATTAAAATTAAAAATAATTAATTTTGCAAAAGAATTTTTGGATAAAAATTTTCAAAATAATTGAATTTTGCAAATACTACAGTTTATGCTAAGAAAAAACGTCACAGATTATTTTATTTTTAATTCAATAAATTAATTAATTTTCGAATTTTATTTTGTAAAAAATAAGTAGAGAGAAAGTTGATTTTTAAAATTTTATAATTTTATAAATTAAATAAATCGAAAAAATTTGTGAAAAACTCGTACAATTCGAGGCATGTATTAACAAAAAAAAAAAATTATTACACTACAAAAGCTAGTTATTATATAATAAATTTTTTATCTTAAAAATAAAAGGTCCAGCTGATAATGGCAATCCTGCAGGAGTTCGACGAGCTGTTCGTAATTCATTAATAGCTCTGCAAACTGATTACATTGATTTGTATTTAATTCATTGGCCGGGTGCAGGTAGAATTCACGAGAATTCATCTCTTAATCCCGAATTACGTAGTTTAACTTGGAAAACACTGGTGCAATTGCACCAAGAGGGTTGTCTAAAATCAATTGGCGTTTCTAATTACAATATTAATCATCTTCAACAGTTATTTCAAAAGTGTGAAGGCGTTAAACCCTCTGTAAATCAAGTAAGTTTTCCTCATTAAAAAAAAAAACCCCCCGAAAATAATTAGATTTCAAACATTTTTTTTTTTTTTTTAATAAGAATTTTCACTTACAAAAATTTTTAGCTAACGAATTATTGACAGAATTTTTATTTTACAGTCATTTAATTTACCTACATGACTTTTTATTTAAAAGAATTTGAATTTAAAAGAATTCTTCATTTCTTATTCAATCGAATTTTTAAATTACAGAAATTCCAATTCACCGAATTTTAATTTGTCCGAATTTTTGTTTATACGAATTTTTAATTGATAGAATTTTTTAAGATGCCGAATTTTTATTTCTCCGAAATTACAAATGGCCTAACAGACAATGTTCGGCCATTTTTAATTTTTGACAAATGCAAATTCGGCGTCTTAAAAATTTTTATTCATTAAAAATTCGGACAAATAAATATTCGAATAAATAAAAATTCAGTGAATTGAAATTTCTGTAATTTAAAAATTCAAATCAAATAAAATACAATTGATTGAGAATTCTGTTAAATTAAAATTCGCTTAAATTAATATTCTTTAAATTAAAAAAGTCATGTAGGTAAATTAAATGACTGTAAAATAAAAATTATGTCAAAAATTCGGTAGTTAAAAATTTTCTTCAAGTAAAAATTCTTATAAAAAGAAATTCTGTCAAATGCTAATTTGAAAAATGAAAATTTGTCTAAAAAATAATTATTTTTAATATAAAATATTTTTAAAAATAATTATATTCTAATTAATAATTTTTATTGGGAAATTCATGCGCCCCTTTTTAATTCAATTTGTAAATTTTTTAATTTAATAATTAATAATTATTAAATTAATAATAATAATAAAAAATAAGTAAATAATTTCTTTCACAGGTTGAATGTCATCCCCACTATCGTCAGGATGAATTATTGAAATTCTGTACCAAAGAGGGAATTCACCTTCAAGCATATTCCTCTTTAGGTGGAAGTGATAATGGAGCTCTATTAAATGATTCTACAGTTGTGAAAATTTCCTCAAATCTCAATGTATCCCCGGCGAGATTACTTTTAAAATGGGCCCTACAGCGAGGAATCGGTAAATAAATTTTTTTTTATTTACAAAATAATAGCCCATCATTGTATTTTTTTAAACCTTTGTCCGTGATTGACATTTTTTATTGCAAGAGGATAAAAAATATTTTGAAATAATTCGTAATTTAGAAAAAAACACAAAGAAAATTATTATTTTCTTTTTTTTTTTGCAGGTATCATTCCAAAGGCAAAAAGTGCTGAACACATAAAAGATAATTTAAAATTAGATTTCACAATTGATGAAGAATCAATGAAATTACTATTAAATTTACAGGAAAAAAAATATGCATGGGATCCAAGTAATGTGAATTAAAAATCAATTCACATAATAAAAATCTAATTTAATAATATAGAAAGAAAATTATTTTTAATTATAAAATCAATTAATATTAAATAGTTTAATAAAAGAAATTTAAAAAAAAATGTTAGAATTTGCAAATAAAATTACAAAATTGTGCCTTGACAAATACAAGTCATTGAAAAAAACTGGTAAACCAACAGCAAACGAATGGACCGTTTTGTCTGGTATTGTTTTAGAAAATAGTCTTAATGAATTATCAGTTATTTCACTATGCACAGGAACAAAATGTTTAAGTGGCAAAGAATTAATGAATACAAAATATAATGAAATTGGCATTAGATTAAGTGATTCACATGCTGAAATTTTAGCGCGACGAGCATTTCAACGATATTTATATAATGAAATTAATTTTCTTTTAAATAAACAAGAGAGTGATATTTTCATTTTGACAAATGAGAGGAGAATTAATTTGAAAAATGACATTTCATTTCATTTTTTCTCAAGTCAAACACCATGTGGAGATTGTTCAATTATTTCGAAAATCAACACATCTAATGATGTCGATAGTAATCGACCGTTTAAAAAAATGAAATTAATCAATAATAAAGAATGTGATGGGAATTTGGATGATGATAAAATTAAATTTGAAAATGATATTCATCGAACTGGTGCAAAATGTATTGGCAATGATGAAAGACAGGATTTACATTTATCGGGTGAAAATTATCATGTAGTTGGACCATTGCGTACAAAACCAGGCAGAGGTGATCGAACATTGAGTCTTTCTTGTTCGGACAAAATGGCAAAGTGAGAAAATTTAATTTAAATATAAATAAATATTTTCTAATATTTCAAGAATTTTCCATAAAATTATAAATAGTATAATTTTTTTTTTTTAAATTGAATTGAAATTTTCACATTTGACCCAATTTTTATAAATAAAAATAGTTATTTCTGAATTGTTTACAAGTAATAATTCAACGTTTCTTTTCTTTATAATGAATAAAAAAAAAAAAAAGAGAAATTCATTTTCTCAATAAAATTAATTTTTAGATGGAACGTTGTTGGAATACAAGGATCACTTTTATCTATATTAATTCCCGAAATAAAGTTTAAGTCAATAATAATTGGTGGCAATTGTCCATTTTCTCTTGAAGCAATGGAACGTGGTTTATTTAAACGATTTAATGATAAATTAATTGGACCAAAAATAATTCAATCCTCATTTGCATTTGACGAAAAAAAAGGAGAGACAAGAAAAAATCCATGTCCCTCCAGTATTGTATGGTGTTCAGTTTTAGAAAGGTATAGAAAAAAGATTTGTTTTAATTGAATTTTTCGATATAATACTTAATTTAGTTTTTTTGTTTTAATTGCATTTTAATTGTATTTTTAATTATTTATCTCTCATTGAAGAAATCTCGAGATCGCTGTCAACGGTAGAAAACAAGGTGTAACAAAGAAAAAATCAGGAATTTATCTACTTGTCAGTCGACGTGGAATGTTAAAATGTTTTTTGGAAATTTACGACAAATATTCAAAGGATATTCTTCATTTACCACAGCATCCAAAAAAAATTACTTATCTACATTGTAAAGAATGGTCACGAATCTATCGAAATTTGTGGCATCAGGCAAAAATTAATATTTTTTCCAAATGGCCTTCAAAGCCATTGACATTACAGAATTTTATATTGTAAAAATTATTGTTAAATTTTCTATATAGATTTCTATTGTAATTTTTAAAATCTAATAAAAAAAAAAAAAAAAAAAGTGAAGAAAAATTGGCTTAGTTTCTTTCAAAAATGCTACAATTTTCATTTCATATTTAAAAATACTTCTTTTCAAATATTCCATTATTTATTTACTTTCATTTCTTTAATTGATAAACAATTTTTCTATTCATTAATTATAGAATTTTTCGTCAGCGACAATTTTTTTTTCTCTGGTAATTAATTTGAATTAAAAAAGAATACTTTGATTATATAAAATATTTTATAATTTGTTTTCGATTAAATTATTTTTCTTTATTAAATGTATAAATTAAACATTTTCTTTTATAGAAGTTTTGTAATTATTATTATTCCTTTTTTTTAAATAGTTTTTCCAAACTATACTAAATCACAAAAGGATTATTATAAAAAATTGTTTTATTTATATGGAGAAAATAAGAATAAAAAGGATTTATTTACATTTAAATTTTTACCTCCATAAAAAGCTTCTTATCGAACTGGTTTATTATAATTGGAAAATCCAATTCCAATGCAAGTTAATGTCACTTGATTCTCTAATGTTACTGTATCGTCCTCGTCTTCTTTCACAAATTCCAATTGGAATTTAACACCGAAAAAATCTTTCAAATCACGTAAAAATTGAATCCTGCAAAAAAATTTTTTTTTTTTTTGGAAAAAAATTCAAATTCAGCTGCATTTTTTGGTATAAATAAAAAAAATTAAACTTTAAATTAAATTAATTTGATGTAAATGAAAATAAATTAATTTTAAACTAAAAACTAAACAAAATTTTTTCTCATATAAAAAATTATGAATGAAAATAAATTAATTATACATAAAAAAAAATGTAGAAAAATATTAGAAAAATATACACAAAACATTCAAAAAATTAAAATAAATGACATTAAAATGATAAAATGTTGATGATAGAAATAAAAAAAAAAATACAATTTTATGAGACAAATTTACAATACTTTTTCGACTTACATAACGGGAGTTAAGGGTCCCGTGATAATTTTCGAGATATCTTGTTTTCCAAGTGCCATAAAAAGTGCAGTTATCATTTGAAAAGGAGAATCGACACATCCATTTCTGGAAAAATAATATTTTTTCTATATTAATGTATTTTTCTATTATATTTTTAAGAAAAATTCCTTTATAAAAAAAAAAAAATTTCGTTATATATAGAGAAAAAAAACGAAACAAATATCTACCTGTGTATTTCGTCTAATAATTTTAAAGCTGCTTCTTTTCCTAAATCTTCAGGAATGCAGGGCAAACCACCTGGAGGAACAACCGGTGAAACAGCTTCACCACAATAAAAAACTCCCGTTGTTGTTTCGGCAGTTAGACAAATTCCAAATCCTTGCAAAAAAAACGAAAACTTATTTCTTTTTTCTTTCAAAAAAAAAAGTATTTAAAATTTTTTATTATAATTATTATTTTCTTAAGCCTTTTATGAATCAATAAGTTTCTTGTCTTTTTTCTCATCTTAATTCATTAAAATATTTGAATAATTTAAAAATTATTTCCCCTTATTTCTCACGAAATCATTGACATGATTTTTATTAAATTATATTTATTTTTTAATTTAGTGATACATACATAAATAATTTGTTTGATATATTATATTATTATTATTATTATTATTAATTATTAGAATTATTTTAAACGAAGAAAATAAATGAGAAATTACCTGGAGATTTACCGCTGACTGCACCTCGACTCGCGTCAGTGTGAATATAAACGTCTGGGATAAAATTTAAACACACTCCTTTAGCAGATTCAACGAGTCGATTTGAAATGGCTGGAGAGACTCTTAAACTACAAGAAACACCTCTGATTCGTTTCACTAAACCACTGTCTAGAAACTGAACAAAATTTTCTTTCATTTAAAATTTTTACTATAATACACGTATTTTTTTCTTCTTCATTCCAAAAATTTAATTTCAATGTTTTTACAAAACAGCATTATTATTCAAATAAGAATATTATCAAGAAAATTTATTTTGAAAATTTTATAATCGAACTAAGACAAATTTTCAAAATTTTAAAGGAGAACAAATTTCGAAAAAAAAAATCTTAAAGTTCCAGTTTTAAATTATTTTGAAGTCTGATTTAAGCAATTTATTCGTATTCAAAAATTTTACATACTTTTTTTAGTTTTAGTGGTCAAAAAAATTTCTAACAATTCAATTTTGGAATTTTGAAACTTTTTTAAATAATTGAATTTTTGAAGAATATTAATAAAAATTATTAAAAATAATTGAATTTTGGAAGAGTTAACAGTTGAAATTTTCAGAAATAATTGAATTTCAAAATATTTTGTTAAATTTCAAACAATAATTAAATTTTACGTAATTGAAAACAAATTTATCAAATATAATTTTGAATATATTTTTTTAAAAGTAATTGAAATTCAAGTGATTTTTGATTAAAATTTTCGGTGATTTCTGTTGCCGATAAACTTAGAAGAAGAAATTACAGAAAAAAATTGAACTTTAAAAGTTTTTAATTGAAAAATGTTTTCAGATAATTGAATTTTCGAAGAATATTATAAAAATACATTGTAAATATTTGAATTTCAGATGAGTTATAGTTGAAATTATGAAATTTTGCAGAAAGTTTTAGATGGAAAATTTTAGAAATAATTAAAAATTTTTTTAAAATAATTGTAAAGAAAGCAAAAAAAAAACAAAAAAAACCTGTAATGTCCTGAGACTACGAATCACTGGACATTTAAAATGAACTTCTCCACCTCCTAAAGGTGCGACGCCTCTTTTTTTAATTGTTAATTCAATTTCATAAGCAGGACCAAGAAATCGTTTAACAACTGGAATTCCCGAAGACTTCATTCTATCTATAGTTGGATCTAAAAAGTTAATAATTTCAATATTATTAACAGAAATTTTTCACATTTTCAAAAACAGAAACAAAAAAAATTGACAAAATAAAGTTATTACTAAAATATTTTTATTTAGAAAATAAAACGTAATTTTTTAACAAAAAAATAATGCTACGAGGAAATTTAATAATAAAAAAAATTATATATATAGGGTCAGTTGGGGTAAATGGGGACAAGAGGTTTTGGAGCTTAATTTACAGTTTTAAAATGAAGTTCAACGTCAATATTTTAACCTCAGATCACCTGCAATAGGTTTTGAGTATTGACAAGCTTTTATCTTGACAATTGGCAGCAAGATAATTAAAGTTATCGCTCAATGCATAAAAATTTGAAAATCAAAGTCAAACTGTTTCAGTATTTTTTTTCGCATTTCAAAATCATACACATTTTTTTCCTTATTTCTTATGATTCCTATAACAGAAATTCACTTGAATTTTTGATTTTTGTCAATTTGGTTAATAATGACAAGCTGTCCCCATTTACCCTGAGTTTTCAAATTTTTGGGGTAAATCGGGACAGCTTGTCATTATTAACCAAATTAACAAAAATCAAAAATTTAAGTGAATTTCTGTTATGGGAGTCATAAGGAATAAGAACAAAATTTTGTATGATTTTTAAGTCTGTTTTTTTCAAATGCGAGACAAAATACTGAAATAAAAAAAAAATAGAAAAAATAAAAAAATTTCAATTGGTTCAACTATTATATATGGGCAAATCCACAAAACTTTTAACTTTCAAGAAAAAAAAATTTATTTTTTTAATTTGCAGGCACATTGATGTCACTTTGTATAAACGTTTAAGTACATTTTAGCACTTCAAATTCATATGCGTGATTCATTTTTAGCTCACGCCGTCAATGTTTAACTCTTTAAACTCTTTAATGTTAATAAATTACATATAAAATTGAAAAATTCAACTTTTTTTATTTTTGATATCGGAGTGGTTTCCAAAGTATTTTCGTCCTCTGAACACGATTCTTGCACCCAAATTTGCTTAGCACGTCAGAATTTTGAGAAAAGAGGGGGTAAAGACTCCAAAAAAGTGTTTTCAGCATATTCTTAACTTAATAAAATTTATTTCACTCAAAATCCTTAAGCGTCGTTTTTGTGTTCAAATATATGTATAAAAATGTTTCGATCACACCATAGATTGACCTGTTTAAAGCAAAAATGCAGTTGTGCCTTTCAAAAATGTATAAATTTAAATGAAATCACGATTTTTATTATCATCTTTAAATTATTGCCACAGGAATACAATTAGAGGCACATCATTGAAAAAGGTCTTAAAATTTTTGTTTTTTCATCACCTTTTAAGAAATGTATTGAACTTTTATTTTTATCCAACATCGTAATAGATATTTTCATAAGAAGACGTTCAATTGAATTTTTTTAAAAAGTGCTATCACTCAATCAAACCTTTGTATTTTTAGTTTTAGTGGTGGCACACTAATGGAATAGTGAAAATTTTTTTGACAAAATATGTCTGTTAGATATTTCCATAGTAGCTGAAGTGATATTTTTTACACGCAGCAAAAATAAAAACGTTAAGAATAATATAAACTTTTTCAAGAAATTCAAATGAAATTTAAGCATTTTTTCACTTTTTAACTTATAAAACTAATTGTCAAATAAATATTTTGTTCTAATACTGTACATAAATGTTCCTTTGTATATAATTTAGCAAAAAAAATGATACTCAAAGTTTTAATTTAAAATAATTCAGATTTTTAAGTGTTCGATTCGAGAATCACAAAAGTTAAAAGTTTCGTGGATTTGACCATATCTACTAGAAATTTTTTTTCAAGTTTTTTCATCCCTTAATACAGTAATGTACTTAAGGAAACTTTTTTCTTAAAACTTTCTTAGAAACTATGCTGTCCCCATTTACCTCTGAATTTTATGAAATTTTCTAAATTTTGGGGTAAATGGGGACAGTCAGTTTCTTGCGTTTAAAGCTTATCTAAATTTTTTTCTGCTGCATAAATTTAATCCTGAAAATGTAAATAACAACTTAAAAAAAAAATAAATAAACCAGCAAATATTACCTTTTAAAAGAAGAAACTTACGTTATTTGTGAAAAATAGCGATTTTATCCCCATTTACCACAAGGGTAAGTCCACGTCAGAAATATCAGAATCTGCAAGTGGTTCTTCGATTTTAATGATACTTGGTAAAATTATAGCTTTATATAAGAGCAATGTGTAAGTAAAAGGAATTTTTAAAATATCTAAAATTGTAGGAGTTATATCACTTTTAATTTTGATACTGCATTTTTTTCTTTCCTTTATATCTCGGTCAATTTTCAACCGATTTTGATGAATCAAAAACGATTTTTTTCAGAAAATTTTAAAATAAAAATAAAATTTTGTTATTTAAATAGAAAAAAGTAAAAAACAAAATTTCTTTTAGATTTTTTTTCAATTTCGACCTCTTTTTTTTAATTTTTAATTTTTTAATAATATTCCTTTTTATTTTATCTTTAATTTAAAAAAAAATTCATCCTGGAGATTTTTTTAGATCTCGTGATATCGTTCTTTAAATATCCACATCTCAAGAAAACTAGGATCCAGATTTCTGTTTCTACTTTCATTTGTTTTATAATATTATTGTTACAAACTAGAAACATTCGCGTAATAATGTTTTTATTTTTAAATTACTTGACTAAAACAAGTGAAAATTCAAGCAAATCAATATTTTATTAATAGATTTGAAGCAAAGTTTTTATTTTTTGTAATATTTATAATTTCAAATAAATTGTAATGAAACCTTAACAATGCAACCTGAAATTATAGCTGAAGTTTTTAGCGGATTCTGATATTTCTGACGTGGACTTACCCACAACTGACCCTAATCATTGAAAAAAAAATATATATTACCTATTGTATTATTTGTGATGCCTTTGAATTTGACATTTAACGATTGTTTACAAAATGGAGCCAATGCCATTGCAACTTCTAAATAATATGAAATACTACGTTGTAAACTACATTCATGTTCAAATTCTCCACCTTCCAAATTTCCAGGTACATAATATAATGATGTTCCTGTTTCATTTACTTCTGCTCTCATTCCATTTGAGATTTTTCGAAGAAATGTCAATAAATTCAATTCAAATTCTGAAAGTAAATATTTATTTATATTTTTTTTGATTTTGAAAATTTTTTCCCCCAGTTTTTTTTTATATCTAAGATTAGATTAGATTTATTTTCTCCATTGTGTACTTTTTCAAAGTTTTACAATTTTTCTTTCCCGTAAGCTTAAAAAATAAAATAATTGTGAATAAATACCCCCAATTTTTATATTTAAATAAATAATAATATTAAGAAAATGTTTTTAATAAACTTGTTCTTATTGTTATAAAAAAATAAATACATTATAATATAATAAATAATACAATTAAAATAATTCGTAATATATTATTAATATAATGATAATAATAATTTGATGATAATTTTTTTAATTAACTAAATTAATTTAAATAATATTGACTAAAGAAAAATGTGACAAGAAAAAACTAACCTCGAATACCAGGATCGTCATTTTGACTTCTTATGTCTTCTATTTTAACCGATTTACCGGATAATGTTGAAAGAATTAATCTATTTTTTAGATAATTACATCCCTCGTAAATAAGAATATTATTTTTTACTTTGGCAGGCATTTTTTTTTACTGTAAATATAAATTAATAACAAAAGCACGTGTTTATTGCGAAAGCAGATGACAAGTTCACGATGATAGGTAAGCATCACATTTCGGACGTTCCACCGTAATACGTAACTTAAGAATTGTAATAATATGTAAAAATCGCTATCATTGACTGGCGCCAAAAATTAAAAAAGTAAATTCATTGAATTATTCAATCATTTAGTAATTAAAATTTATTTAATTTAATTATTGTAAATTCAATTATATTAAAATTTTAAAATATTAAAATTTTAATTGTTTAAAAAAGTTCAATTCTTTTACAATTGCAGGTCTTGGATCGACTTAAAGGCACAAAAAAAGTCGTTTTAGTCGATTTATATATTCCAAAAAAAAAATCGAAAAAGTCGATTATTTTTATTTTAACAAAAATATATTTTACAGATTTTTAAATTAAAATTTTTTTTTTTAAATAATAATACTTTTGGAAGGGTTAGAGTTGAAATTTTTTAGAAATAATTGAATTTCAAAAGATTTTGTTAATTTTCAGACAATAATTAAATTTTACAGAACTAAAAATAATTTATCAAATTATTTTAGATAACATTTTTTAAATGTAATTGAATTTTTAAAGATTTACAAATAAGATTTTTGAAATTAATTGAACTTCAAGTGATTTTTAATTTAACATATTTGATGATTTCACAAAAAAAATTGATTAGAAATTGCGGACAAAAATACAATAATTTGAAAATCATTTTTAATTGAAACATGGTTTCAGATAGTTGAATTTTTAAAGAATATTATAAAAATAGTTAAAAAATAATTGAATTTCCTTAGAATTATAATTTAAATTATTAAATTTCAAAAAATTTTCGATTGAAAATTTTAGAAGCTTTTAAATTCAAATTTTTTAAAATAATTGAATTTTAATTGAAATTTTGGATAATAATTTAATTTTAGTTGATTTTTGATTGAAAATTTTGATAATAATTAATTGTGAATTGAAATTTTTCAGAATAATTTAATTTTAGTTGATTTTGAATGGAAAATTTGGAAAATAATTGAATTTTATTTGATTTTAAATTGAAAATTTGGAAAATAATTGAATTTTAAAAGATTTTGAATTGTAAATTTTGAAAATAAATGAATTTTAGTTGATTTTGAATTGAAATTTTGGAAAATAATTGAATTTTAGTTAATTTTTAATTAAAATTTTGGGTAATAATTGAATTTTAGTTGATTTTGAATTGAAATTTTTGAAAATAATTGAATTTTATTTGATTTATGATTTTGAATTAAAATTTTTTTTGTAATTTTATTTATTTTTTTAAAATTATAAACAATTGACAAATTTCATAAAAATTTTAATTGAAAAATAATTTGAAATAATTGAATTTGTGATGAATTTCATTAAAATTATTAAAAATAATTAATTTAGTGAAGAATTTTAGTTTAAATTTTTTTAAAAAATGTAAAGGAAAGTCGTAATAGTCGCATTTTATTAAAATAAGCCGAAAAAAGTCGGAAATAGTCGAAAAAGTCGTATAATCCGAAGCCTGCAATTGATAATAATTGAATTTAAAAACAATTGAAAATTAAAAATAATTAAATTTAGAAATTTGGACAAAAATTAATAAAATTTTTATTTATTTAATATAAACAAGCAAAACAATAAACATTTGAAAAAAATATTTGTTTTAAATTTGAAAAAATAATAAAAAATTTCCGGTTTAATTTATAATTCTGTTATTTATGTTGAAAATAAAATTTGTTTATTATTCTCTCACAACGAAATTAAGAGAATGATCTAACTTTTTGATTAAAGTCAGAAAAATAAAAATTTCTATTCTAAAAAATTAGATAATTTAAAGAAATTATTATATTTTATTTTTTGAACAAAAAATATATTAATTCTCCTAAAATTTGAATAACTGCAACTATAATTTATTAATAGAAGTTAACATTAATCAATTAATTGTAATTTATTTAATTTCAGGAAACAACGGATAGTTTATTTTAAAAAATAATAATTAATAAAATGTTCCCTAATTTCTTGTAATCTAAAAATACTCAATTTTTGGTAAAATATTTTTATTCTTTGTAGAATTGAATTCACAGTACAAATATCATTTTCTCGATTAATAAATAAGAATAATTTTTTAAATTTTCATAAAATATTTTTTATTATTAACCTTTTTTTTTCTTTGTTGAAATTTTGACAAAAAAAATTAAGTAATAAAAAAATAATAGTACCAGTACCTAATATTTACCATAAAAATTTTATTTTTTTTGTTCCTTTCGAAGGGAAAAAATTTTAATTACAATTTTTTCATTATAAAAGTTAAAAAAAAAACTTATATTCTTTATCAAAATTACATATTAAGAGAGGTAATAAAATATTTATTATTTCATTATACAGCTTTAGTGCTTCTAAAATTACTGCTAACAGTATCTTAACAAATATATATCTTACAAACAAGTTATAAAAAGCAGTTTGTTAGAATTCAAGTATCACAAAATTATTTGATCTAATTCCACCAACCTTAAAAACTATTTTAATAGTAAATACTTATTTATTAAAAAAAAAATAGAAAAAAAACATTAAAATAATTATTTTTATGTAAATTTAATTTAATTATATATTTTTAAAAAAAATTCCAGAAGCGAATTTAGATTAATTACTTAATTACAGATTGGTTATTTTAATTTTTGAAGATACATAATAATAATAATAATAATAATAATAATACCTAATAATGAAGAAATTTCGCCGATGATTTATAATAATTCTACTAATGATAATTATAACTATTTGAAATTCAGTATTATTTTAACAAAACTGATTTAACATAATTAACAAATTCAAAAAGAAAAAAAAATATTAATAAAACACTTCAATCGTGATCATATAATTCAAAAGTCAACATATCATCTAAATATTAAGAGAATAAAATTGTTACGTGAAATAAATGATTAAAAATAATTCTATATCATCAATAATTTTGAAACACATTTCTTTAAATTATCTTGTAATTATAATATTAATTATATTATAATAAATTATAGAGAAATATAATAAATTGTAATATTTAATAATTTTTAAATATTACAAATTAATAATATAAGTCCACATAATAGTTGTGCAAAAAAAGAAAAAAAATCTATCGTCTAATAAATTTTATCTTTAATTTCTTTCACTGCTAGCAGGAATTTTTGCAATATTTATTCGCAAAATAAATATTCTGTAATGATTTTTCAATAATAACAAATATTTTATAAAAAAAAGAAGCGTTGTCTTCTTCTATAATTAATTTTTTTTTTTTTTGGACAAAATTTTACAAATATTTGAACAATGACAATTAAAAGTAAAATATACTATTAAAAATAAAAGACAAAATTTAATACTAAATTGTTTTTTTGCACTATTATTTTTGAACGAATTCTTCTATTTACGGTATTTTTTTTAAATTTTACTTTTTCTTGTTAGATAATAATTTTTAAAAAAATGTGTTTCAAAATACTTTTTTATTATTAATTGAAATTTTCGTTTAAAATTATATTATTTTAAATTAAGATTAATTTTTTCATTTTTACTTTTAGAGATTTAAATGTCAGAAACGATTTAAAATCATTCTTTTTTTTTTTATTACTATTATTCAAAGACATAATGAAAAATTATAAGTTCTTTTTCTTTTAAGTAAAAATAAAAAAAAGAAAAAGATTAAAAAAAGATTACCTTGAAATCATTTAAATTGATGATATCTTTAATTTACCAAAAAAAAGTCTTAGTTTTATACTCTCTTACTGAGTTGTAATCAGACTTGATTATTTTTTTTTCTCCATTAAAAGTGATGAATTTTAGTGCCCTTCTTCATCGGAACCAAAAAGCGAGCCATCATTTGACATATTTCTAATGAGACGACTTGAACGACGAGTTGATCGTACCTAAACGAGAAATATATTTATATAATATAATATTTAAACATTTTTTAAATAAAATTTTTTAGCACTTTAAAAATAACAGAATAAAAAAAATTATGACAGAATTTCCATTTTTAAATCCTTGAACTTGGAATCGTAAATTTATATAAAATATTTAGTATTTTAAAACAAAAATTGTAATTAAAAATCTCAAAAAATTCAAATTATTTATAAAAATCTTAACTCGTACTCTTCCAAAATTCAATTATTTCTAAAATTTGTATCTAAAATTCTTTGCTAAATTAATTAATTTCAATTAATTTTATCCAATTATTTAAAAATTCAATTAAATAAAAGATTTTTTTAAATTAAAAATTCTGTAAAATTAAATTACTGTTTGAAACTTTGTTAATAATTTTCAACTATTCTAATTTACTAAAATTTCAATTCAAAATACTTTTAAATTCAATTATTGTCTGAATTTCGGTTAAATTAGAATTATTTAAAAAAATAAAAAAACAGTTGGGTAAAGAGAAATTTTGTAAAATAAAAATTCTGTGAAGTGAATTTTCTGTTATATAAAAATTCTGTAATATAGAAAATCGTTTTAATGAAAATTCTGCAAAATAATAATTCGAACAAATAAAATTCAGCTCAATGGTAATTATCCTATCTAATGAAATTCGATGAAATAAAAATTCTAATATTTTTGATTTTTAGAACTTATTCATGCGTTACTATTAATAAAATGACAATAATAAATAATTATTATCAATTTATTATTAATATAAATAGAAATATTAAAAGAATAATAGTATATTATTCATAATTAATTTAATTGTAGTTGTTATTCTCTTACAATTTTACTCTAACTACAAAATAAAATAAAAATTCATTGTAATCAATTTTGAAAGGAATTTAAAGAAACAATTGTAAGTTAAGAATATCTTTTGTTTGCTATATTAAATAGACTGCAATTTAAATGTCATTTGCCTATAATAATGACAATAGAAAGCAATTAATTAATAGAACATATATGTATATATAAAAGCTGCTTATTTCTCAATAACTTCAGTTAAAAAAATTTCGAGAAAAAAAAAAGTGAACAAAAAAATGGCTTACATTATTGTGACATTTTTAATAACTAGTAGTTTGTTAGCTGCTTGCCAATTATATTACAAGTATAAATTAGATCAGTTAAAGGCAGTAACTGATTTAAAATTAAAAATTGAGAATACATAATTGTTTTTAAAAACGAAATTTAATTTAGTTTAATAATCAAAAATTTAAAATTTATTTTCTACCAGGGGTTAAAGTTTTTTGGAGTTAAATTTCTTTGGACATAAATTACAGTGAAGTTTTGTTATTAAAAATATAGAAGTAAATTCAAAGTGAAATTAGAGTAATTATTATAAAATCATTACAACGCAAGTGGGAATTGAAGATTTTTTGAAGAAGGAAGAATTTAAAGATTTGTTTAAAGAAATCGTGGGCAATATGAAAATATGGCAATGCAGAAAGAGAAGGTAAAAAAGGTTTTAAAAATAATAACTACAGAGTTTGCGTAAATATTAAAACACGTGATCAATTGTAGGGTAGTTGAGGAAAAAAAAGGGAGCAAAGTGACAAGAGAATGGTGACAAATTTGGAGAACAAAAAAAAGCATCGAGGATTTTTGGAGAATTAGAATTATTATAGAAGAACTTAAATCAAATGGGTGAGAGGCGTATTTGAATATTGTCGGATTTTAATTACAAAAATGTAAAACACAATAAATGTAATATCAATGAAATAAATCTTATCTATACATCAAAAATAATAATTTCAAATGATTATTAATTGAAATTTTTGTTTATTTCTGTTGATGAAGAATTTATTAGAAATTACCAACAAAAATTGAATTTTACAACTTTTTAATTGAAAAAAGCTTTCACATTATTGCCACGGATAAAGAAAATCATGAAATTCAGAGAAAACTTAGAAGAAAATTGTTTAGGAAAATCAGGAAAAAGTTATAGATTTTCATTAAAAACACTTGAAAAATATCAAAGGATTAAAATTTGTTAAACAAAATTGAAACTTTTGGCAAAAATAAAGAAATTTAATAAAATTTTCCATAATTTAAACAAAAAAAAATATTTTATCAAAGTCAGAGAAAGACAAAATTTTTTCTGAAAATCAGAGAAAAAAATAAATTAAATATTTGTGGCAACTCTGTTTCAGATAATTGAATTATCGAAAAATATTATAAAAATTATTCAAAAAATAATTAAAGTTTGGAAGTTGGAATTTGAAAATAAATAGTTGAAATTTTCAAAAATAATTGAATTTTAAAAAATTTTCTTAAATTTCAGATAATAATTAAATTTTACAAAATCGAAAATAATTTATCAAATAATTGTAAATTACAGACAAAAATAAAATTTCAAAAGAATTTAATTTGAAAAATGCCATCAGATAATTTAAAATAATTAAATTTCAGAATGTTTTAGATAAAAAATTTTAAAGATAATTAAATTAGGTTTTAAATTGAAATTTTTGAAAATAATTAAATTTCAAGTGATTTTGAATGAAAATTTTTTGGTAATTTTATTTGCTAATTGTTTGTTTTAATTTTTAAACAATTATTGAATTTCATAAAATTTTAAATAGAAAACTAGTTTAAGATAATTGAATTTTGTAAAGAAATTCATTAAAATTATTAAAAATAATTTAGAGAAGAATTTTATTTAAAAAATTTGTTAAATAATTGAAATAAAAAAAGATTTGAAGAAGATTTGCATTGCATATTCAAAAAGACGCATTTTATTTAAAAATTTTGTAAAAAATGTAAAAAAAAAAGAGGTACGCATGAATATGTTCTAAAAATTATTTAGTTAGAATTTTCATTTTATGAAATTTCAATTTTGTCATAATTATTTTTGAGCCGAATTTTTATTTGTTCGAATTAGTATTTAGGAGAATTTTCATCCAAACAATTTTCTATATTACAGAATTTTTATATAACCGAAAATTTACTTCACAGAATTTTTATTTGTTCCAATTTTTATTTGTCAGAATTTTTATTTGCTCGAATTTTCATTTAACATAATAGGCATTTTAAAGAATTTTTATTGGGTAAAATTTCATTGCATAGAATTTTATTCTTTCAGATGAATTTTCATTTGTTCGAATTATTATTTGATATAATTTCCATATAACCGATTTTTCATACTATAGAATTTTTACTTAACCGAAAAATCATTTAACAGAATTTCTAATTGATAAGAATTTTCATTTGTCCGAAATTGCAAATGTCCGAAACAATCGATTTCGGCGTGATTTTTAAAATCAACCAATCACATTTTTATGGAATATAGAAAACTTTTTTTTCTAAACATTTATACCAATTTTTCAAATCTCAATTAACATTTTAAAATAGAGAATTTGTTTAATTAATTAAAAAAAAAAACCACATACCTTTTTTTCATTGAAAAGATGACTTTCATTCATATTAATAACAATTGAAGTGCGATTAAGTTTCTTCGGTATTGTTCCTGTATTTTTCTTTTTATTTATTGCACGATCTGTTGAAAAGTCATCATCATCCATTCTATCTTCCTTAGTAAAAATAGAACCATCATCAGACAATTCATGATCTTGAATAATTAAACTGTTTTTAAATTCCTCACGTTTCTTTTTATGTGATTTTTTAATTGATTCACTTTGTTGACTTTTAAGATATTTTTTTGTTTTCAATAAATTCGGTGGCGTTGTTGTAATTAATGGCTTAGATTTTTTTTTCACAACAATTTCCTTATCATTATTAATTTCATAACTTGTTGATGGTTTTGAACCATCATATTCTTCATAGGTTTGTAAAAATTTCGTTGCCATTTGTGATATATTTTTAAAACTTGTTTCACTGGTACTATTATTATTATTATTATTATTATTATTACTATTATTTATATTTATACTGTGAAGACTTGATTCTGGTGTTAAAAAATTTGATACATTCAATAAATCGGTACTAATTTCCTTTAATGGTGTTTCTATTTGAAAATTTTCAATTGTTTCATTTTTAAATGAATAACGATTACCTTTTTTTTCTTTTTTATGTGATTTCTTGACAGAATTAATATTTCCCATTAATTCCAATGCTGATTTATTATTTTTTGGTGTTACTTTTTTCTCTGATTTTTCATTTCTTTTTGGTGTTAATTTTTGTTGATTTATTTTTCTTTTTTTCATTTTTTCTTTTTTATTTTTCGATGATTCATTTTTCTCCGGTGTAATAATAATAAATTGATCATCAATTATTTCACTTTGATCGATAATTGGCGTTTCACAACGATTCAATGGAAGATTTAATTGACTATTTAATTCATTGTCAGTGAATTTTCGATTGGGTGCAGATTTTTTTTTCTTAATTGGTGTGAAAATTTGAAATTCCTCATTCGATGATTTATAATCAATAGAATTTGAATCATTCATTGAAAGTGGATGAAATTCATCTTCAAGATTTGAGGAATTGGATAATTTTCTTTTTTGTGGCGATGGTGATGATTTTAATAATAATAATTGATTATCAAAATTGTCGTATGAATTATTTTTCAATAAATCAACATCATCATCATCATCATCATCATCATCATTATCATCATCGACAATTGAATTTGTCGATGTGGAAAAAGTGGATGAAATTTTTTCACGATCATAACTAAATATTTTTTGTCGTCTCGCAAAATTTGATAAAATTTTACTTCTCTTGTCTTTTTTATGTGATTTTTTCACTGAACTAAACATTGGAAGAAGAAGACGACTTGAATTTATATTTTCCGGTGTTGTCGATCGTTGTTCTGTATTTGATGTTGATGCTTCAATTTTTGATTCACTATTCTCATGATTTTTTGCGAGAATTCTTTTTTTATTTTCGTCTTTCAATTTTTTGTGTGATTTTTTTATTGAACTTCCAATAACACGTTCTAGTAAATCAATACGATTTATCGGTGTTGAAGGTCGTGTTTCATTTTTGGGTGAAATTGAAATTTCATCATTTTTTTTAGAAATTTCTTGTGAATTTGAATCATTGTCGTAGTTTAATTTTGTTGGTGTGAGAATTGTATTTTTGGAAATTTTCAAATTTTCTTGTTTTTTGTCAATGAAATTTTGTTTATTATTATCATCATCATCATTGCAGAAATTATCAATTTCTGAATAAGAAAAAATTGATCCGTCTAATGATTCATCCTCTTGACGATTGAAAGGTGATTTTTGACTTTTATCTTTTTTGTGAGATCGTTTTATTGAATTGACGTCAAATATTGAAGTTTTTGTTGTTTCTTCAATTGGCGGCGTTAATGGTCGTTGTTCGTTTGAAATGTCTAATTTTTCAGCGAGCTGCTCATCAGCCTCGGCTAGACGAGGAAATCGTTCCTGAAAAATAAAATAATTTAAAAATTTAGAAAAATGTCGCTTTATTTTTTTTTGTTTTAATTTTTAAATTATTGACTTTCATAAAATTTTTAATTGAAATATTTTATTGATAGAATTTAGAGAAAAATTAATAAGAAAAAAAAAAAAAAAATACATTACCTTTTTGTGACTTTTCTTAATCGCACTCATACTTTGAGGAATCAATTGAATTCTATTTTTTGGCGTTCTTGGTCCCGATGATGCAACATCATCAAAATCATTATATAAATTTCGCGGTGTACTGACAAAAATTTCCTTAATAAACGGTGATTTTTTATGTGTTTTCTTTAATGTTTGCTTATTGGGCGTCGATATTTTAATAATATTGTCAATTTTTTCCCTCAATTCAGAGCGTAATAATGGTGATTTATCAATAAAGTCAAATGGATGATTATTTGTTTTTCTCTGTGGTGTATGATGATTATGATATTTTAATGATTTTTTAACACTTCTACGTCGTTCTGATGGTGTTTGATTTTGATTTTCATCAATAGAATCAATTGATGTACCTAAAATACTACTGATATTTGATTCGGCTGGACTCGCTTCAAAATTCAATGATTTACCAATTTTTGGTGACGATGTACTCAAATTTAAATGTACAATATTACATGGACTACGATTATTATAATATGACAATCGTTTTGGACTTGGACTAAAGTTAAAATTTAATGTTTTATTAACTTTTTTCTTGCCAATAGTACTAATTGGACTACCATCAATACCACCACCACCACCACTACCAAAGCTACCAAAATTTAAGGCCTTCATAATTTTTGCCGATCGCGATAATTGTTTTTCATCGTCACAACAAATACTATCTAAACTTGTATTTGGTGATGATTTAAATTTTAAATCACTTTTCATTAATCCAGCGTCAAAATTTAATGAACGATTTATTCGACATCGTGCGAGATTTTTATTTTTTCTTGGCACCGATTTACTAAGCATTCTCGGTGAACCATAACGACTTTTTGAATAGAATTTCATATCTTCCTGTGGACTCCATTTCATGAAATAACGATTTCCACTTATTTCATTAGTGTTGTAATCGTAATTGTCATTACTACAGACACTCCCCTGAATTCTCTCATCGAGACTTTGATTATTGTACATTATTATTGTCCTTTTGATTTTTATCTTATCAATGACTTTTATTTATTTTTTTTTTTGTTTATTATGTACAAAATAAAATTTATACACTAATGACTGATAATTGTTTTTTCTACCATAATTCACGGGTATCTGTAAAATTTAAAAAAAGAGAACAATTATTTACAATTTCTGTATTTTTCATTAAAAAGTGGGACAAATTTCAGCAGCCAAAAGTTCTGAACGTTTTTAATAAACAAAAATACTTTTTTTCAATTTATAAATTATTAAAAATTATAATATGTCAATGTAAAATAAAACAGTAAATTAAACAAATATAATTAATAACTTCTTTTTAGATATTTAAAACAATATTTTGTAATAAAATTCGTACTTGAAAGAAGTTGACGAAAAAAATTTTCTTAATTTGAACGTTCAAAATTTTTGGCACATCAAATTTCTTCAAATTATCATTTTAAAAAAATCGGTCATAAAAACGAAGCTGAAGTACGCAAACGTTTATGATAAACGATTTTTAAAGAAATATTTTTTTAAAATGAAAAATTCTATAATCTTTTCGTTTAAAAAATATATCTTATAGTTTTCATTAATTAACAAATTATAAAAAAAAATATTTTTTAGGCAAAAAATTACAGAATTTTTCATTTTAAAAAATTATTTCTTTAAAAATCGTTTATCATAAACGTTAATAAAATCTAAAGAAAAAATGGTCGTTAAAGAGAATTCGACTAAAAATATGTGCATTTTATAATAAAATATTTCTTTCTTTACAGCCCTCGGATCGACTTTAAGGCACAAAAAAAGTTGTTTTAATCGATTTATATTCCAAAAAAAGTCGATTTTTTTTTTATTCAAACAAAATTTAATTAGTTAATAAATGTTTATAATTGAAATTATTAAATTTCAAAAAATTTTAGATGGAAAATTTTAGAAATAATTAAATTTTAGTTGATTTTGAATTGAAAAATTTGAAATAATTGAATTTCAATTGAAATTTTGTAATATAATTGAATTTTAGTTAATTTTTAAGTAAAATTTTGGAAAAATAATTGAATTTTAATTGGTTTTAAATTGAAATTTTGGAAAATAATTAAATTTAATTTGATTTTGAATTGAAAATTTTGATTAGCGAAAAGTTTTGAACGTTCAAATGAACGAAATATTTCTTTCAATTTATAAATTATTAAAAATTATGATAGCAATGTAAAATATAACAGTAAATTAAACTATTATTAAATTAATAATTTTTTTAAATATTTAAAACTATATTTTGTAATAAAATTCGTACGTAAAGAAGTTGCAAAAAAAATTTCGTTCATCTGAACGTTCAAAACTTTCGCTCCTAAATTTTGATAATAATTAATTTTTAATTGAAATTTTGGATAATAATTGAATTTTAGTTGATTTTGAATTAAAATTTTGAAAAATAATTGTATTTTAGTTGAAATTTTGGATTAAAAATTTTGATAATAATTTTTAATTGAAATTTTAGATAATAATTGAATTTTAGTTGATTTTGAATTCAAAATTTTGAAAATAATTGAATTTTAGTTGAAATTTGGGAAAATAATTGAATTTAGTTGATTTTGAAAATAATTGAGTTTCAATTGAAGTTTTTGAAAATAATTGAATTTTAGTTGATTTTTAATGGAAAATTTAAAAATAATTGAATTTCAAAAGATTATGTTAAATTTCAGACAATAATTATAATAAGAGAAATTTTTTATTGATTTCCGTTGATGAATTTTTTTTTTTAAATTCTTATAAAAAAAATTGAATTCCAAAAGTTTTTAATTGAAAATTACTTTCAGTTAATTGAATTTTCGAAAAATATTATAAAAATCTTAAAAAATAATTGAAATTTCAAATGATTTTGAATTAAAATTTTTTGCTAATTTTATTCTTTAATTTTTTAAAAAATTATAAACAATTATTAAATTTCATAAAAATTTTAATTAAAATATAATTTAAGATAATTGAATTTGTAAAGAATTTCATTAAAATTATTAAAAATAATTAATTTAGTGATGAATTTTAGTTAAAATTTTTTTGAAAAATTGAAATAAAGAAGATTTGCATTTTATACTAAAAAAAACCTATTTTGTTTAAACATTTTTTATCCCTGTAATAATTTTTAATAAATTTATGGACCAAAAACAAAAAATCCCGTTCACTTAAACGTCGGGAACTTCAGGCGCATATTAAAAAGAAATAAAAATAATTAATTTTTTTATAATTAAAAAGAAATTAAATTAATTAAAAATCAATTAAAATCAATTAAATAAAGTGAAAGAAATTAGTAAATTGGAAAATTTGTTCATAATACAAAAAAAAAAATAATAATAAAACGAAAATTAAAAGTGGTAAAAATAAATAATTCAAGGGCAATCAAATTATATCCGAGAATAATTTAATTTTCCAATATATGTTTATTTTCATTTTAAATTAAAACAAAAATTAAAAATCTTAAACAAATGACTAATTTTAACCTAAAAATAATATTTTGAAATTTAACAAATTTAACCAAAAATCGATATATATATTGTGAATTTTGTGAATAAAATAAAAATTATTTTTGCAAATTGTAACATAAACAGATATTAAAATTTAATTAACTGTTAAAATTTTGAAATGAAAAAAAAAAAAATTTCATGCGCAACAGGCACGAGGGCGAGGATTGAAATTTAAAAGGGACGCACAACAGTCCCTTTGTGAGTTTTTAAACATATGATGAAAACTATATTTACTTACCACTATTTTATCTGTTAGCCTGCAACAGCAATCAGTTTCTGATGAAAAATATAAAGTCCAACAATATCAAAAACAATTAAATTCACTATATTTACACGATATAATGCAATTAATACACAATTATAAATGTGACGAATTATTTTTCTCTAATACACAAAAAAAAAGCTCTTTAACGACTCTTCTTTCAATTTCTATTCAACTAATTTCACTTTAAAAAGACACGTTTCGTCTTGTCAGACTTTAGTTCCAAAGCGTGTGTACAGGTGGCGTATAAATCCAACGTCAAAGGGCGGGAAAATTTAAAACAAATTTAAACTAGTTTTCATAAATAAATAGTAATTAACATTGTTGATTAATAACTATAATTTTTTTTTGTTGTTTAGTAAATATTTTTTTTTTATTTAATTTTTTAGTAGTCTACGCAGACAATACGTAATTTGTAAATATTTAATAATTATAAATAACTCATGAAAAATAATAATGAAATTTCAAAAAATTGGGAATAAATATATTTATTATTTTTTAAATGTATATCAATAATCTAATTTATACATAAATTTGACTGAAAAGCTTCATGTCCAATTAAAGTGAAAAATATCAATAATATAAATATTATTGTATTTTTTTTTCTCTCTCTCAATTAAAACACGTGATTAAGAAATAAAATAATTATATCTATAGAATAATATAAAGTGTGCGTTTTAAATTCCCACAATAAAAATAAATAATTACATAATAATAATAATAATAAGAAAACTGAATTCATTAATATCACGTGATTTTTACCAATTGAATTTAAAAATATAGACATAGAAGAATCTCTGCTTTTTATAACGAAGCATATATGCAATTTCGTTGTTTAAAATTAAACTATAAATATTATCAATAAAAAAAAAATAACTATTTCTTCAAACAATGCAATGGATAACAAAAAAAAAAAAATATTACTTAAGAATACGAGTGACTTATTTTTTCATCCAATTTGAACAACAAATTTTTCGTGTACACATATAATTTACAATAAATTGGGATAACAATAATATTTAATTAGAATGCAGCGATGGACTTATCATCAAAATTCATAATAAAAAAATAGATTATATCAATTTTAATTAACAAATATATGTGCCTTAAATATTAATAAACACGATTAAATTTGCAAAATAGATCAATTTTTTTTACAACAAAAAGTCATTATAGTAATTTTGTATTACAAAACGTATTTTTGAACTAAAAAGTAATTTTTGTATTACAAAACGTATTTTTGAACTAAAAAGTAATTTTGTAGTAAAAAAGTAATTTTGTACTTAAAAAAGTAATTTTATAGTAACAAAATTATTTTTATAATAAAAAGTAATTTTGTAAGAAAAAAATATTATTGAATAAAACATTTTGAAGTAATTTTGAAGTAAAATAGTAATTTTGTACTTAAAAAAGTAATTTTATAGTAACAAAAAGTATTTTTGTATAAAAAAGTAATTTTGTATAATTAATTTTGTAGTAACAAAAAAATATTATTGAATAAAAAATGTAATTTTGTAGTAAAATAGTAATTTTGTACTTAAAAAAGGTAATTTTATAGTAACAAAAAGTATTTTTGTATAAAAAAGTAATTTTGTAGTAAAAAAAGATATCAAATAAAAAATATAATTTGGTAGTAAAAAAGTAATTTTGTACTTAAAAAAAAGTAATTTTACAGTATCAAAAAGTATTTTTGTGGTAAAAAAAAATATATTATTGAATTAAAAATGTAACAAAAAGTATTTTCTAATAAAAAAATGAATTTGTGGCAACAAAAAAATATTCTTGGATAAAAAATATAATTTTATAATAACAAAAAGTATTTTTGAACTATAAATACTCATTTTGTATAACAAAAAGTGTTTTTGTAGTAAAAGTTTGAATAAAAAATTAAATTTTGTAGTAAAAAACTAATTTTTTTTACTAAGAAAAGGTATTTTTCTTCTAAAAAGTAATTTTGTAATAGCAAATAGTATTTTTCCACTAAAAAATTATTTTTTTTTACCAAAAAAAAAACTAGTATTGAATGTAAAATATAATTTTTTTGTAACAAAAAGTACTTTTGTACTAAAAATTTTTGTAATATTGAAAATATTTTTGAAATGAAAAAGTAATTTTGTACCAAAAATTGTTTAAAAGTATTATTGAATAAAAAAAAATGTAATTTTGTAGTTAAAAAATTAATTTTGTGACAGAAAGTATTTTTATATGATGAAAAAGTAATTTTTGTAGAAAAAATAATTTTATAGTAAAAAAAGTAATTTTGTCATGCACTATAAATAGTTTTTTAAAATAAAAATAAATAAATTATTTTTTATAAAACGTTTGTAATACAAAAAAAAATTTGAATATGAAAAAAAAGAGAATTATCATTAAAAAATTTAATTACAATTCGTCCATCACTGGTGATACAGAAACAATTTAATTAAATTAATAATAATTAATCTAACTTTCTCAATTCATCGATAAACAATTTCCGATGAATTGAAATAATTTATTCATTTTCTTTATCTACATTTAATTAAATTCCCATAGCATTTACAAACTCGCTTTTCAATTTATTATTTTATGCTTTGTCTTTCCAATATTGATTTTATTTAAAAAAAAAAAAAAAAAAATTCAATGTTGCATGTAAAACTTAATTATATAATTAATAGCACTGTACAAATGTGTACGAGAATATAATATATTTATATATATATAAATAAAATTAAATCGCTACTTGTCAAACCTGTCCTTAACATTTGCCATCAGTTATTATTAATATTATTAATAATAATAATAATCATTGAATAAAATATTCTCTGAATTTTAAAAAATTTCTCCACATTTTTTTTTTCTTCAACTAGAGAGAAATTTCTTTCTATGACAATATCTATATATATCTATATATTTATTTAATCGTTGCAAAAACTTTCATTAACTTTATACTGACTGGAGTTTTATACACTTTTTGTTTTCCTTTAAAGGATCACATTGAAATTATTATAGCAAAAATTCATTTACAGAAACGATAAATTATTTTCTAATGATGATTTTCTAAATTACATTACAACAATAATTTGTATTAAATTTCTCATTTGTTTGTAATATGTATAAAAAATTATACAATTACAAAATAAGTGTTGCTAAAAAATTCTAAAATTTACACAGCTGTGTGATATTGTACAAATTGAAGAAAAAACAATTGTAAAAAGACAATAAAAATAATAATAATAATAATCTTTTCATGTTTTTTTTTTTAAAAACACTATCCGTTACTCATATTTTTTTCGAATTTTTATTTCATTATCAAAGTTATTATTTTATCATTCGTTTCCTTATATTTTTTTTTCCATATGAAAAAAGTAATCTGTTTGATGATTCTAACTGTTGGCAAAGCGAGTGATGGTCTATGTTGATAAAATAAATAAATAAATAAATATTTTTATTTATTTATTTATTTATTGGTACAGGTGCTGCAAAAAATAACCTTCAAACATGTGAATAAACAGATTGACTAATAATGGAATATTGGTCTCATCCTTTTGTTTTCATTATCGATTTATTTAAATGTTAAAACATTTAAATATGACAGTGAAAAAAAAAACTTTTATCAATCAAAAACAAAAATTTTCCCATTTATTTAAAAATAAAAAATAAAAATTGAATTAAAAAAAAAAAAAAACAACAAAAAAATTGTTAAAAGAAAAAGAAATATATTTAAAAAATTTAATTTACAGAAAATGTCTTTAATTTTTCAATAAACTACTTCATTTTTATATTTTAGTTGAAAAATTGCTATTTTCTTAAATATATTTAATCATTCTTAAGGAGGGTAGAGGGGGACCAAATAAATATAATTCATCGTAAACAAAAATATGTTTCACGATCAATTTTACAGATTATGTAAAAAAAAAAAAAAAACAAAAAATAGAAAACGTAAAGAAAAAAAAAAAATAAATAAAACTTACTAAAAAGAAACATAAATTTTTTTTTATAATGAAACTTTTTTTTCAATTATTGAAATTTCAGTCACGTATCTTTCTTTAAAAGAAAAAAAAATTATATACTTCATCGCTGAAGTAGAGAATTTTTCAAGTTTTATATTTCCATTTTTTTTTTTTTGTTCTTTTTCTGAAAAATTTGAGACTTTACATTAAAAAGGGATACGTAATGTTGGAATTATTGTATAAAGAGTTGCAAAGCCTTTGTATGGGGGGAGAGGAAAGGGGGGCAATGTGAAAAAAAGGATGAATATGTTACAACTACATGTTTGGGGGAGGGTTGAAAGGAGATGTTGATTTATGAGTGAGCTAATTGTTTTCAAATTTCATTAGAAGAATCGTTCCTTACGTTGCTGTCCGTTGACGACGTAGAGGGTGACCTGCTGGTATTGGATTCATTAGCGGCTCTGAAATAATATATTTTTTGCAAGTGTTTAATATTTTTTTAAAAAAGGATTATTTTTTTTTTTGATTTTAACAATTTACAAGTGTTTATTTTTTTTTGTCTTTGATTATTTAGGATCTAAAATAAATTTTTTTTTTATTCCCAAAAAAAAAAATTGATTTTTTTTTATTTTAACTACATTTAACTAGTTAATAAATAGTTTACTTAAAATAGTTCTATGCAATGAAATTCTAGCCAATAAAAATTCTTTAAAATGCCTATTATGTTAAATGAAAATTCTCACAAATAAAAATTGTATGAAGTGAATTTTCGGTTATATAAAAATTCTATAATGTAGAAAATCGTTTTAATGAAAATTCTGCAAAATACTAATTCGAATAAATAAAAATTCGGCTCTAAAATAATTATGACAAATGAAGACAATTTAAAAAAAATGTTGTAAAAATTTTTCTTAAATATTTGTAAAATATACTGAAAAAACAGATGTGATTATAAAATAAAAAACCAAAACATGAATACATTTAAAAAAAAAAAAATTACCTGAACAAAGCTGCTAAACTTGGTCCAACTGTATCTTGATTAGCTTCAGCAGTATTTTGTTCTCCCAAACTTTGTCTACAGATTGGACATGTTCCATGCTGAAAAAAAATTCATTTCATTTGCAATAAAAATTTCAAATTTGTTTAAAAAAATAAATTTAATAAATAAATCGAATTTAAATTAAAATTAATCCACATATCATCGTTTTCATCATTTATCTTGTTTTATAGCTCTTATTGGTTTTACTAATTGTGACTTTAAATTTTAAATTTAATTTAATTAAAAAATTTTTATAATATAAATTTAAAAAAAATATATTTATAACAATTTTTAAAATTTATAAAAGAAATAATTTTCTATTAATTTTCATTATTTATCATTAAAGAGACTTTTTTATGCCCGTCTGTATCTTGTAAATAAAATTCATACTTTGATTTTATGAAAATGCTGTTCAATTATAATTAAAAAATAAAAAAAAAAAAAAAAAACAATGCATAAAATATTTTTGCAAATATTAATTGTTAATATTTACCAATTCCAACCAGGGAACAATGCATGGTTCATGATAAACGTGTTGACAAGGTAGTTGCCTCACTGGTTCAGAAAGCTTAAAATCTTCCCAGCAAACGGAACACTGTAATTTGCTATCTAAAATGAAGAAAAATATTTTTTTTTTTGTTAGAAAAAATATTTTAATTTTTGAAATAAATACCTAGTTTATTAATATTTAATTTATTATAAATAGATATTAATATTCAATTAAAAAATATTTATCTTAAAATATTAACATTAACAAATATTTATATAATAAATATAATAATAAATTGATATTTAATAAATAAATGCCTATATTATTTAATTTAAATAAGATAAATTAAATAAAAACAAGTAAAGAAAAGAGAAAATTAACTTGAAAAACTTACCAACTTGACTTTGAGATACTTCTGTCGTTGGGATTTCATCGATTTGTTTTTTAGATAATGGTGGTGGTCCAGTGCAATCCATTTGATTCAATAATTGTGTTACAATTGCATCTAAACCTTCACGACCCCATACATAATCACCCGGATTGCCTATCAGCAGTCTAAGATTGAATCTATATTATTTTAAAAATAAATGTTTTAAACTGAACGAGAAATTTTTAAATTAAAAATTTATCATTGTACACGAAATCAAAATTTTTAGTATTCATATATAAAAAAAAAAAAAAAAAACCGTAATAAATATACCCAAACATGTCATTACATAGATTAAAACCTGGTTATTCAAGAAAAAGGTTGATCGGTTTCAAAATTTCAATTTTACAAATCATTTTTTTGTTTTTTTCAAAAAATATATAATTCAATTTTTTTTTTCAATAAATTCCAGAATTTTAAATCAAACATAAGTTATGTTTATAATAATCTTGCAAATTAAAAACAATGTTTTTAAAATATTCATCATTTTCTTTCCAAATTCCTTTTTTTAGAAAAATTTTTAAATAGAAATTTTCGGAATTCCAAATAAAGGAGAAATTGAGGCGAAAAATGGATTTAAGATATGAAAATTTTTAAAATGAAAAGAAAATGGAAAATTTTAGAATAATCGAAATTCATTTTAGAAAAGAAGAAATTGGAAGTAAAATTTGATAATTTTAGGAATTCTTTTTGCTTTTGCAATTTTCATTACTTATCATTTCGTTTTCATTTCTTAAAATAAAAAATTTTCTCTACTTTTTAATTTTTTTCACACTCCTTCAATTTTTGAATTTAAAATTTTTTGAAAAAGCGTAGCAACCCTGAGTCCTTAAAAAAAACAAACAAACAAACTTTCATGTTGAAAAAAAAGAGATACATACATGGGAGGAATTGCTGCACCTTGTTGAGACGGTGCACCAAATCCAACGCCAGATAAGTTAAAGATGAAATCGTGAAGTAAATTATCAATTGTCATTGGTGTATCTTGATGTCGACCTCGATTACTGTTAAACGAAAAGAAAAGAAAAAAATTTTCAAAAATTAGAATTTTATTTATTCTGATCAACAGGCCTCGGGAACGACTTTAGAGCGCAAAAAAGTAGTTTTAGTCGATTTACATTCCAAAAAAGTCGAATAAGTCGATTTTTTTTTTTTTATTAAATTTAATTAGTTAATAAATATTTTACTTTAAATAACTAATGATATTAGATATTAAATTCATTTTATTAATTCCTAATTTATTATTTTTAAATATTATCAAGAAAATTTATTTCGAATATTTCAGAATCGAAATAAGACAAATTATCAAAATTTTAAAGGAGAACAAATTTCTCAAAAAAAATCTTAAAGTTTCAGTTTAAAATTTTTTTGAAGTCTGATTTAAGCAATTTATTCGTATTTAACATTTTTACATACTTTTTTTAGTTTTAGTGGTAAAAAAAAATTTCTGACAACAATTCAATTTTGAAATTTTGAAATTTTTTTAAATAATTGAATTTTTGAAGAATATATTAATAAAAATTATTAAAAATAATTAAATTTTGGAGGAGTTTACAGTTGAAATTTTCAGAAATAATTGAATTTCAAACAATAATTAAATTTTACAGAATTGAAAATAATTGATTAAATATACCTATAATTTTAGATAATATTTTTTTAAAGTAAATGAACTTGAGTTGATTTTTGATTAAAATTAAAATTGATAAAAATTAACAAAAAAAAAAAAATTCCAAATGTTCAATTTTTAAAATTATTTGAAGTTTGATTTGAGCAATTTGTTTAAATTTCAAGGCAATACTTAATCAAGTTTTACAGATTTTTAAATAAAATTTTTTTTTTTTTAAATAATAATAATTTTGGAAGTTGAGTTAAAGTTGAATTGAATTTATCAAAAATTTTAGATAACATTTTTTAAAAGTAATTGAATTTTCAAAGATTTAAAATTTAGATTTTTGAAATTAATTGAAACTCGAGTGATTTTTAATTTAAAATTTTTGATGATTTCTGTTACTAAAAGATTTATTAGAAATTGTAGACAAAAATATAATAATTTGAAAACTATTTAAGTGAAAAATGGTTGCAGATAGTTGAATTTTCGAAGAATATTATAAAAATCATTAAAAATAATTGAAATTTTTGTAAATAATTAAATTTCAAGTGATTTTGAATTAATAATTTTTGGTAATTTTATTTGCTAATTTTTTTTTTGAAATTATAAACAATTATTAAATTTCATAAAAATTTTAATTGAAATATAGTTTAAGATAATTGAATTTTTGAAGAATTTCATTAAAATTATTAAAAATAATTAATTTAGTGAAGAATTTTAGTTAAAAATTGTTTAAATAATTGAAATAAAGAAGATCTGCATTGTATACTAAAAAAAAAAACATATTTTTGTTTAAAAATTTCATAATAAATGTAAAAAAAAAAGTCTAAAAAGTCGCATTCTATTAAAATAAGTCGAAAAAAGTCGTATATAATCCAAGGCCTGGATCAGTGAAAAATATTTTTCGTTTTTTTTTCTTTTTTTAAACGCCGCTCTAAATTTACATGAAAATAATAAAAAATAATGATTACCGAGATAGATTACTACGATGATACCTGCTACCGTGAACTCCAGAAGAACGTAATTCGCCAGACAATCGTGTTTGATAGGGTCTCCGCCTAATGGCCCTACTTCCTGTACTGATTGGCCCCTGATTGGTAATAAGTGAAAGACCCGCTGATTGCAATTCATCTTGATCTTGATCGTCAAGAAATCCCGGAAGCTATTTAAAAATTCATATCTTTTCATTGACAAATCTCAATATTTCAGGTCACGAAGTGTTTTCGACATTCAAAAAATTACTACGTACTTTACGTAGAAAAAAAAAAAAATTAATAATTTTTGGAAACTTATTTTTGAGTAAGACTTTTTTTTCAATTTTTATGAATTCAAATTTTGAGAATTTTTCTGATTCAAAAATTTTCTTTTCTTTTAATTATTATTTTATTCAACAAATTTTCTATAAATTGTTTCTTTTAGACAACTTTTTTTTTAAAATAACTTTATAAATTATTATTACTTTTTTATTCAGAGTGTCTACTAATTTCGTTCAACAAAATTCCCGGTCATTTCCCGGTTATTTCCTAATTTTTCAAGGTTTATTTTTTCTTGTATGAATAAATCTACAAATATCTACGAAAATTAACAATATTTTATGAAAATAATTGTTTTTTAATTTTATATATTTCTTTTATTGTATTATATTATTATATTATTCTTTTATTGTAGTCAATTCAGAAGTTTTTTAAAATCGCAATTTGGAGTAAGCTAACGAATTTAAATAAAACTTGGTAGTTTAATACCAGGAGGCTAAAAAAATAGCCATTTAAAAAAAAAAATTTTTTCTCAAAGAAAATTGTTAATTTATTAGAATGAAATTTTCTCCATCGGATTATGTAAATTTTAAGGTACAAACAATTCCAAGTTTTCCCTGACCATGGCAATCCTGTTTTTGAATCTGATTTGTGGAAATTTATTGCATGTTATTCAGAATTTCAGTAAATTTTTTTTTTTTGATTGAAAGATTTTAATTTATAAATTTCGTAGCCTGAAATGTGGAAAAATTAGGTTTTGCAGAATCTTTTTTTTCCGATGTGAAATATGAAAAAATTGCAAAAAAAAAAAATTCTTTCTACAAATTATTTAAATAAAATTTTTTAATTACAGTCATTCCTCTTATATCGACATCAATATCGGCATCCTCACTACCGAGGTCCATACTTGAACTGTTGTTGTTCCCTCCATTTTCTAATTCCTCGATAAATCCACCAGTGCACATAGGACACGTATAATTCTGTTGATAAAAAAAATGGGTTTTTTTTTATTGACACAAATTAAATGAATATACATTAAAATTAATGTAACTATGTAAATGTAGGTCACTTGTACATATAACTCGAGGAAGATGTAGTTAAAAGAAAATAAAAATTATTAAAAATACAGTATTAAAATAAATGAAACTGAAGTTACCAACGTTGATTCAACGAAAAAATAAAATTTAAGGATTCTAATTTCCATCAATAAAATTTGATTATTTTCAACCCTCTGAAACTTAAAATAAAAAAAAAAATATTTATCATTGTTTTGTTCAGGATTTTCCGTAAATTTCGAAATTTCAAGTAATTTTGATATTTCCTCGACTAGGAAGCAATTTTTCTCGTTTTATAATTATTTGTTTCAATGCTAAAAGCATTTTAAAAAACAGAAAAATTGCTTCTGAAGCGGGGAAAACAATATTTATCATTGTTTTGTCACGGATTTTTCAAAAATCCCGAAATTTCAAGAAAATTATTATTTCCCCGCCTCGGAAGCAATTTTTCTTGTTTGATAATTATTTATTTCAATGCTAGAAGCCTTTTAAAAAACAGAAAAATTGCTTCCAAGTCGGGGAAAGCAGTGATTTTGAATTTTTTGTCACGGATTTTCCAAAAATTTCAACTAAATTGCTATTTCCTCGCCTCGGAAGCTATTTTTCTTGTTTGATAATTATTTATTTCAATGCTAGAAGCCTTTAAAAGAAAAAAAAAAATTTTGCTTCCAAGTCGGGGAAATAGAAATTTTTTTGAAATTTCGGGATTTTAGGAAAATCTGTGAGAAAAAAGTCAAAATCACTGTTTTCCCCGACTTGGAAGCAATTTTTCTGTTTTTAAAAATGCTTCTAGCATTGAAATAAATAATTACCAAAACGAAGCTGAAGTACGTAACGTTTATGATAAACGATTTTTAAAGAAATAATTTTTTCAAATGAAAAATTCTATAATTTTTTGCCTAAAAAATTTTTTTTTATAATTGTTGATTAATGAAAACTACAAAAAATATTTTTTAGGCAAAAAATTATAAAATTTTTCATTTTAAAAAATTATTTCTTTAAAAATCGTTTATCATAAACGTTGCGTACTTCAGCTTCGTTTACCAAACGCAAAGAATTGCTTCCGAGGCGAGGAAATAGCAATTTACTTGAAATTTTGAGATTTTCGGAAAATCCGTGACAAAAAAAAATCAAAATCACTGCTTTCCCCGACTTGGAAGGAATTTTCTTGTTTTTTAATATGCTTCTAGCATTGAAACAAATAAGTATCAAACAAGAAAAATTGCTTCCGAGGCTGGGAAATAATAATTTACTTGAAATTTTTGAGATTTTCGGAAAATCCGTGACAAAAAAAAATCAAAATCACTGCTTTCCCTGACTTGGAAGCAATTTTTCTGTTTTTTAAAAGGCTTCTAGCATTTAAAATAAATAATAATTATCAAACGAGAAAATTTGCTTCCGAGTCGAGGAAATAACAAAATTACTTGAAATTTCGAAATTTTCGGAAAATCCGTGACAAAACAATGATAAATATTGTTTTTTTTTTCATTTCATGTTTCAGAGGGTTGAAAATAATCAAATTTTATTGATGGCAATTAGAATCCTCAAAATTTTATTTTTTCCTTGAATCAACGTTGGTTAACTTCAGTTTCTTAAAAATATTCGCAGAGAAAATATTGAATTTAAAATTTAAATGAAAATAGATTGTAATATTGAAAACTTACGCAATATTAATTCAATATTACACGATAATATTACCTGAATATTATACAGAACAATTTTTTCTTAAAGAGTTCAAATTTTTTTCCTAGCAAAATTTTGCAAAATTTTAATATTAAACCATTTTCTGAATTTTGCAATTGAATTTATTAATAAATTTAATTTTCAAGGAAATAATATTTTCAATTAATCATTTAATCATTATATATCGTCATCTTAATTATTTAAAGGAAATGTTAAGAAAATTTTATTGATACTTTGTTGTTTATTTTTTATCCTGCAAACATTTAATTTATAAATATATTGATATTTATAAATTTTTTTTTTTAAATTATTTTTACATAAAAATTCAATTTGAATTTTCCATTAAATAGTAAAATAAAAAAAAAATATAATCACTTAAACTGATGGAAATATTCTTATTAATAAAACAAAAGTTTGACTATTCTAGAAGATTTCATAATTCCAAATAAAAGTTTCTTATCAAATGTATAAAAATACTTGTTCTATATATATATATAAGGAAATAATGCACACATAAATACAATGACCTGTGTGTCATAATGAATTCTAAAATACTATCAAAAACTAGGTGAAAAAAGTAATGAATTTTCAATTGTAGAATAAAATGATAAATTTCTTTCTTTGTAAATAATATAATAGTTTATTGTTAAAAGTAATAAAAGCCGAAAAAAAATCGTTAATGTTATGACACTTTATATATATATATATATATATTGATGGTGGGAAATACGGAAATACGTTTTGGTGAATGAGCTGCCATCATTGATTTTCAATATGACGATAAAAATGGTAAATGTCTTCAAAACAAAGGTTAATGATTTTGTATTTTTTTTTTTTTTCTAATAATATAACATTTCACTGAAAATGGTCATCATATACCATCATCAATTGAAGCTGGAGAATTCTCTAACGAGAGGGGGAAAAAAATGGTTGTAGTGTCTGAATCATACGTGGGTTTCAAATGTCAATTTATAAAATATAGACGAATGAACAGCGCAATTAATTGGAAATTGATAACAATTAGGTTAGAGAGAATAAAATTTATTAATTACTCACGGGTAGTAAATTATCCACTTCGGAATTACACTCATGACAAAAAAATCGTGTTAGCAGAGGATTCTCAACAACGGCTTCAGCCATGTTTTACGGTGTCCTGTATCCTTCTCTCTTTTCCTGGTGGTGTCACTCTTTTCACGCGCACTCCACACGACGATCACATTCACGGTCGATCATAAACTAGGCGATTTCTGTATAGAAAGTCCTAAAGTAGTGTAGTGTAATTTATTTCATTGTTATGAAATTTTGACAGTAGATGGCATTGCGGTTGAATGTCAGAAATTGGCGGTAAAATTCAAAATTATATTTTATGACAATTGCTAGTCTACCTAGATATATATATATATAGCAAATAAAATATCGTTTTGTTTGAAACTTATTGTTTTGGAAGTTTCATAGAATTTTTAAATACGATTTTAATATCGGATTATCAAAATTCAAAATGGCTGATCCAATATGGTGACTAATTTTTATAAAAAGGCATTCAATTAGTCTTAGACTAATTACTAGGGGGTTTTCGGGTTCGCAGATTACGAATTTGACATTGGTTTTTCTAAATTCAAAATGGCTGATACAATATGGTAGAAAAAGTCATTGAATTGGACCTGAACTAATTACTCGGGGGGATTTTTGAGGTTGCAGATTACGAATTTGGCATCGGATTTCCAAAAATTCAAAATGGCGGATCAAATAGGACAGACGTTCTTAAAAAAAATTACCGGAAATCTTCTACTCGGGGGTTTTCGGGGTCGCAGAATACGAATTTGGCATCGAATTTTCAAAATTCAAAATGGCGGATCAAATAGGACAGACGTTCTTAAAAAAAATTACCAAATTTACCGGAAATCTTCTACTCGGGGGTTTTCGGGGTCGCAGAATACGAAATTGGCATCGAATTTTCGAAATTCAAAATGGCTGATCCAATATGGCGGCAAATTTTTAAAAATTCATTCAATTGGCCTGAAAGTAGTTACTGGAGGGTTTTCGGGGTCGCTGATTACGAAATTGACTTCAGATTTTTGAAATTCAAAATGGCGGATTCAAAATGAGAGACGTTCTTAAAAAAAAGTTATTAAATTTACCGGAAACTTACTACTTGAGAGATTTTTGGGGTCACAGATTATGAATTTGGCATCGGATTTTCAAAATTCAAAATGGCGGATCAAATAGGATAGACGTTCTTAAAAAAAATTACCAAATTTACCGAAAATCTTCTACTCGGGGGTTTTCGGGGTCGCAGAATACGAATTTGGCATCGAATTTTCGAAATTCAAAATGGCTGATCCAATATGGCAAAAAAATTTTAAAAATTCATTTAATTGACCTGAAAGTAGTTACTAGAGGGTTTTTGGGGGTCGCTGATTACGAATTTGACTTCGGATTATTGAAATTCAAAATGGCTGATCTAATATGGCGGCGAATTTTTTAAAAAGTAAAAGTTCTTAAAAAAAAGTTATCAAATTTACCGGAAACTTACTACTCGGGGTTGTTTTTGGGGTCGTAGATTACGAATTTGGCATCGAATTTTAAAAATTCAAAATGGCGGATCCAATATGACAGACGTTTTAATAATAATAATAAAAATACTAATATATTTTTCGAATATTCGACTTTTTATTTGTATAGAGTAATATTTTCTTTTACCTACACAAGTAAGTTCAATAGAGATTTTTTTTTGTTTCTATTTTCTAAAAGTGTCAAGTCAAATGTGTATATATTTTTTTTTAAAATTAAATGCATAATAATTGTCATATATGATAATTATCATAATCGTCTGCAGAAAAATAAGGTGAGGAATTTGATTATTCAAAATGAATAATTTTATTATATATATAATTAAAATGATTATCTTACATATATATAATATTTTTTTCATTATAATTAACGAAAAAATATGAAATTTATATTATTGGGTATTATTTCAATTTTGAAAATCAATTTCCTTTCTCTTTAATCATGAAGACAATTTTTTTAAAAATATTTTTAGAAGAAACATCAGATATAGTACATAGTTGATAGACTAAAAAATAAAAAAAAAAAAAAAAAAAAAAAAAAAAAAATTGATAGCATTTTTTATTGTAGGAAATAAATTTTGGCACAAATGGGGAGTGAGTTATACAATATACATACTGAACACATTTTTTTTTTTTTTTTTTCTTTTAAACTTGTAGCATTTTCGCAGAACACACTGCAGTTTTTGTAATAATATATAGTCGTACATTGAAAAATACAATAGTTGTTTCAATAAATTCTAAAAATTGTCTCTTCAAAAAAAAAAAAAATAATAATAATAATAATTTGTTTATATATAGATACTTGTGCGATGTTTCATAGATTTAAAGATTGTTGGAGCAAAAATTGTACTACACATAATAATAAATTTTGTTTTTGAAAATAATTATTTTTTTCTACATATCTAATTTGAAATTTTATCTAAATAGAGATTTTGTCTGATTTGACCAGAGAAAAAGAGACAATGAAATTTAGTTACTTTCAAAAAGCGAGCACATTTTTTTCTTTTCAATTTTCTATTTTTTTTATTTTCGTCTTTTTTTTCTTTTATACATTTTTTTTTCAATTTTCTTCAAAAACAAAAATAAAAAAATTATTTTGAAAAAATATTTAAAATTCTTTTTCTTTTCAATGTAAAAATTTTTTTAATTCAAATTTTCACAGCTAAATATATAGGTAAAAAATCAATTTATTTTATAATTAAAAAAATTTAAATTCAATTCTTTTTCTTCGAGTCAAAAAAATTAATGGGAGGGAGGGAAATATATTCTAATTTTTTTTTTCTTCGTAACTAGTGAGTAAATATAAAATTATATTTTTTTAAGACTTCTTTTATCGATACAACTATCGATTTTCTGATTTACGATTCTATATATAATATATATTTATTTAATATGTATAATATTATCACAACATACAAATAAATCGTAACAGAACGCAGGTAGCTGAACATCACATAGAGTTTCATTTTTTTTCTTCTTTCTTTTATAACAATCATACATGCTTTACACGTATACATGCAATAATTCTATTTTGTGTGGAAAGTTATGCGTATTTTTTTTATTTTGTTTTATTTTTTTTTTTTTAATAAAAATTATCGAAATTTTTTATTTTATTTTTTTTTTTTGCTAAGAGCGAGTAAGAATAAGTAACTAATTTTTTTTTTTTAATATCCTAAATGTTAATAATAATCAATATTAATTTTTGTGTCATTAGTTTAACTGTGCTGACATTTTTTCTTAGACGAAATACAATCAAATAGAAATATAAAATGATAATTTAAAGCTTGGATTGTTTTTGTTTTTTAAACATATAGAGAAATGTATATATATATATATATAATAATAATAATATTAATAATAGACGTTTAACGTTTACAATATAAATATATATATATGTATATATGTTTATAAAAATCGAAAGAAAATAGCACTTGTCTTAAATACGTAGTTATATAATAACATTACGTGATAGAGTTGATAACAATAGTTCAGCTTTAGAATATTATAATGCAATCAGAAAAAACTTTGTACAATGATATTTTTTTTTTTTTATAGAATTCATGTATTTTTGAGATGCATGTTTATTTAATTTTATAATTTTTTTTCTCCAAATTAATATATAATTAGCAGTGTGAAAATAATTTGTTGGATTATTTTATTGTTTTTTTTTCTTTTTTTTTTTTTGAAGCTGCAAACTTCTAAAAGAAAACTTAAAAAGTAAATTTATTTTTAATTTTGAAAATATTAATACAAAAGGTTTTAAAATATTAATAAAATATCAAAAGTAAGAAAATATTTTTAAAATATTAAAAATAAAATAATAAAAGTAAAAAAGTATTTTTTAAATATTAAAAATGAAATAATAAAAATATTAAAAATAAAAGAATAAAATAATTTTTTAAAAAAATATGTACCTTATATAGATAAATTGCAAAAATAAATTCACATACTATAATAGGAAAAAAATAAAATAATCATGCATCTCATTATATTCTTTCTTTTGTTTTCTCCATTTAATTATTATCGATGCCTGTCTCACAAAATATAAACCACTGAGCAATATATCAAGTTGACACGACAAAAACCAATGTTTTTCTTTTTATGGCAATTACAAAAAAAACCAGATCTATTTTCCACAATAAAAAAAAAAATTTTTTCCCTATTTTATCGCATCAACAAGATAATACAACAGCCTTTCTTTCATGTAAAATGTCATCATCTTACTTTAATTACAACTCAGAGTCGATAATTTTTTTTTTTTTTAAATTGGACCTTAAAAAAACATTTTTAAATTATTATTCTCATTTTTTTTGTGTTTTCATAATATCAAGCTAAGGATTTCATTCAAAAAAAAAAAAAAAAAAAAAATAATAATAATAATGAAATAATAAATAATACTGATAATTATTTGCAAACAGTAATAAATATTGTTTACATTATTTGTTCCCGTTTCACTGGATTGCGTTTGAGACTTTCATCAAATTTGTTTTATCGATTTCTCTTTATTCAACTCGCGAACACATTTATATATATAAATATTGAATGACACTGAAAAGACAAATGCTAATTTTAAACTAGAAATAAGTAAGTACAATTTTTTTTTTAAATTTCTTTAAGTTAATTAGATTTTAATAAAATTAAAAAAATTACAATTAACAAAAATAAGTTTCTTTTTATACAAAATTAATGAACTTTTTTTCAATTTCAGAAGAAAATAATTAATTAATATTTACAATATATTGTGATTATTTTAATTAAGTGAATTAAAATTAAAAAATATTAAATGCAAAATTGAAATTTTATTTTTAAAAAAAGAATTAAAAGATATAATTAAGTAAAATGAATAGTAAAAAATAAGAATAGATTAATTTAAAAATTTTTTTTTTTTTCATTAAAATGAAATTCTAAATATTTAATAAAAAAATATAAAAGTTAAAAAATATTATTTTAGTCTTAAATGTTTTTAATAAATTATCGTAAGCAAATCTGATGAATTCTCATTTGCGGAATAATGATTTATCCATTTATTTTCACAGTCCACTATAGATAGTTGTGAGAGTATATCGATTTAATAGCTTATTTTTTTATTTTTATTTTTATTTTTTTTATTTAAGGTGCACAAGAGAAGATTTCTAGATTGGAAAGAGATGATGTAGACGCTACACTTTTTTTAATAGCTTTATAATAATTATAGAGGATGATAAACAAGTATCAAGATTTTATTATTTCACTCTAGTCAAATTTCCAAGGAAGTTTTTTTATTTTTCAAAAAGTTTCTCAATTTCACAAAATTAATTTGAAAAATTTCACTCCTTTTTTTTTTTTTAAAGAAAACTCAGAAATTTATTGTTAAAAATGAAAAGTAATAAAAATTTTTTTCCAATAAATGAAAAAAATTATAAATTATAAAAATAAAAAATATAAATTATAATTATAAAAATATAAATTATAATAATCGCAACTATTATTTAGTAAATATGTTTTTTGTTTAACTAATTTTTTTATAAAATAAAATGTAATCAAATGGGAAAAACTAAATAATTTAAAAATATTTTTTGAAATAAATGAACGATCGTTTTAATTACATTAAATAAAATAAAAATTTTATTAAAAATTTATCTTAATTAAAAAATATTTACTAGCAACGAAAAAATATTTTCTAAATAATAGTCGAGCAATATTATAAATAAGAAATAATTTTTTTTTCCAGTGCCTTTCTGGGTCAGTCTATTATATTTCGATCAAAGCCGTTGAGGCCTTTTTTTAAAATTTTAATATTTTTGTAGAAATAATATTAAATGTTCTAATGTAAAATTTTAGAAAATCATTGTTAAATATGAATTATTAGAATATTTACGATTATTTCTACAAAAATATTAAAAATAGAATTTTTTTTTAGAAAAGGCCTCAATTTTGGTGGAAATATAATAGATTGACCTTTGTATATTAAAATAAAAAAAGTGAAAAAAATTCACTGAAATAGAATTCAAGTCTGAATTTTGAAAAGATTTCTATAAGTATTATACACTTTTAAACTTCTTAATTTTTTTTTCCTTTTACTTTTTCGAAAGAAAAAGAATATTTTTCTAATAAAATCAGTTTTCAATAACGATAACGTCTTGATGAACACCATATAATCGCAAATGATTTTCGCGTTTTGAAAAATTGTACTTTCTCGATATCCTAACACTCACTATTAAATACTAATATATATATATATACCTATAACAACTACTTTTATTTTAATTCGAAAATGATAAAATCTGATTTCACGTACACGCGTCAATAAAGACGCTCGGTTCTTCTTTTTTTTTTCTTTCTCTTTTTTTCTTTCAATAATATATTTTTTTTTTTTTTGGTATTGATACATTTTTATTCGATTCGGTAACTTTTTAACGTTATCTACTTTCCAATCGTTGATTGAAATTTATTTTTTTCCGCTTTTTTTTTTTTTTTTTTTTTTTTTTTAAATAAATTGTATATTAGTATTTTCTCTCTATATCGAAAAGACCAATATTATATAATGACTAGGCATTTCACAAACATCTTTCGTCGTGTAAAAATTATTTGTGATTTAAAGAAATTATTTAATATGAAAGAGACTTTGTTTTCTTTTATATATATGTACACATTATAAAAAAATAAAAATTTCTATAGAAAAAATAATTAATTTTTTTTCAATTATCATTCTTTTTGTAAATAATATTATGATTAATAATATAATAATAATTATTATTATTTGAATATAATAATTATAATATATAATTATATTATTGTGTAAAAAATTATATATTATAATAATTAGAATGTAATAATTATAATAAATAATTATTATAATAATTTATTAGTTTGCTTACTTGTTAAATTGTAAGGAAGAATAAAATTTTTAATTTAGAGGACTTTAAGAAGATAAATTCGATTAGTAAGATGTTTGTGGAGTTCCTGCTTTCTGCACATCTATCTCAATTTTTTTTTTTAATCGATACAATATAGTACCCTGAATCGCAATACTGCTAGAAAACTGGAAAGCTTAAGTTTGCCTCTTGCTTCTAAAAATGACTGTTTAAGAACGATGCCGGGTACTAATTTTGGTAACTTTTAGTTCTTTTTTTTTGGCACTCACATATATCATACAGGTAGGTTTTGTGAATCTTCATTTTTGGAATTAATCCTCTCACTGATGGTATTCATTTTTGTTTTTTTTTTATTCACCATCTGAAGATTCTGTGGAGCTTTCTGGCATTGAACTAAACCAATTTCCTCGAGTACCAGCGCTCCTGAAAATAAAAATTTCTTTCTTTCTATATTGTCGAAATATAAAAATAATATTATCATTGAATGTGACTGGAAAATAATAAAAAAAATTTTTATTAAAATAAAATTTGAAAAAAAAAATTCTATTCTACAAGCATTTATGTGATAGAAAAAGTTATATTTAAAAAAGATTTTACTGAATTTTAAATTTATTATTAAATTGAGTTTATATTTAACTTAATCGTCATTGTTTAATTTCTACTTCGCTGAGTCTTTATTTCTTATAAGTGCTAATTCTGTTAAATCAGGCCCCGGATCGTCTTTAAGACGCAAAAAAAGTCGATTTACATTACAAAAGAGGTCGAAAAAGACGATTTTTTTAATTTTAATTAAATTTAATTAGTTAATAAATATTTTAATTTAAATAACTAATGTTACTAAATATTAAATATTTTACTTTAAATTACTAATGTTATTATAGATATTAAATTCATTTTATTAATTCCTTATTTATTATTTTTAAATATTATTAAAAAAATTTATTTCGATAATTTCAAAATCGAACTAAGACAAATTTTCATAATTGTAATTTTAAGTAGTACAAATTTTAAAAATTCAAATTCAATAATTTTGGTATAAATAAAAAAAAATATTAATAATTCAATAAAATAACAATAATTAAGTTTTACAGATTTTTAAATTAATTTTTTTTTTAAAACTGAATTGCAAAAAATTTTAAAGAAATTAATTTGTCTGGAAATTTAAACTGTTGCAGTTTTTTTTTTAAATTTCAGACAACAATTCAATTTTAGAGTTTTTATTTGAAACTTTTTTAAATAATTGAATTTTTAAAGAAATATTAAAATTATTAAAAATAATTGAATTTTGGAAGAGTTATATTTAAAATTATTAGAAATAATTGAGTTTTAAAAGGGTTTGTTAAATTTAGAAAAATAATTTAATTATACGAAATTGAAAATAATTTATCAAATAATGGAATTTTTAAAGATTTACAATTCAGATTTTTGAAAATAATTGAAATTCAAGTGATTTTTTATTGAAATTTTTTGTAATTTCAGTTGAAATTTTTTTTTTTTTTTACAAATTACAGATAAAAATTGAACTTTAAATTTTTGAATTGAAAAATGCTTTCAGAATATTGAATTTTTGAAGAATATTATAAAAATCATTAAAAATAATTAAATTTCGGAGAAGTTATAGTTAAAATGATTAAATTTCATAAAATTTTAGATGGAAAAGTTTTAGAAATTATTAAATTTCAGAAGGTTTTAATTTGAAATTTTTGGAAATAATTGAATTTTAAATAATTTTGAATTTAAATTATCGGTAAGTTTTGTTGCTGAAGAATTTATTAGAAATTGCAAACAAAAATTGAATTTCAAAAGTTTTTAATTAAAAAATTCTTTCAAATAATTGAATATTTGAAGAATATCATAAAAATTATTAATAATGTTTGAATTTTTTGAAGAGTTACATTTAAAATTTTCAGAAATCATTGATTTTCACAAGATTTTGTTAAATTTAAGAAAATAATTAAATTTTATAGAGTTGAAAACAATAATTAAAATTTATAGAATTGATGAAGCATTTATAAGCTCTCAGTCCGAGGATTTCACTAATATTATATCATTTCTTATTCTTATTTAATTAAATATATATATTATTCCGTTGATTTTTACGAATAGAGGAAACGGTTCCTCTTCCTCTACTATATTTTTTTTTATTATGAAATAAATATCTTTCCACATTTAATTTTACTTTTTCAATTTTTCTTATCATTGGTTTTCCTTTTATTTTATTTAGTCATTGTTGCTTTGCTGACTTTAATTATAAAAGCCATCTATAAAAAAAAATTTCTTTAAAAAAAAAAAATATTAAAAAAATATTTGTTACTAAATTATTCTAATTTTTATTTTATTCCTTACTATGCTACTTATTATAATGCCTATTCTATAATACTGTTGCACTGTTGAAATTCAAGTGATTTTTGATTGAAATTTCCTCTGATTTCTGTGGTTGAAGAATTTTTTTTTAGAAATTACAAAGAAAAAATTGAACTTTAAAAGTTTTTAATTAAATAATGTTTTCGGATAATTAAATTTTCGAAGGATATTATAAAAATCATAAATATTTGAATTTCAGAGGAATTATACTTGAAATTAATAAAAAAAAATTATATTTTCAAAAAAAAAAAAAAAAAAATCGGAAAAAGTCGTATAATCCGAGGCCTGTTAAATGAAAATCTGATAAAATAATTTCGTTAAATGGAAGTTTAATTTAGTGTTAATTCGGATAAAATATCAATTCAGTTTCATAAAAATATGTATACAATTAAATTAATTACCTTGATCGTTGACGAGTACTTGTCGGAAGTGTGAGTGATGTCCGATAATATTGAGGTGTTGCACTCGAGGCAGTTTCTTCAGGTCTTCTTTGTAGCGTCATTGTTTCATGAGGTGATGTCACCAATTCATCCTCGTTGTCTAAATAATATCGAGAACCAGTAGCACTCTTGCAATTTTCACACTCGCTACGATAATCATCGGCTTCATCGTGTAACGGTGGTAAAACTTGCATGCTGCAAGTGCACGTCACCGAATCGAAACTTCCATCTTGATTAATGTCATTACTCGCTGCCAATGGTGGCTAAAAATTAATTATATATTTATTTTTAACTTTTTCTGTCGGATTCTGCTATTTAAAAATTCGACTATAAGTAGAAATTTTGTTTAAAAAAAAAATTCTACTAAATAGAAATTATATTTAATAAAAATTCAATGAACAAAATAATCTGTTGTATAAAAAGTTTAGTTAAATAAAAATTCTTAAATATATAAATTCAATTATTTAAATTCTACTTTATAAAATTCGGTAACAGAAATTCGAGCTTAATTTCAAAACCGTAGAAATTTCAAAAAATTCAGTATGGGGATTAGTAATACATCCCCATGTTATAAAAGAAAATATCAAACATGTATATTAGGGTGGTCGTAAAAAATTTTTTTTTCGTATTTTGACCATTCTCGCCCCATATTTTGTTATAAATGAAAAAAAAGAGATAAGAATTTTTTTGTTTCGATTTTAATAAAAATTTAATGGTGCCTCAGAGCACTTGAAATTTTACGAGCATTTTACATGGGGGAAAAAAACACTTTTTCGTAAATTGACTGTCAAAATGTCAAAAACCAATATTTTTTGACAGAACTTCTCTACTTTTCTTCAGAAATGTTCGAAGAATAACACACAACAAATGATTTATAAAATTTTTAATGTTAACTATTTTTTAAACGACCTCAAAGTGCCCTAAAAAGTGAAACAATATGTAATATATTAAAAAATTGCTTATTATTTTCTTCCTGTTTATTTATTTAGCAGATTTAGTTATTCCTTAATTAAAACTAGTATTTTTGTTTGTCAGTGTATAAATTTTTAAAATTATTTAAACAATTTTTAATTTTTGCTATTTAACTATTCTCAAATTAATTTCTAGAAATACTTTTTTCTCCTAACTTATCAACATTTATTGCTTTTTAATTGAAAGATACAACAATTAGTCAACAAAAAATTACCAATTGTTTAAATAAATTATTTTTGCTACTTGATAACTTTTCTTAAAATATACATTGATTTTTACATTTTTTTTTAAATTTTTCAAAAAATCTTGCTCAAATTTCTTATGAACAAAGAATTAATTAATCAAGTAAGAAAATTAATTTATTTAAATATTGTTTTGTTTAAAAATTGTTGTATTTTTTAATAAAAAAAAGCAATGAAAGTTAAAAAAAAAATTAGGAAAAAATACTATTTTTCTGGTTGAATTTGAGAATAGTTAAAGAAAAAAATGATGATTTAATTTAAATAAGTTTAATTTTATTGCAAATACAAATAGAAATACTAGTTTTATTTAAAGAATAACAAATTTTGCTAAAGAGATAAACAGATAGAAAGTAATAAGCAATTTTTTTATATATTACATTTTTTTGCCTTTTTAGGGCACTTTGACACAGTAGTCCTCAAGCATCGCCGCAGGTCTTATTAAAATGGATCCAAAAATTTACTGAACAAGCTTTTAGAGGACTGTTCCTAGATGTAAAAACTGTTTTTTATAAAATCCTAGCTGATCGTTTTTTCGAAAAAACTCAAAATTACGTTTTATGATTCTTAATATTAATATTTTAATTTATTCTTTAGAATAATTGGCCACTTTATCTATAATATAATTATAATACCACCTTCAGCTGACCCCAGGAAGAACGACGTGGACGTAGTGATATAATAGTCACATTTTTTTTTAATTAAATTTTTTTTTAAAAGTTTTTTTTGTTTTTGTCTTTTTTTATAAATGAACCTTCTGAATCTTAATTTAAATATGTTTTGATGAAAACTCGACAACTGTCTTCTTCAGCCTCAATGAATAGGAAGAGTCAGTAATAATATTAATCTTGTACCGCTCCCAGAATTTTAAAAACTCGCGGTGGATTAATTCACCTGCTTGCTCTGACCATGTGCATAGCCAAATAATATTTAAAAACTACAGTGAGTCTTTTAAATGTGCCAAGAGTACATGAATTTTTAACTTCTCTGAAATTTGTAAGCTCAATGGAAATTTTTTATCATTGAAATTAAAACTACTGTTGATAAATTTTTTAATTAGATTAGTTAACTTTTCGTTTATAAGAAACTTTTTTGGTTTAACTTTTTCAAAAGCAATTTTTTGACCGCAAGGTGCACATATTTTCTTCCGGTTCTCCTCATGAGAACTTATTTTAAAATAGAGAAAAGCATTGGCAGTTGTCGAGTTTTCATCAAATCTTATTTAAATTAAGATTCAGAAGGTTCATTTATAAAAAAAGACAAAAACAAAAAAAACTTTTAAAAAAAAATTAAATTAAAAAAAATGTGACTATTATACCACTACGTCCACGTCGTTGTTCCTGGGGTCAGCTGAAGGTGGTATTATAATAAATATTATAGATAAAATGGCCAATTATTCTAAAGAATAAATTAAAATATTAATATTAAGAATGAATATGCTTCTAAAAGCTTGTTCAGTCAATTTTTGGATTCATTTTAGTCGAACCTGTCGATGCTCGAGAACCACTGTGTTGAGGTCGTTTAAAAAATAGTTAACATTAAAAATTTTATAAATCATTTGTTGTGTGTTATTCTTCGAAAATTTCTGAAGAAAAGTAGAGTAGTCCGGTCAAAAAATATTGATTTTTGACAGTAAATTCACGAAAAAGTGTTTTTTCCCCATGTAAAATGCACGTAAAACTTCAAGTGCTCTGAGGTACCATTAAATTTTGATTAAAATCGAAACAAAAAAATAAGTATCTCTTTTTTTCCATTTATAACAAAATGTGGGGCGGGAATGGTTAAAATTAGAAAAAAAAATTTTTTAGGACCACCCTAATGTATATTATAAATATCGATATAAACTATCAGTTTTATTATAAATTTTTCCAAATAAAATAAAAAAAATAATGACCAACCTTATAATTACACATTAAAGGTGTGATCTCAGGTGGTTTCCCCTCAGCTTGAGAGCCAGTTGCCTTCGACGCAAGGACATCCTCATAAAGTGTGTCCGATCGAATGGCATTATCGGTAATTGGCAGTGATGGTGGTGCTGATCGTGGCGAACGTTCCGGTGAAGTGCACTTTGGTGGTGCATCGAAAAGTGGTGCAATTGGCTGATGCATCATAAATTCACGTCTAAGCCTGAGACTGCCAGTTGTTGCCAATGATCTTGGAATTGTACGATGTGTCGATGCACCTGAATTTGGTAATGTTGCCGATATCGTAAATGCTCCACCTTGTCGCGGAAGAGTCGTATGATGATGTTGATGATGATGATGATGATGATTATGTTGTTGTTGATAAGTCTTTGGAACTGATGAATGTGAATTTGGTAAAAGTAGCATATTACTCGAAACAGCTGAATTCTGCGGTGTGATATTGTTGGCTGGTAAATTTTCATAGGTATTTGTACCCATGGTGAAACTTGTTGTTGATGTGCCAGCGTAAAGGCCCGTTGATGCTGATTCACTTTGACTTAGTTGATAGCAATTTGAATGGGCACCCGGACTACTTAGGGGTCTATTTGAGGTAGGTATCAAAGGTGATGTACTGGCACCATTATTATTGTTGCACGAAAGTGTCGGCGAACTTGCGGGTAATCCATTTTGACTATTGCTAACAAGTGCCATACTTGAATTACTGCTGTGACTTGTTAGATAAGTACTTGGGAAATTTGATGGCGATAAAGCGTGAGGACTTGTGGAAAGTAAAACTTGTTCAGCACGCGCTGCTGCAACGGCTTCCTCATATGGTGGTGGTGCTTCACCGCGGGGGAAATAATTTCCCGGTGGTTTCCATAATGGATATGTACCACCACATGGCATATCCTCCATTGGAACACCATGCTGTAAACCACCTCTTTCTAAATAGCCCATACTACCCAAACTTCTTTGATCCTCTGACACTTGTCGATTTTGTCGTCCTGCTACGCAAACTACCGAAAAAAAATATGCTGATTTTAGTTTCAACTAAAATTTCTATTTTATCAGTCAACACCATATAAAATATTACTATAAACGCAAATGTCGTGGGCATAAGTAACTTATTATTCAACATAAATTGGTTTGAAGCACTTAATGATTTTTTCTACCTACAAAGCATAATATATCCAGAATCTAACTTTCCAATATGGTTTTCAAATGACCTTAAGAATTTGATTCAACTTACACTGGAACTACCGAAGGTGAGAATGAAAAAGACTTGGTTCTCACCTTCAGAATTCGACCTTGAAGCCGTTTGGCGGTATATAGAGATTGATAAATTTTCTGTTCTGATTATAATTAATATTTCTGGTTTCTCAATTTAGTTTAAAATTGTTTTTCCTTTTGACATTACTCTAATAGGGAGATTCTGCACTTTAAACATTAAAGGCGATGACATTACTCTAAAATAACTACTGCAACTAATGCTGCGTATTTAAAATCTGTCATTCAACCTCCTTTTTTTATTTCTTTTAAAATTTCTGCCTTCACTTCTATGTTTAAGAAATTATTACACTTTTTCTCACTTATTTTCGTGATTATTGAAATGGGGGATTCTGGAGCATTAAAATCGAACGCCTCTGTTTTGAGATTACTGCTGTCCATCCCGCCCATCCACTTAACCCCCCGTCACGTTCTCACCTTTAGAGAACTCACCTTAGGGAGTTTCAGTGTAAAAAGATTTCTTAGTTGAATTATAAAAAAAAAACTAAATTACGTTTCAGATTATAAAATTTTTTTTAAACCTGCGATCCTAGTGTAATGCTTTATCACGTAGTTGCCTATAACAAATACCTATGCGAAACTGAAAAATCTATCACTTCAGATCCTGGTCTTATGTAAATAATTCGAAAAAAACTAATAGACTACCTGGATGATATTACTTAAAGTAGTACAAATAAGGGCATAGCAAAACTGTTTGGGAGTTATTTTCAGACTGTGTATACTCAACCTGCTTTATTTATTAATTTAACTAATTATCCTTTCTCGAATCCTTACTATATGAAACAAGTAGATATGCAAATTAGGCAAGAGCAAGACATTCTTATGCTATTTTCATTAGACAGAAGAGGAAAAAAGATTTCAAACAAAGACTACATTCTTATGTTATTTCTTTGTGATAGATAAAGAAAGAAAAGCGTTAAATTTTTGCGTTAAATGACAGAGAGAATCTTATGTTGTTTTTCTTGAAATAAAGTGAGGTAGGCAATCCAATTTATCGCTACCTGAATAAGAGAGAGAGAGAGAGAGAGAGAGAGAGAGAGACTTCGGCTTCTCCTCTTATGATTGTTTCGCAATACCTGAGTTTTTGGGTGTCGACCGTCATTAAAAAGGGTCTATTGTTTTCTAGAATTTTATTGAACGTTGATCTAAAAATTTTCATTTTAAGTTTTATATTAACATATGATTAACTAAGTAAAGAAATAAAAAATAAAATTTTTATTAGTATAGATGATAATTTTTTTGGATTTACATAATTTAGTCAAGATATTAGTTATTTTTGGTAAAAATCTACATTTTATTTTTAAAAATTCTTATTAAATGAGCTTTCGCCCGTCAACGTCGGGCCTCATCAGATTTAAATACAATAGAATACAATTACAATTTTTATTATTTTTTTATTTAAAATTATTAAATGAGAGTGGAAATCCATATTGTATTTAAGGGGTTACATGGGTCAAAACTGGCAGAAAATGTATGTTTTGAAAAAAAAATTTTTTTTCATATAATAAATTATTTTTTTCTTTGAACACTTTGGTTTCTTAAAATACACTATAATATAAATAATTCATAAAATTTTTGAAAAAAAATATTCAAAAACAGGGCCGTTGCAACAGTTCCTTTGAGGCCCCATCCGAAAAAATTGATTTTGCGGTGGTCACGATATTTTTGGACTGCTTCATTCAAAATCAAAAACCAAAATATTTTCTGTTAGTGGGTGAGTATGGCTCGTGATTGAAAGAAAGGTTTTGTTTTCTGTTGATTAGAACAGATTTTTCACGGTGTAAATGGTGCTAAAAGTTGTACATTTTGATATAAAACGCTGCCAAAAATTCAAATTTAATTCTTTTCAAAAACCCTTCGTTCAATCACGAGCCATACTCACCCACTAACAGAAAATATTTTGGGTTTTGATTTTGAATGAGGATTTTTACCAAAAACAACTAACATCTTGAATAAAATTTTTATGTTAGAATTGTAAAATTTATTTAACCCATTAAGGTACAAATTAACTATCGTAATAATAATTCCTCATCATATATCATTTTTAAAGATTTTGGAATGCTGATTACGATGTCAGTTTTTAAAAATCCAAAATGGCGGATTTAATATGGCGGCACAAAAATTTAAAAATTCATCGGATTCGTTTAAAACAGTATCCAAAGGGGTTTTCGGGGTCGCTGATTACGAATATCATGTCTGTTTTTGCAAATTCCCGCCGTGGTGGCCCCGGCATCAGAATAGGGCCCCCGTAGGTTACCGCGTGTCGTAAGAGGCGACTAAAGGGTACTCCCTGCTGGAACGAAAGCGGAGTCCCAGCTAGGGGCTGGCAGTGCAGAGGCGTTCATGCAAGTCAAATATTTGTTCGTCCGTCCTCAATGCGATCCGTGCGAGTCGGATAATTAAGAATGCGTCCCAAAAGCTACGGTGATGATAGTGAACTCCCGTAATGGTAATGGTAAAGGACGGTGGTCTATGTTATACTTGCAACTGTTATTGTCTGAGGAGGTTTGCTTTAGAGTTTTTCTGGCATCAATCTCGTTGCTGCCAACAATTAACAAACCTGTGTAACATTGGTTAATAAGCATCCCAAAATACCGAATGGTTCAATCGTGATGTTCCAACAGGCTAATGGTAAAGGATGGTGGCTTCAGCACGTGTTGCCGCTTGCCTTGACCTGAACTAGTTCAGAGTCTTTCGGAAATCACTACCTTCCGGTTGGTCTTGGCATATATGTGGTGCATGTTCTTGTATTTACACCGTAACCGACGCCAGTATGGCCTCCAGTTCCCCGGATACTGGAAAGTGGTACTCATACCTGAGTAGATTGGTACCACGTGACGTGTCTGAAGCCCAGGAAACCTTCCTGGGTCTCCACCAGGTATTGGGTATGGATTTGTGGTGGCAGTCGTTACAGCCCACATCGCTTGGGGTTAGCGTGCGTTAGCACGTTGTGCACACGTCTTTCGCATTTGGTGTGTGAGTTGCATTAACTCAACTCGGGTGGAAACTTGCAGAGTTTCCAGGGATTGGAAAGGTTCCGGCTCTCACCAAGAGTGGCAATCGTGACTTAGGTCGGTCGCATTGTCAATTGGCAGGTGACTGGAAGAAATTCTGCGTCATCGGTGCAGGTCAGGCATTAACTCTTGACCCCATGTCCCATGGGGACCGTGTTTGTATACATGTATATGAAGGTCTTGCACGTTAAACATTTAGGCGATGTTTTTGCAAATTCAAAATGGCGGTGAAATTGAAAAAATTCACCAGAGTATTTTGAATCTCATTACATTACTCAGGAGTTTTTGAGAACGCTGATTATGAATATAATGTTAGATTTTAATAATAATTTAAAATGGTGGACCTAATACGACGAAAAAAAGTTTTGAGATTTGCTGCGAGACAAATTGGTACTTTTTTTTGATAGATTTTGCCATGATTACAGTAATAAGATCAACTTTTAATATTCCTACAATCTCATCGCGATTTCTTTTACTTTTCTTATTCAAAATTTTTTAGTGGTAAATTTGATTGCTCTCAAGTTCTAGCATTAGTTAATTTTCAGCTCCTACGCGACTATTACGATATGTCTCATCGTTTACTTTGACTTATTCTCGAACGTATACTATCATGAAATATCTACAATAGAATATGTGACGCTCCACGAGAAAAGGGACCTATCTCCGTAATAATATTAGGCTTAGTTTTCATGTACGATGCACGGAAACCTGAGCCTAATGTTATTTCGGGGATAGGTCCCTTCTCTCGTGGAGCGTCACATATGTAAATTATCTCTTAATTTTTCCAAGGACCTTGACTTTTTTTTTGATAATTCATTGTCGAAATTTTTTAATACTCTTCGCAAACTATTATTTGATAATAACAGTGCAGCTTAAACTAGTTACGTTTATCATTGTTAGCTTATACATTAAAGTAAGATTTTAATTAACATATATGAGATGTACCTCTTATTTTTCGTTGTCGTAGACGGTGAATTAAAAAAAATAGAAGACTCAATGATAGAACGGCTGTAATGCAACTGGCAACTAAACGTAAACCAGTGTCATAATTTCCATTGCCCTCTGAAATTGCAGTACCATCGCCTTCAGTTTTTTCATTCGATCCGGAAGACAATGTATCATCCATACAGATGAATTCGCAACATGTGTTACCAAATTTAAATGATCTGCAGTCTTGTTTAGGAAGTGTCTCCTGAAAAAAAAGAAATAAAACTTGTTTCTTGAACGAAATGAAAGAATTTATTATTATTATTATTATTATTATTATTATTACCTGTGTACAAATAATAGCTTTACACCTATTTGGATTGCCATTGTCGCAAATACAGAGTGTACAAGGATCAGGACCAGGGACATAATGAAAACCAGTTTCATAAGAACGTCCCTGCGAATCCTTACATGAAGCACTGCATTCGACACAGCCTGCAAAATAGAATGTTACATAAAATAATTAGTAACTATATATATATATATATGCAATTAATCCTTTATAATGACGAAAACAATTTTTTCAGTTATGCAATATATAATTTCAATTATTAATACTTGAAACAATGATTAATTTTTTAAATATAAAACATAAAAACTTAATAATAATAATTAAATAATTTCTTTTGATTAAAAGAAATTTTCTTTGAAAAAAATTTGTGTATTAAATGAAAGAAATTCTATCATTGAAATGGGGTCAAAGAAAAATTTATTTGAATTAAAGAAAAAATTTCTTTAAAACGAAGATAATTTTTTTTTTTGAATCAAAGATAATTTGTTTGAAACAAAGAAATAATTTTTTTTGGGTTTAATAATAATTAAATACCTATTAATTTCATTTGTATTTTTATTGTAAAAAAATAATTAATTTTAATAATAATTTAATAATAATAATAATTAATAATAAATAAATAATAATAATTAATAATAATTTTTTATTGTTATTTAAGTAGAAAAACAACTTTAGGGAAAAAAATTCCCTGACTTAAAATTTCCCCAATTTTACTAAAATTGTTATTAATAAAAAAAATAAATAACTATAACGTTCCCGTAGTAATAAAAAAAAATAATTTTGAAAAAATTTAAGAATTAAATAATTAACTGATAAATAAATTTTGAGATTTTTTCTAAAATAAAAGGAAAATTTGGGATTTTTGAGAATTTAAATTTGAATTTTTTTTTCACTGTTTAAAAAAATCGAACATTTTAGGACAAAAAAAAATCAAGAGAATTTTAGAAAAAATTTGAAAAAGAATTAATAAAAACATGAGAATTTTAGAAAATTTAAAAGAAAAATTAAGAATTTTATAAATTACCACAAAAAAAAGAATAAATGTAAACAAAATACTGAAAAATAATTTTATACACGAATTATGAATAATAAAAAAAAAAGACGAGTTTTTTAGTGAATATATTTGGAAATATTATTCTATAGTGTGTGTTTATGACCTTTCGAAGGGACATAATATTTTCTTTCATCACACACACATGGCTCTGGCCTACTTTTCCTGGGACTGTTGAATTGGTCAATGATAATTCTGATAAGAAATATATATATATATAAAGTTTTATTTTCTCTATTAAAAAAAAAACTTACCTTTAAGTTGCAGAATCAGGGTAAAGACTGCATAACCGAAAAGGTCTCTGCTTCTGTACCTCATTCTGCAATTGTTATCTCATCATAATCCTGTCGTTTTTTTTTCCTTCTTTTTTTTTTGATAAGCGCAACAAACAGAATATGTTCACGTCTTCTTTTTTTTTTTTTGCCCTATAACGAATGTGTGCGTGTATGTTATTCTTTTCTTTTCACATTTAACAACGCATTATCGTTCTTATTTTGTCATTCTCGATGACAATTGTCATCTGACATTGAAAATTATGTCACGGATCACCCTGACAAATGAAACTAACACTTCCACCACTGTACCACATTATTCCTGGTTAGCAATATATATATGTATATATATATAGGTTTTAGGATAGTTCCACTTCTTCTGAGTAGTGACGTCCTTTCTGTCAATGGAAACGGGAACAGCCGACGACGACCAACCAGTGTGATCGATTAAGGTATCCGTGTCGAGGATATAACGACTAGTGACATCTAATGGATTTTTTTGGGAAACTATAATGCGAAATGTATTTCAGAAAGTCTCTAACGTAAGGAGGTATTTTTATTATACGTACAGACGGTAAATATGAAATCTACATTATTGAAAAATTTAAATTTGAAAAATTTATTGTATTTATTTTTCAAATTAAAATTTTTTTCAAATCTAAAATATTTATTTTAGTGGGTTTATTATTATAACATAATATATCTGTTCTATGATTAGTATTATTTTCAATTATTATTTATCATTTTGTGTTCTTTTATTATTATTTTCAGTTCTATTAAAAATATTAATTGTTAATAAAAAATTTTTTTTTCTTTTTACAATGTTATTTAATTTTAAATTATAAATAAATAAGAAAAATAGACAAAAATTTTAAATAAAAAAAGTAAATTATAAAAAATAATTATTAAATAAAAATAATTTTCTTTCTCTAAAAACAAAATTGAGAACAATCATCAAACTTCACTCTTAAAACGAAAAAGAAAATAAAAACAACATTCAACATGTCATTATTATTTTGGCTATTTTTATAAATTTCATTTTTTTTTTCCTCAAAATTATTCAAAATGTAAAACATTTTTTGGTAAAAAATTAATACAAAAAAAAATTTAAATTCTAAATTACCATTGTAATTCATTCAATTAAAAATTTATCAAAAATTTCATTATTATGTTATACTTTCACTATATGAAAATGACACCAATTAATATAAATATTATACATAAATATAAAAATAAAAATATGAAACTTTAAAGCAAAAAAGTAATAATTCATTTTTCATCAAAAAATAAATTTTTCAATCAATAAATAAAAAAAAAATGGAAGAAAATGAAAATGAACCTACAAATGAGGGATTTGACACTCCCAAAGAGGATGAGGTGGAAAAAAATCAGGAATCTAATGAAGATTTTATTAATTCAGAGGAAGGTGATGGAATAAAAAATCAGGCAGATGAAATTGAGGAAAAAAATTCCAAATTGAAAAATAGAAATATCACAAAAGTGATTATATAAATTTTATTTAATAACACTATTATTATTATTATTATTATTATTATTATTATTATTAAAAAAAAAAAATATTTGATTCAAATAATCGATTACTTGACTGTTATCAAAAAAATATATTTACTTGAACGAAATAATTTTTATTTGAATTAAATAAACTGTATTTGAACCAATAATTTCTCTACATATTTAAAACAAATACCATTTACTTGACTCAAGGAAATATTTATTTGGTTCAAGTAAATATTTATTTAATAATAGTCAAGTTACCGATTATTTGAATCAAATATAAATTATTTTTTCAGTGTAAATTTATGAATATACCTATATATTTTTTTCTATAATACAAAAATTGTATTCTTTATTTTATTAAACAATGTAAATGCTCTTACAAAAATTAGAAAAGCAAAAAAAATTTTAATTAATTATGTTTTTATAACCAAAAAAAAAATGAAACAACAGAAGAAGAAGAATGTGGACAACGATGATGATAATGATGAAGATTGTTGTACGACTAAAAAGAGAATGAAATTAGAGAAAGAAAAAAAATGGAGAACTATGAATATTTTTGAAAAGGAATGTAAACCACCAAAATCAAATCCTGTTCCACGGCATTGTATAACAAAAAAAGAACATCTCGATATCCTTGCAACTCCCAAGTGATAAGCCACGCATTATAAATATATATAAAATAAATATAAAAAAATCTATATACTATATATCGAATTTTTTTAAAAATATATACGTATGAATTTATAGAACGATATCATCGATATAAATAAATGTTTATATATTTTATTTCTATTTTTTATTATAGACAAATATGTCCACCGCCTTGTTTACAAAAAACAGTGGTTCGAAAATTAGCGCCAGTTTCACCTCGAATTCTTCAACTTGCAAAACCAACAAGACATCATATTTTAAGAACAATTCAAGATTGTTCTAATACATTGCCACCATTATTATTACATAATTTGATAACAATGCTTGAAACTGAATCATCACTATCTCCAGAGTAATAAAAAATTAATTTATTTTCTTTTTTTCTTACCAATAATTTTATATATTAGTTAAATTTATTTTTAATACAACATAATAATATTAATAATTATAATAATAAAATAATTATAATAATTATGACAATAATTATTATTATTAATATTAATTGATATTTATTATTATTATTTCTATGGAAAATTATTCTTTCGACTTTGGAAGATAGGTAAAAAAAAATTCTACTACTGAATCGATAAGAAAAATACTCATATTATCGATTGCCACTAATAAAAATAACTATATTATCGATGGTCGGTAATGTAGGTAATTGCCGTTATATGTGCTTCTATTATCATTCCCCGAATCATATTTTATATTATTATTTTATCATATTTAATTTATTTGTTATAAATAAAAGTGTTTTACTTTTACCTATTTTCCAAAATAGAAAAAAATAATTTTATATATAAATATACTTTTATATAAGCAAATAAATTCTACTACTGAATTATAATTTCATTTTTCAAATGGAATGAAATTGAAAGAATATTCATGTGACATTTTTTCTACATGAGTTTCTAATCTTTATGCTGTCGGTAAAGTAGAATTCAAATTAAATGAAAAAAAAACTTGAAATATCAAAATTATATTCGCTATTTTTAATTTTTTAATTATAATTAATTTTGTACTTAGTAATTAAGTTAATTTAGTTTTAGGTGAAATTTTGATCTCTGATGATTATCGATATCTTAATTAGTGCACACTATAACTAAAAAATAAACGTACAATGCGTAAAATAATTATATATCTATATTACCGACAATCGATAAAGAAGATATCCATATTGCCGGCTGCGGCTAATGAAGATAACTACATTATCGATGGTCGGTAATATAGATAACTGCCGACATATTTGTTTTTATTCTCATTTTCGAAGAATATTTATAATATTTTACAGGAATTATAATTTCTATATAGAAAATTGCTTTTCGATTTTGAAAAATATGTAAAAGTAAAATATTTTTATTTAATTTATGTTTTGTAAATAAAAGTGTTTTACTTTTACCTATTTTTCAAAATCGGGAAAATAAATTCTTTATGAATATATTTTTGTAGGAGGAAAAAATTCTACTACTGAATTCTAGTATTTATAATGAAAATCAAATGTCAAAAATAGAAAAAAAAATTGCAAAATTATGTCTACCAATTTTAATTATTCAATTTTAATTAATTTAGTCTTTAGTAATTTTGATCTTGGATAATTATTATCGATAGCTCAGTCATTTTACACTGTGATTAGAAAATAAATGTATAATCCGTAAAACAACTATGTATCTACATTGCCGATAATCGATAAGGAAGATATTTACATTACCTACAATCGATAAGGAAGATATCTACATTACCGATTGTGGCTAACTGCATTATCGATCGTCGGTAATATAGAAATCCGCCATTACGTTTGTCGATAATTTGCCATAATCTTCTTCTAATACTATTTTTTTTCTTTAATTATGAATGTAAAATCATTTTTTTTTTTACAGGCAGACGAGTAAATTGTTACGTGACAAAAAATGTCGTCCAAAGAGAAAAAGGAAAAAATCGAGACGACATGCAAAATGTAAAAAAAATGAAATTGAAAAACAAATGATAAACAATAACAATCAACCACAATATGATCCTGTGGCAGTGTGCTGTCAATATCAAATGGCGGAAAAATTTGTAAAAAGCATACTTGATTGGCAAAGTCCAATGGCAAAAGAAGAGTATCAGGATATTGGAGAAATTATTCTTCGACGTTTGAGTCGAATATTAGATTACACACCGACAAATGGTAATGGTGATCGTCGTTCTCAACAAATGCATTTTCTCGCCGATATTATTTCCTCTTGGATTTTGGGTGTCAATAGTGAAGTTGCCGAGGCACATCGGGAAAGTGAAGAAGAACGAGCGAGAAGACAACGTGAGGAAGATGAGGAGGAAACTGATGACGAGGATAATATTCGAGACGATGGACTCTATAAAGATGATGACAGTGACGACGACGATGATGATAATGATGATGGTGATGATAAGGGTGATAAAGGTGAAAAAGGTAAAGGAAAGGAGGATGAGGAAGAGAAGGTTAAGGACGAAGATGATGGAGAAGATAAGAAAAGTGATCGGCAGAAATCCGAAAGCACAGTGTATGAAGATGCACAAATGGAATTAGAAGACAAAGGTGTTCAAAAAGTACCGGAAGTAGAGGAAACTGAGTCTCAAATACAACCTGAAGTAGCGGAAAAAGAAACGGAAGTTGATGCACAATTGGCAGAGGAAGATGAAACGAAGGCAGTTAATGAGATTATTGATGAACCCACAGAGGATACTAAAGAATTGGATGATGAAGATGCTAAAGAAGCAGATGAGGATAAAACGATAGAAGCAGATGAGGCTGCAAAAGCAGAAGATGACAAAGGTAAAGAAACTGAAGAACAAAATGCAGAAGAAGAAGAAGAAGATGAAGCAAAACCCAAAGCAGATAAGGAAGATACAGAAACAGATAAAGAAGACGAAAAACCAGAAACCGATGGAAAATACGATTCACTAAAACTTTTTCAAACCGATTTGCCCTTCATTAATTTTATGCAGATATTCAGTACCATTTACAAAACAATGGAAGCCGATGAGGAAAATATGGGACAAGATCCAATAGTAAATCGTATACATCGGGCTATTTATGAAAAATGTTACAATGCAGTGATGCTCGATGATTCTGAATTAATGACAAATAATGCAAAGGATCTCATTGATGTGATGACAGGAAAAATTGCCATTTGGTTAAGTAAAATTTTAACTGAATCACAAGTAAATCTAATGAATAAATATCCAGCGCAAGTTGAATCATTTGAAGTTCGTGATTGGTCAAAATGGTTGAATCATACGTCAAAAACGGCAAAAAATTGGAGTGTTTGGCTACAGTCACTTATTAAGGAAATTCAAAAAATGCAAGACGGACAAGTGAGTCGTGGTGAATGGTCAGATTGGACAAAACAAGTTGATACAGACGCAGCACTTTGGCGACGATTTTATTTAGATGCCATGCATCAAGCACATCATAATGTAATGATGATGGGGGGTCGTGAAATTGTGAAAAGTGGCGAGAAACATTATCCCGAATTAGAAAAGGAAATAAGAACTGTTGATTTATGAGGGCAACAGGTGGAAAAATAGAATTCTTCCTTTGTGAATTCATTTTCATTTGTCTTCCAATTTTTTTTTTTTTTACTTTGATTTTAGGGTGAATTTGGAGAACTGGGTTTATGAACTGAATGTGGTTCGAATTTGCGGTTAATTTTGATTAAAGGATTTTGGTGCTATGAAATATGAAAAAATTAATTGATACTGATGAATTATTAGCTTAGTTAAATTGTACAAGAATTGAGTTAAATTAAAGCTCCAATTAATAATTAATAAAGTGGAGCTTAATTTATCTTAATTCTTGAATTAATCAAACTGATAGTATTTTTTTTATCATATTTAATGGATTAACAGTGAAATTTTAACCAAAGCTAACTAAATTCGAAACTCATTGGGTTCGAATCCGGTTTTCCAATCCGCCAAAGTTGGAATTAGTCTATTTTTATGAATTACAAATTTCTTTAAATCAAATTTGTGTTGAAATTTTTTACAAATATACTAATAGTTAATAGTAATCTGAATTAGCGTTGCTTTGCATTCAGTCTTCAAGTGCGCGTGCGCGCGGCTAGTAAATAGTGGTGGGGAGAATACGATCCTCCCCACTCCTTCATTTCGGCACTCGTAATATTCTCAAGTTAAAAAATACATTTTGATCGGAATAATTAAATAACTTTTTATTTCTTTTGAAATGTATTTCTAAAAGATTTATTAATCACCTAATATAATACATAAAAAAAAGGATAATTATTTTTTATTTATTTAAAAATTTATTATATTATACAGATTATGAATACATTTTGTAATATTTACGACGTTCAATGTATAATTATATCACATTCAGTTAAAATACAATAAATCAAATCTTGCTGAAGTATTTTTTATTTCATTCATATATAATATGTTTAAAAAAAATGTTATAAATTTTTCTAAATTATAAAAAATGGTTTCGTTAATGGGTTATTATTTTTTTTATAAAAACTGTGATTTATTTAAATTATTTTATTTCTTTGTTCAATTAATTTAATTAATGAATACCAATTAATAATTACATAATAAATATAGATACGTATATAAAATTTTATAACATTTTATTAATTTTACAAATTAATTAATTATTAATAATTTCATTAAATAATAAAAGAAAGAATGTAATAAGAATTTTTTTTTAAATGTATGTTCATTTTTGGATATGTGAATAAATATAAAAGCAAACGTGAGAGTCTGATGGAACTACTTTCTATCGAGTCGAATATACTTTTCCAAGATGCTGTGAATGCATATAAAGTATCGAGTAACGGAATAGAGAGAAAGTGGTCAGGGATGTAAAAGGAAAAATATTTTATTATTGTTTATATTTATAGGAGTAGTGTCTATAGAATTATATATATTATTATTATTATTATTATTCTTATTATTATTATTATTATTATTAAAATTAAAAAACAAAAATGCAAAAAACACGAAACCTGAGATTCAAATCGAGCATTGCGTGCTCACATATTTCATTGTTAATACATATGTATATTTTGAAAATTTACAATTGTAAATAGCCAATTTAACAAAATTATGAGATATTCATGAAAAAATTTTTTTTTTGTTGAAATTATGCATTTTTAAAATATAAATTTAATATTTGGAGAAAAAAATGTTTTATTTTTTAAATTAATAATAAATAGATATATTTTATCACAGCTGATTATTATAACATTAAATATATTAAATTTTTTTTTAAATTTACTTTTTCATGCACTTATATGTTAGAATAACATTTCATAAATATTTTCTCTTATTGTTATAATTTTAGTATCACACACATAATTATGAGATTAATTCTTAAATGTTTTGTGCAATTTTTGAAATTATTTAATTAATCGAATATGGTAATTATATTTTTTAATAAAATATTTTCAATATTATTTTTAAACTGATAAATCTTTGGAAATTTAAAAATTCGTTTATATGTTATATTTTTAAATATATTGTATACATTTCTGATGAAATTAACTATACAAATGTTTTATCTTCAGTGACTTTTGCAGTTAAAGAAGACGATGACTTTATGACATCTTCCTGTATGTTAGGATTCTGTAACAAAGAAATCCACAATTGAGTTTTATAAAAATATTTTTTTTTTGGAGTTCGGACCTATTATCTGAATAACTTCAGTGAAATTTTCCACTGAAATTTAGTTATATTTCATTAAAACTTTTTAGAATTCTACTTTACAGATTGAAACAGTCAAATCTGTTTTACCGATTAATGATAATGCAGATTTTACTGTATTACAATTTAAAATAGTCAATTCTGTTTTACTGATTAATGATAAAGTATATTTGACTGCATTAACATTTGAAACAGTCAAATTTGTTTTACCGATTAATGATAATGTAGATTTGACTGAATTACAATTATTTAAAACAGTCAAATCTGTTTTACCGTTTAAAGATAATGCAGAGTTGACTACATTATCATTTGAAGCAGTCAAATTTGTTTTACCGATTAATGATAATGCAGAATCGACCGTTTTATATCAGTAATAATTCGACTGATTTTCAGTAGTTAAATGTAACTGAATTTAAGTGAAAATTTTTCTGAACTGATTCAATTACTAAATTCCAACTATATTTTATTAGTGAAATCTCACTGATACAAATTTTTAGAGAGTATGGTTGTATAATTTGTTAAATTAAATTTCAATTAAATTTTATTTAAATTGAATATAAAACCTTTCCGTTTTTTAATTAAAAAAAAGATATTTTATGGTAAAAATTAAGTTTCTTTTATTTATCTATACACTATGTGTCAATATTATAACCATGTGCGGTTAAATGTCAACTATGAGAATTTATTTAAATGTCGATTTAAATACATATATTTAAATACTTTTTAGTACTTTTGTGAATGTAATGTATACATATAGGATATATTTCCTTAAGTAATCAAACAGTTTATGTTAAGTCAACAAAACTACTTTCTTTGCGGTTTCAATTTGAATATATACGATATACACATGCCTTTAAATTTTGAATTAAGACAATTTATTAATATACACATAGAGGGAAGAGATTTCTTTGATTTAAAGAAATCAATTTCTTTGACTTGTTTCAAAGAAATTTCTTTGTATCAATAAAAAAAAATTTGTGAAAGAAATTGGTTTCTTTGAATCAAAGAAATCTTTTTTCTGGGTGTATAATTAAATTGTTATTAATTTTTTTTATTTTATTGTTATTTTATTGTCATTTTATTCACCGAAAAAAAATATTCTAAAATTTAGAATATATACTTGGGACCTATTTTAGAATATTCTATACTTAAATGTAGTATGTAATATTCTTAAAATTAGAAAATGCCAAGTATATATTCTAAATTTCAGAATATTTTTTTTCGGTGTTGTTATTTTATACGAATTGTTAAAAATTCAAAAAAAACATATTATTGCGTTTAAACTTTTCTATATGCTGCCAATATACACACAATATTACAAATTCATAGTGTATAATAGAGACTGGGTATTTAAAATTCAGTTCAAACACTTAGTATCAAGAATTTAATTATGACTTCAAGTTAAACATGAATACTATATATATATACGATAGTTTAGCGCAAAGAAATAGAAATTATACATCGAAGGAAAAAACCAATATGTAAAGCAAAAAAAACATCTATATACATAATTCATTTTTCAAATATAATGATATTGCAAAATTTCATTTCCTTATTTATGTGTGGTGTATTCTTTGATCAACATTTACACATAGAAAATTAAGTTATAATTATGAAATGAAAAAGAAACCAGAAAACAAAGTTTTTTTTAAATAAAATATTCCAACTCCAAATTTGTTTTTTAAATTTCAGTAGCTTTATTTTTCACTGATTTATCCGAAAATTTTAGAAATTATTATCTATTTGAATTTACCAAAAATTGTAAATATTAAGAAAAGCTTAGCTTACAATGAATAATGTGTAAATTGTATTTTTAAAAAATTCAAGGACATAGGAAACCTACAGAAATGGATCGATTTTTGAATGTTAACAAAAAGCAATTTATCTATGAGAACAAATTTAAAATAAACCAAAACGATCAGTAATTGATACCCTAAGGCATTCTGTATGGTGTTTAAGAGTCATTTTCACCTTTTTAAAAAGATTGTATCTTTTGTAAAATGTAGAAAATTATGACAAGGGTACATCAATAATTTAGTGAATTTTCATTTTAAAAAGTTCTTGACAAAAACGACAACATAAATAACTTGTCCTCGGACAAAGTTATACTTTACTTTTAGTAAATGACGTGGAATATCAAAAATTCTACCCTAAAATGTCTGATGAAATTTGTAAAATACAGTTTATGTTTAATAATCATTGGATCAGGCGCCCTGGGACACCCATCCAACAATGGTGACCTAGACGGATTAATAAACTACCTGATGAAAGAATCAAAATTGTACCAGGTAATTTAGAATTTAGAAAAAATTTGTGTTCTATATTCCCAGATGAGAATTTAGATCTACTGGACAGAGTTTGGCAAACTGTTATAAAAACATCGGGAAACAATGTTTAAAAAATTTTAATAAAATCTTGGTTGGCTAAATTTTACGTCAACTATGGCCTTATATCTTATTCGCACCTGGGTTCCTAGTTAGAATACTTTCATAGAATTAGATAATTATTTTGCAATACTTTTTAATGCAAGCATTCTTAATGGGTCAACATAAAATTCTATGTTGTTCTAACAACTAAAGGAATTGTATATATATATAAACAAAATAATATGTTATAGTAATTAATTTTATTTTGATTATTAATTATACCATAATTGTATCAGGTAATGTTTGTCATCGATGATCACTTTATGAATTCAAGTTTAAGAGTAAATCCTCTTATCCAAAAAGTATCGGAGAACTTTCCAATATTGAGCATTAGTCTTTCGAAATTTAAATTTAAATTTATCGAAACAAATTATCCGTCATCACTACAACGACCATGGAAAACAACATTATTTGCTTTTATTCTCAATGACAATCCAGTTAAAACAATGGCACAAATGCAAATTGTAGGTGAACAACTTAAACACCTCTCCAGAGGAGAACCAATTCCAAAATGTTTGGTTAACATTCTTCCACCGGGAAAATTATTATCAATCAAATCATTGCTTATTAACTGTTGGAAAAATGATTTTCTCGATCTTATTGTAATGACGCAACAAAGTGAAAACCGAGGATTATCATCAGGAGATAAATTCAATCACTCCGTTTTACATGAGTTGAATCCTTTTACTAAAACCTATTCCACTAAAGAAATAACGGCCAACACAAAATGGTTTTCAAATAAACTGCAAAATCTTCATGGATATGTATTAAAATTTTTGTATTTTGCGGAAACACAAATTGGTATTTCTAAAATATCAGCTGAAAGTAATGAAAAATTTGCCGATCTCATTTCAAAAGGTATGAATTGCGAACAAGAAATATTTTACCTCGATGGCCCAACCACTGACATGGTGCCAATAGTTCTCTACCAACAAAACATGGAAATGATGTTAAGGCGAGGAAATATGTTTTATGCTAGTGGACGTATATCTCTTCCAATAATCCGCATTACGGAGTTAAGTTCTGTGAAAGCCATCATTCCAAAAAGTACAAAATCAACTAATAAGATTATCGTTGTCTCACAGGAATTGATTACCATGCTTTGCGTAACCGCCGGTGCAATTGTTCTCATTCGAATTACAGCCTGTTTGTTAAAATTCAGCAAAAACACATGGCAAACGTTTAAAATCAGTCAAATTATAATGGGAATGTCGATCTCCAACGAACCAGAAAAATTAGTAGAAAGAATTGTTTTTGGTACAATAATACTGAGTTGCATCGCCTATACAAGCTACTTTTACTCAGTGATTCTGGACCTTGGTCTGCAATCTGAACCGGAAATAACAACTCTCAAAGAACTGGTTAAGTCATCTCTGATACCTATGGTAAGTCAATATGTTACTAAAAGTCTGTTGTCTAGTCCTGTATTTGAAATTCATGAATTAGGCAAAAAAGCTATTGGAATTCCTGGCAGAGGAACTGAATGGACCTGCCTTCATTACTTGACTAATTATGAAAATGTAACTTGTATTTTAATTAATGCGGAAGATTCAATCATGAAATTCGGTGCTAAAAAACAAAAATTGAATATGAAAGTTCTTCAGGAACCTTTGTTTTATTCCTTGCAAAGCTGGATATCAAGATGGAATTCACCATACGTTGGTCGCTTCAATGAAATAATCTTGCGAGCCTCAGAATCTGGTATACTGGGAAAATTATTTGACAGTAATACAATAAAGCCACAGTATCAACCGCTTGCACCAGAAGAAGTCACAAAGGAAAAATTATTTTTGATAGTTACTTACGTTATGGCTATTGGATACACTTTCTCGTTGATTGCTTTTATTGAAGAAATGTTGAGCATCATTAATTGGCAGAAAATTCGCTTGTTCTTCATGAATTGTTTCAATACGATCAGGGAAAAATTGAAATAAGAAGCAGATGTCAAATTCTAATCTGTTGAATCTAATATTTGCAGTATTACTTGGACTAGAATGCAATCTATTAAATTGCTTAAGGCGTACAACTATTGGATGCTTTGTACAAGAGGCACTAGTCACACAGATATTAATTTCGGACTTAATAACGAACTAATTCCTGATTTCAGAATTTAAATCAATGTTTAGTAACCATAGGTCAAAAGATCAAAGGAGGCTAACTTTGTGAGAACTGCTTCTTCCGACAGAAGTAGAAACTGTAATGAAAGCAGAAAAACCAGATTAAAATTGGATTGTTGCGGGCTTTGATTATTTCAGACTCATTTCGGATTTAGATTTTTAAGTGCATTGAATCTATGAAATCATTTGTAACAATTCGATTTTAAGTTGATCATAAAACTTAATCTAAAGTGTGTCTGGAATAATCAGGAAATTGTATGTGAAAATTTGAAATTAGTAATTAATTTTAATTGATATAGTTTAATATCTTAATCCAACACGAGTCCGGATTCATTGACTTGACTAAATCCAACAGATTTTTAAATATTTCATACACTATTATTGATTAAGATTTTTGTGCACACTGACAACTGATTTTGTACATATTAATTGCAGATATTTTCTAACTCATTTTGGATTAGAATTTTTTTCGCGAGATTAAATACGGATTAATACGGACTATAAGCGGATTTTTCCATATAAAGATTTTAGATTATTCCGGTCTCATTTTGGATTTAGTTTTCTGACAGTACTGAATCAAAATTGTTGCGTACTATTTGCGGATAGTTAATATAAGGATTATTCTAAACTCTTTTCAAATTAAGCTTTTTGATCGAAATAAATTTAGATTGTTCCGGATTTGATTTCGTGTTAATTCCGAACTGATATCGTATTTGTCTTATCGTCTGAATTGATTGCTGACTAATGCGGATCATTTTCGTACAATTTTCGAACTCATCTGTTTGGATTTAATCTAGAATTGGTCCGAAATTTTAAACAAGAGCACTATTAGCACTTCTACGGATTAATTAATTTGCCGAAATCGTTACCAAAAAGATTCAATTTACTCCATATAGAAAATTTTATATTTCAATATGGTTTAATAGTTTTTTGGGTCCTTAATTACGAATCTGATTTTTGTTTTTAAACATTTAAAATGGTGGATTTCAAAATGGTGGAAATATTTTTAAAGCTTCACAAAATTTGTGTGAAAATCGTTACTCGGTGATTTTCGGGGTCGATGATAACAAATATAATGACAGTTTTCAAAAATTCAAAATGGCGAATCTAATATGGAAGAAAAATTTCTTAAAATTGTCTGCATTCGCTTGAAAATCGTTAATCGCGGATTTTTGGGGTTGCTGATTACGAATCTGGTATCAGTTTTCAAAAATTCAAAATGGCGGATTCAATATGGTGGATTTTTTTTTTTTAATTTACTGAATTTATTTGAAAATCAGTATTTAGGGGTTTTCGGGGTCTCTCATTACGAATCTGGTATCAGTTTTCAAAAATTCAAAATGGCGGTTCCAATATGGTAGAATTTTTTTTTAATTTACTGCATTCGTTTGAAGATATTTACTCGGGGGTTTTTGGGGTCGCTGATAACGAATCTAATGTCTGCTTTTAAAAATTCAATATGGCGGACATTTTTTTTTTAGAAATTCACCAAATTCGTTTGAAAATTGTTACTCGGAGGTTTTTGGGGTCACTGACTTCGAATTTGGTATCAGTTTTTAAAAATTGAAAATGGCGGATACAATATGGCGAAATTTTTTTTAAAAATTCACCGCATTCGCTTGAAAATAGTTACGCGGGGGTTTTTGGGGTCGCTGATTACGAATCTAATGTCAATTTTTAAAGATTCAAAATGGCCGATTCAATATGGTGGCTGTTTTTTTTTAAATTCACCAAATTCGCTTGAAAATCGGTACTCGGAGGTTTTTGGGGTCACTGACTACGAATCTGGTATCAGTTTTTAAAAATTCAAAATGGCGGATACAATATGGCGGAAATTTTTTTAAAAATTCACCGCATTCGCTTGAAAATAGTTACTCGGGGGTTTTTGGGGTCGCTGATTACAAATCTAATGTCAATTTTTAAAGATTCAAAATGGCCGATTCAATATGGTGGCTGTTTTTTTTGAAATTCACCAAATTCGCTTGAAAATCGTTACTCGGGGGTTTTTAGGGTCGCTCACTATGAATCTGATATCAGTTTTTAAAAATTCAAAATGGCGGATCCAAGATGGCGAATTTTTTTTTAATTCACTGAATTCGCTTGAAAATCGTTACTCGGGGGTTTTCAGGGTCGCTGATAACGAATCTAATGGCAATTTTAAAATAGTGAAATTGTTGACCCAGTATGGGGAAATTTTTTCAAAAAATATTGCTCAATTTCGGATGATACATTTTTACTTGGGTAAAAAAGAATCTATTTTTGTATATATATAATTATATTATATGATGTTATATTATAATTATATATTAATATATATATACATTAAAAAAAATGTTGAATTCATCTATATATTATATTTGTGTAATTTCTTAAGTATGAACATTTGATATTGGTTATATTATATTGTGAATGTCGTGTTAATAATTAATAAGTAAATGATTACTCGATATAAATATAAATTTCTTTTGATGATATATAATCGTGAAATGATTATTGTATATACAAGTACCGTTGAACCGAATGGGAGGGATTCCTGCATAAGTTAACCGACTTAGGTATGATCATCAGTAGGTCAATATCTCAAGGAACATCTTGTTTGATCTTTAGGAATCCTCTCACTTTTTGACAAGTGCCGTTTCGTGAAGCACATACTGACACACACACACACACACAAATATGTAAACATACATTTTTATATTATTCAAAAGTGTTAATCTTCGTCTATTTTTTTTCGTACAATAAAATAAATGCACTTCTTTTAATATTCGAATGTAGTAAAAAAAACGTAATAAAAACAAATTTACAAAACAAAAATTATGGAAAATTTGTATTTTCTTTCATTCCAATTAGTTTATAAGAATTAATAATATTAAAAAAATTATTATATTAATAACTTATTTTAATTTAATGATTTTTTTAATAATTCAATGAAAAAAAAAAAATTTGTATAATAAATACAATAATTTATATTTCGATTAATAAGAATAGTGTAATTTTTGTAAAACAAAATTTTACTATATTATTTGCAGATTTTTTATTAAATTGAATCATTTTATAAAAAAACATTTTTGTTGTTAAAATTTTTTTTACACAAAAGTTAGATATTTGAAAAATTTATAAAAAAAATTTGAAAACTAATAACAAATATATGAGTAAAAATATAATTTTCAAAATAATTTTGCGAATGAAAGATTGTAAAAAAAAAAAATGCAGAATTATATTTTTACTTTGAAAATAGAAAAAAGAAAAAAAAAATGAAAACTGATTTTAATAAGAGAAAAAAAAAACACATAAAATCAGTAATAGCCTAGTTTTCAGTTACAATCCAGACTCTCGAACGATTGGATTTAAGTGTGCCAAAGAAAGAGCCGTGCGTTTGAGATCAAGGAAGAAGGGGATCCCCAGCCCTGACATTGTCTGTGTGTGTGAGTGTGCGCGCGCGCAGTGCAAGGTGAGATTCCCAAGCATCGACCGCGCGGGCTTTTGACCGACTCGTGATATCAGGACGTCGCGACGTCCGTCGTGTTCACGATTCGATAACAGTCATTTTTCATTTTTTTTTTTTTTGTTTTTTTTTTCTGTTTTAATTTAATTAAATAGTGTTTAGAGGGGGAAAAAAAAAATTTTTTTCTCTTCAAAAAAAAAAATAAATCTTAAAGGATTGTTTGTGTGCAACGAATGTTAGTGAGAGGTGAGAAAGTGAGAAAGTTTTTTTTTTCAATATTTGTTTTTGTTTATTATAAAACAATGCAAAACCATCGATATAGTGTAGTTTCAGTTTCAACCAATGTGGTGCATTTAAAAAAAAAAAAAATTATTTTTTACATTTTTGAAAGAAAATAATGCAATTTTTAATTATTGAGAGAAAAAACCATTTTCGTATACGTTTTTTTGCCCCTACTACCCCCTCTTTTTTTTGGTAAGAAACTGTTACCATTTCGAATTTTTTTCATCTTTCAAATTCTCTTATTTTTTAAAAGAGATTTTTTTTCATTAAAAATTTTTTTGAATTAATTTTCTTTCACACAAATATTTAATTGAAATTAAATAATAATAATTATTGTAATTTGATAATTAAAATTATAGTACCTAATTTAATAATTATAATTATTTTAAGTTCAATAAATATTACCCCTTCTCTTTTTTTTAGGAAAATAATATTTTTTTTGCACTTCAAATCATTTTAATTAAAAATTTTTATTTTATATTATTTTTGTCATCAAACGCATTTTAAAATTGTTTATAATATTAAAATTAAAAAAAATTTTTTTCTTTTGCAATTTTCAAAGTTCTTTTATTATAATAAAAAACATATATGAATCATGTTATTTTAGTTGGAAAAATTGTAATTATCTAATTTTTTAATAAAAAAATTTTCCATGAATAATTGTTAATAATATTATTATAATTGTTAATGCTATTATTATTATTATTATTATTATTATTATTATTGTTATTATTATTATTATTATTATTACTAATTATTATTATTAAAAGAAATTAATAAAATTATTATTAGTAACAATAATTAAAAATAGGGTAAATGCACCAGTGGTGGATCAGGCACCAATGGTGGATCAACAGCGTTAAAAAGGTTAAAATAAGCTATTTCTAATTGAACTAAATGTTTCAATAGTTTAGGGGAGGTGTATAGATAAGTTTTATGAAATAAAATCATTTGAAAATATTTAGGAAAACAGAGCAATACAACAATTGTTGATTTTATGCTTTTTCACATGAAATCTTAAAAAATAATTGTTTAGTCTAAATTTTTTTAATTTTTAGAGTAGAAAGTAATCAATTCTTTCCATATAGAATACTTTTGGAAAAAAATTTACATCATTAAGTTATTTTTGTGTAGTGTAAAGGGGTAAATGATCCACGACTGGAGCAATGTCATTTTATTGTTGAATGGGAGTGTGAGGGGGTGTAAACGTTACAAGCAGGTCGAAAACTACACGATAGTGTCCTTGGAGACTTGTTAATTCATACTATTGTAAAGATTACCCTATATTTTTCATCTGAAGAAATCTGTACACCTTTAAAGTCAAAATAATAAATTTAGTAGGCTTAATTGATCCACCACTGGTGCAGTTACCCTAATTGTTAATAATAAAAAAAAAATGTCATAAATTTAGTAAATTAAATATTGTTTTTAGTTGCAAAAATATTTATTAAATAATATATATATATAGGTATATATATAATCAATTATAATTATTTAATTTAAGTAATTAATATAATTTACAGTTTTTTTTTATTTAGTTCTAAGAGAAACCGGTTCTTTTCAAAATTTCGCTTCATTAAATTTTTGCAATTAAAATTTAATCTTATTTTTTTTCAATTTCGTTGCGGATATAATGATACTTTCAAAATTAGATTATTTAGTTTTACATAAGTTTCATGAAATCAAATTTAATTTCTAAATTAATTCAAACATTATTATAGTACATTTTGCAAATAATATGTGTTTTTCGTAAATAAATGAAATTTGAAAATTTACAGTTGAAAATTATTATTTTTTTTTTGCAAACTAATAATTTAATTGATAACATTTTTTTATAAACAAAGAATTTTTAATTTTAATTTAATTTTTATATTATAAATATTTTTTTTTTTATATTATATGTAACAAAATATTATTTTCATAAATAAATTATAATTTATTGACAAAAAAATATTGATTTTTTATTTTTTTACTTTTTAAAATTGTCATTTGTGAGACATGCATTTTTTGTTGTTGTTGTAAAATGAAAGAATAAACTAAAAAATAATAATTTTTTCAATACATAATTATTTTTTTACATTTATTTCTTTTAATGAGTTTTAAATTTTTCAATATGTTCACGTCTATATATATATATATATATATATAAAAACGAAAATTCTGAGAATTTAATTTAATTTAAATAATGCAACGTTTTCTTTTTTTTCTTTAAATATACATTTTAAAATTACATTATCATATATTTCATCACATTGAATTTAATGAATTAATTATATTATTCGGATTCTTATGTCTTTAAAATTCTATTATTAACAAATTTTAATTTAATTGCAATCTAATATTTAATTTGTAATTATTATTAATTAAAATTATTAAATTTATAATTTTTCCCATTATTAAATAAAAAAAAAAACTAGAATAGTTAAAAAAAAGTAATAATAAATTAAAATAAATTAATATAAAACTATAATTTAATTTCATAAAAAAAAAAAAAATTCTTTACTTTATTTCTTAAACTGAAGAAGGAAAATTATTCGTTTCCTGGTATTGATTTATATTATTGTATATTTATGCATTTAACGCGTAAATATGAGTTTATGAAAAACCTCACCTTAACGGAATTAATAGAGTAACGCACGTTTGTGAAAAAAAAAAAAAAAAAAAATGCTGACAAGCTTTAGAATATACACTCACAGGTCAAGAATAATTGTCTACTGATAAGAATATATCAGTCTTCATTGTACACCTCGTGTGGTTGAAACCTCGAAAATATAATCGAGTTTAACAAGAATTTAAATAAAAGAATTATCCCTAAAAAGTCAAAATTTTTTTTCTTTTCCTTTTTTTTAAAAAAAAGTTATATTAATTTTTTATTTTTATTTTTTGAGTGAATAAAAAAAGTGAAAAATTATGTTTTTCAGCGAATACAAAATGCCGTTGACTTGTTGGGAGAAAATTACAATTGTTGTAGTGGCAGCGGTGGGACTACGAATATTAATAAGGGCCAGTGTTTTAGCATGGAAAAAATTAATTGCACCCGGTCTTGGATTAGGTATTGATGTGGCATCACAGGGTAAATGGGCATTAATTACTGGGGCAACTGACGGTCTTGGGAAAGCTTATGCAAAGGCTCTAGCCAATAAGGGACTCGACATTATTCTCGTGTCGAGATCCATGGACCGTTTAAAGGAAGCTGCATCGGAAATTAAACAAGCCTATGGGGTCGAAACGCGGGTCATTGAAGCCGATTTAACTGAGGGTCAGGCAGTCTACAATAAAATTGGCAAAGCCATTGAGGATCTCGAGGTATTTTTTTTTTTAATATATTGAAATAAAGTTATTTATTTGATTTAAATAATTTTTTTTTTTAAGAGTACTGATCTTCATTTTTTAAAATAAATTATACAGGGTGTTCCAAAAGTATGGAAATTTGCAAATATCTCGAAAAGTACGCATTTTTGTAAAAAATATCAAAAACAAAAGTTGTTCCAAAGAAAAAAGATCTACATTTTTGAACCCAAAAAATTGGTCCCGGGACCCAACAGTGAAAAAAGAAGTATCACGAAAAATCTTATATTAAGAGCATTTGAACCTTCGTGACGTCACAAATTATGGCGCATGACACGCAAACTTCTCAGGTATGTGAAAAGCACAATTTTGAATATTTTTTAAAAAAACCTTTTGGAAAATGTTCAGAATAACATAGACTCTGTCTGTTATGAGCGGAAAATTCAAAATTTTGCGTTTAAAACGTTTTTTAAACAATGTTAAGGTCACAAATCATGGCGCATGACACGCAAACTTCTCAGGTATGTGAAAAACACAATTTTAAATATTTTTTAAAAAAACCTTTTGGAAAATATTCAGAATAACATAGACTCTGTCTGTTATGTGCGAAAAATTCAAAATTTTGCGTTTAAAACGTTTTTTAAACAATGCCTACAAATAAGCAATTCGTGTATTTTTCCTTACTTGTGACAACCAACTTAAACATTGTTTAAAAAACGTTTTAAACGCAAAATTTTGAATTTTCCGCACATAACAGACATAGTCTATGTTTCTCTGAACATTTTCCAAAAGGTTTTTTTAAAAAATATTCAAAATTGTGTTTTTCACATACCTGAGAAGTTTGCGTGTCATGCGCCATGATTTGTGACCTTAACATTGTTTAAAAAACGTTTTAAACGCAAAATTTTGAATTTTCCGCACATAACAGACAGAGTCTATGTTATTCTGAACATTTTCCAAAAGGTTTTTTTAAAAAATATTCAAAATTGTGCTTTTCACATACCTGAGAAGTTTGCGTGTCATGCGCCATGATTTGTGACGTCACGAAGGTTCAAATGCTCTTAAGACACTATACTTTTTGCAGTGTAGGAGTATGAAAAAACACGTTTTTATTTACATTGTGATAATTTAGTTCGAAAATAACACACAAAAGAAAAAAATAATTTTTAAATAAATTCTTATCATATAAACGATTTGTATAGTAAAAAAAAATAATTTATATTTATTAAACCTAGAATATTATTTTGAGAAAATATGCAATATTTATTTATTATATGTGACGCTTTATGGTGAAAAGGACCTTAGCTGCAAAAAATTTTTAGGTTATGTTCACTGACAGTTTTACCTTGATTAAACGTTTATTTTTTATAATTTTATGTAAAATCAAAATCAGTTTTTACTGAACGACCTAAAATTTTATAACATATAACCTAAAATTTTATGCATCTCAGAAAAAAGATATTTCTTTGATTCAAAGAAATCAATTTCTTTGCCAAATTTTTTTTTGATACAAATAAAATTTATTTGTTTCAAACAAAAATAACACATGTTTACAAATTCGGATCAACTTTTGGATCCAGAAAGACAAGAGCGTTTCTTAACGTATTTTTTTATGCTGAATTCGAATCCATTATTAAATTTCCGTATAACGTCAAAATTCAAAATGGCGGATCCAAAATGGCGGAAAAAAAAATAAAAAATCATTTGGATTTGCTTGAAACTTGTTACTCGGGGGTTTTAACAGTCGCTGATTACGAATATGGCATCAGATTTTTAAAATTCAAAATGGCGGATCCAATACGGCGGACAAAATTTAAAAATTGATCATATTTGCTTGAAACTCGTTGATCTTCAATTTAAAATTTTAAAAATCTAATGCCAGATTTGTCATCAGCGACCCCAAAACCCCCGAGTAACGAGTTTTAGTTGAATTGAAGCGATTTTCAGAAAAGTCGTCCGCCATATTAAATCCGCCATTTTGAATTTTAAAAATCTGACTTCATACTTGTAATCAGCGACCCCAAAAACCTTGAACAAAGTTATGATTTTTTTTAATATGTAATATATATATATATATATACTAGGGGGCTATGCCCCCTGCGCGCTTCGCGCGCCAACCCCCACCCCCCCTCCTCTCTTCCCCTCCTTTTCCCCACCACCACCCTAAATTTAAAGGTTATGTTCGTTTCAAGACTCTGAATATAGCCGCAAGTCCCCCCTCTCCCTTCTCTTCTACCCCCCTTCTCTTGACTTGCGGCTATATTCAGAGTCTTGGAACAGCGGCTTCGCGCGCCAACCCCCATCCCCCCTCCTCTCTTCCCCTCCTTTTCCCCTCCCCCACCCTAAATTTAATGGTTAAGATCGTTTCAAGACTCTGAATATAGCCGCAAGTCCCCCCCCCTCTCCCTTCTCTTCTCCCCCCCTTCTCTTGACTTGCGGCTATATTCAGAGTCTTGGAACAGCGGCGGCGGCGTTGGCGGCGATATCTTTTTGTAATATAGGTAGATATATATAGTTTAATTAACAATAACAATTTTGTTAAAAGCATCAAAAATTTTAAATTGCAATTATCTCAAAAACCTGACGTGTAGTAAAAAAAAACGGACTGTAGATTCGAATTCAGCGTTAAAATTTACTTTTAGGAACAGATCTTCGTTGCTCGGATCCAAAACCGTGTGTTCCTGTGTGTTATCTTTGATTCAAAAAAAAAAAAAAATTATCTTCGTTTCAAAAGAAATTGTTTATTTAATTCAAGTAATTGTTTCTTTGACCCTATTTTATGAAAAATTAATTAATTCAATAATTCATAATAATTTTTCACTTTTTTTATTAATTGATGATTGAAATATGATTATTACTTTTACATAATCTATAACTCATTTATTTATATTATACAACATAAATTTCAAAACGTAACAATTTTTTAAAATGCGAAATCGCATTTTATATAAAAGCGTCACTTATATAGAAAGGGAGAAAAAAAATACGAGCAAATTATGATTTTCGTCTATATAGACTATTACCTAAAAGGTTATTGACCTTTAATTATCCCTTCTTAAAATCGGTTGATTTTTAACTCTCGATATATATATATATCCTTTACGGATATTTTCACTTTTGTAAGTCTTTGGAGCAGACGGTTATATATATACATATAATGAAGGTATAGGTATACAAAAATGTATTCGCATCTTGAACGAATAGAAAGTGTTATATCACTTCATGAAAGCGATCAGTGGGGATAATCGAGACTTGGGTTTTATAGCAAGTTTCTCTAATTGACTATATACTTCATCTCTCATCAGCGCAGGATAACTGACCACTGACTTTTTTTCATGTCTTTTAATGCCACTTTTGGGTTATACTTCGACTTTCTTCATAATCATATTTTTTTTCCATTTTATAATGACTTTCTGCACATTTATTAAATTTTATAATCATTAATTTTTTTTCTTTTTTGAATTTGCAATTGCTAATATTTACAATTGCTAATATTTACAATTTCCTGTTCGCTATAGAGCGTACATTTTCATTTTTTCTATTACCCACTGATTTTAGTGTAGTTTTCGAAATATTTTTCATTGAAAAAAAATTTTTTGGGAGAAAATATTTGCACTTCTGTTGTTTTAAGGTGAAAACCTAGTAAATCCCTTCCCAGATAACACGTAATCTTGCAGCAACCTTGCGGCTAGCGTGCCGCGCAATATTGCCAATCTTGCACGGCAAACTTGTCGCAAGCTTACTGGAAGCTTCAAATGTCCCACCTGACCCAAGCTTGCATGGTAAGCTTACCAAAAGATTGCAGTGTAAGGTTACTGCAAGATTGCACAATAAAATTATTGCAAGATTGCTCGGAAAGCTTGCACGGTAAGCTTGTAGCAAGGTTGGTGCAAGGTGTGACATTTGAAGTTTGCGGCAAGTTTGCCGTTTAAGGTTGGCAATAGTGCGTGAAATGCTTGCTGCAAGGTTGTTTTTTTTATATGACATTTGATTTTTTTCTTGCATTGAACAGGTGGGAGTATTGGTGAATAATGCAGGAAGAAGTTACGATCATCCCGAGTTGTTTACTCAGGTTCCCGAGGAGACGTTGGCTAAAATATTGCAATTAAATGTTGCTGGTGTAACGGGAGTCGCAAGAGCTGTTCTTCCGGGAATGATGGAAAGAAGAAGTGGAATTGTCATTAATATTAGTTCAACTGTTGCTGCAATTCCAAGTCCCTATTTATCAGTTTATGCAGCCAGTAAAGCTTATGTTGCTAAATTGAGTGCAGATCTTGCTGCGGAAGCTGCTCCCAGGGGAGTGACAGTTCAATGTGTTTTGCCTGGACCAGTGGCTACCAAAATGGCCAAAATTAAGTAAGAATTACTAAATAACAACTAATTTAGTATATGTGACGTTTTAAGGTGAAAGGGACCTTAGCTACAAAAAAAAAATTTTAGGTTATGTTTTAGTTTTACCTTGATTAAACGTTTACTTTTAGGGTTTCATGGTCCAGGACCAAAACCCATATATAGTTTCACTTTGGCCTCCGTTTGCCGTTGTACACCATAGTAAGGGTTGCCATAGTAACAGTTGCTATGGTAACGGTTTCCATGGTGACGCTTACGCTAACTCTAAAAAAACACAAACATAACCAAAAATTTGTTTGCAGCTAAGGTCCCTTTCACCGCTTGGAGTATCACACATATTTTCTTCCTTGAAAAAAATTATAACTACTTTGATTTTGAATGTCATTTTACTAAATTTTTTATTTTTTTGTATACGTTGTAATTTTGGAATTATAAAATAATCTAAACAAAGAATTTTAAATAGAAAATTATTGAAACATTTTTTTTCAAAATAATAAAAATTTTTAAGGTAGTTAATTACTTTTTTTTTTATATTTTTGAGGTAATATTAGTAGCTGCGAAGATAAACTAAATGTCTTTACAAAATTGAGATAAGATATTACAACTTGTACATAATACTGTTTATGTATCAAATATTATGTATACGAATGCATATAATGGGGAAAAAATATCTAATGAGGAAAAAAGAACATTTTCTAACCTAATTATGAGTCATTTACGTAAATACAAATTAGGTTCAAAAATATTTTTTTTCAATTTTGTTTTATATTGCATTTTTCAAAAAAGGTGTATTTCTCTATCAATAATTTAATATATATATATATATAGACTCTATAGGATCTTGTAACACTTTTCATTTTTTGTTCCGATTGCTCCTTGATATTTAAATAATATAATATACCGGTTTTATCGTATTATCTTTTTAATGATCTGGTTCGTGTAATATATGTTAAATTTAAATATTTTTTTATACATAGTTGCTTCTTTTCCATACTTGATTATAAACGTATTTAAAAAAATAGTCGATGTTATAATTAAAAATTTATAACTTTTAAAAGTATATAGTATATAAACAATATTTATATATGCTTTTTAAAGGTCAAGAGAATTAAGAGTTTTAAACAAAATTCTCATCATTATAACGATTTGTAGAGTAAAAAAAAATAACTTCAATATTTAACTTTTATTACTTTATCAAAAATGCTCGCTCGTGAGTTTTAAAAAAAAATTGTTTCAATTTTAATAAATAATTGCTTATTTTATTGAGAAAAAGGTTCTCTACAAATTTACCGTGTTGAATTTTTTTTAAAAAAGTTTACTATTTTTCAAGTATGGATATTTTTTTAGAAATAAATTTCGAAAACAAAATTTTTTCTTTTAATACTGACTTTTTTTTTTAAAATATATTCCCAGATAGTACGTAAGCTGGCAGCAACCTTGCGGCAAGCTTACAGCAAGCTTTAAACGTCCCACCTGACCCAAGCTTGCATGGTAAGCTTACCGAAAGATTGCAGTGTAAGGTTACTGCAAGATTGCACAATAAGAATATCGCAAGATTGCTCAGAAAGCATGCACGGTAAGCTTGTAGCAAGGTTGGTGCAAGATTGCCAAATAACCTTGCTTTGAACCTGAAAAATTTTTTTCTTAATGTTTTGTCTAATTTATTTAATTTTTTTATATAAATTAGACGAAACATTAAAAAAAAATTTTTTAGGTTCAAAGCAAAGTTATTTGGTAATCTTGCACCAACCTTGCTACATGCTTACCGTCCAAGCTTTTTGAGCAATCTAGCGATATTCTTATTGTGCAATCTTGCAGTAACCTTACACTGCAATGTTTCGGTAAGCTTTTACCATGTAAGTTAGGGTCCGGTGGGAGATTTGAAGCTTGCAGTAAGTTTGCGACAAGTTTGTCGTGCAAGGTTGGCAATATTGCGCGACAAGCTTGCCGCAAGGTTGCTGCAAGCTTACGTATATTATCTGTGTAAACATGGCAAGAAATTTTATTTTTTCTGATACTGAATTTTTTTTGTAAAATATATAAAAATCCCAATAATGTGATAAAATAAAATGAAATTGGAAAATAAATTCTAATTTTTTTTTTCATAGGAGAGCAACGTGGATGGCGCCAACACCTGAGAAATTTGTCGAAGCACAATTAAAGACAATTGGCATTGAATCAAGAACAACGGGTTATCCACCACATTGTTTAATTGTGGGATTTATGAGTGCACTGCAATGTATTTGCGAAAAGGGCGCAGTGTGGTTGGTCGTAAGAACAATGCTCAATGTACGTGGTAGAGCCATTAGAAAGAAGATCAAGGATCAAGAAGAGGAAGTGAGTGATGTACCTGAACGAGCTAGTGCATCATGATTATTATACAAATAGTGAAAAAAAAAATTATATATATATATTCAAAATTGCCATATTTTTAGTATATAACAATAATATATAAATATATATATATATACTTATTATTTTCCTAGAAAGACTGCTACTTACGTTATATATATATGTATATTTTTCTTCAAAACTAATAATATAGAAATAAATATTTCTTTTTTAAATCACATGTTATAAAAAAAAGAACCTTTCAACAAATTGTTTAAATTATTTTGAAAAATGTAAAATATAATATTTGGAATATATTTCGAACCTATTTACAATTTAACATACACAAAAAGAAAATTAATCTCATATTGAGAGGAAAAATTGCACATTCGGAAAAAATTAATCTCATATTGAGAGGAAAAATCATCTTCTAATGGAAAGTGGAAGATTTGTTTTTTTAAGGGTTAAAATGAGCAATTTAGCGATTTCCTCTTCTATTAAGAGTTTTTGGCATATATATAGTTTTGAGAGGATTTTAGTAGACGAAAGATTTAATATTTTTAAACACAGCTTCGTGCTTCTTAAATGAAGAGGATTTTTTTTTGGTACCAATTAAAAGAAGATAAAATCCAATTAAGATTAGAGGAAACCGATGAAATGGAGATTTTTTTTTTTTTGAGTGCAAATAGATATTGAGCAAAATTGTATATAAAAAGAATAGAAAAAATATACTAAAATTAAGAATAAATAATTTGCAAATAAAAAATTATTTAAATGCAATTTATTGTAAAATTCAGATTATTCTAATCTTTATATAAAAATATTTTATAAAAAAAAGTATATCGTATTTTTAAAAATATAATATTCTTAATTTAAAAATAAATATTCTAAATTTAAAAATATAGGTATATTATAAATTTTGAAAATTTATTCTCAATTTAAAAATATATTCCAAATGCGAAAAAATATTTTTAAGGGTCATTCCATTATATTTCACCTAAAGTCGTTGCGGCCTAATTTTTAAAAAACTTGGTACTTTCAGAAATGATTTTTTATGATATTTAGGAAACGAAATAAAAAGAATTAAGTTAAAATTTTTATTATTTATCTCAAAATATGTATTTAAAGTGGACAAGGTGCGGAAAAATGTCACCTTTTTAGCATTTAGAAACTTTTTTTAAAAACATAGAAAAATTGTTAAAAGTGTAAAAAAAATTATTTTTTCTTGTTTAGAATCGATTAATTATCTATTTTTTAATGATTAAAGTAGTAAATAAATTAAAATAATATATAAAAAAAGTTTTCAAAGTTGGTCTGTCAAATAACCTAATTTTGGGATTTTTATTAATTAATTACTAAAAAGTGGAGTTATTAAATAAAATAAAAACTTACCGAATGTAAAGTATTTGTGGTGAACTTTCAAATTTTCTTAGCACTTTTTACTTTTTCCATTTATAAATGTAAAAAATCTTGAGTCGAAAATTGTCACTTTGTTGATTTTTCCGATTTTTAATCGCTTGTAACTCTTTTGGTGCAAAATAAAAACTTTTGAAACCTGGCGGAATATTTAAGTTAAATCTAAATAAAAACTCACTGTAATTTTCGTGATGGATTTTGATCAAGATTAGAAGAAAATTTAATTCCAAAATTGTACGTATATTTCCAGGTTAATGTATGTAATTTTTCGTCTTTGAAGTAGTGGCCCAACTTCAAGTTTAAAAAAATTACATACATTAACCTGGAAATATACGTACAATTTTGGAATTAAATTTTCTCCTTATCTCGATCAAAATCCATCACAAAAATTTAAGTGAGTTTTTATTTAGATTTAACTTAAATATTCCACAAGGTTTCAAAAGTTTTTATTTTGCACCAAAAGAGTTACAAGCGATTAAAAATCGGAAAAATCAACAAAGTGACAATTTTCGACTCAAGATTTTTTACATTTATAAATGGAAAAAGTAAAAAGTGCTAAGAAAATTTGAAAGTTCACCACAAATACTTTACATTCGGTAAGTTTTTATTTTATTTAATAACTCCACTTTTTAGTAATTAATTAATAAAAATCCCAAAATTAGGTTATTTGACAGACCAACTTTGAAAACTTATTTTATATATTATTTTAATTTATTTACTACTTTAATCATTAAAAAATAGATAATTAATCGATTCTAAACAAGAAAAAATAATTTTTTTTACACTTTTAACAATTTTTCTATGTTTTTAAAAAAAGTTTCTAAATGCTAAAAAGGTGACATTTTTCCGCACCTTGTCCACTTTAAATACATATTTTGAGATAAATAATAAAAATTTTAACTTAATTCTTTTTATTTCGTTTCCTAAATATCATAAAAAATCATTTCTGAAAGTATCAACTTCTTTAAAAATTAGGCCGCAACGACTTTAGGTGAAATATAATGGAATGACCCTTAAATATTCTTATTTTGAGAGTAATTTTTATAATATGAAATTAAAAATAAATTACATTAAAAATATTCTAAAATAGGTGCCAAGTATATTTATTCTAAATTTTAGAATATTTTTTTTTCACTCTATGTTTGATAGAAAATTATGTTTATAATATACGAAATGCCTTCTAATAGGATTAAAATTTATACACGTGAATTATGTGAATTTTGTAAATGTATTGATAAGTATAAAAAAATGAAGACGTGTATTAAATAATAAGCAAATTAATTATATGTGATAAAAAAGATGGAATATCAAAGAAGAATTCGTTTTCTATTTTTTTTTTTTTTCTAAAGAAGCTATCAAATTTTATATTTGTGCCTTATTATATATCAGATAAACAATTAAAAAATTTTTAAATATAAATTTTAAAAAAATATATGCATACCTATACTTTGTTATCTTTTATAGAATAGAATAATTTTTCAAACATTTAAGAATCATTAAATTTTGTTTAAATTTACATTATTGACTTTCATTTATCACGAGTGTACAATTGTTATTATAAATATAGCTTTGGAAATATTACGCACGCATATAATTGACCTGAAGCCTTTATGAATATGCATTTATTCATTTTTACTTTTCAATGTTTAATTTATATATTGATGAGTTCATATTACAATCCTTAACGGATATGATAATTTTTTTTCTACAAGTAAAATCGAAATCTATAAAAAATTAAGTATGCGTAAATTTTTATATATCACTTTTATATTTATTATTTGACTATATATATATTACTGAAATTTAATATAAAAATTAACCAAAAAACTTTTTTTTTTGACGTAACATCGCAAAAATAAAAATTTTCAAATTAAAAATAAATACTTTTGGCATCTATTTTGGAATATTTTATTATAATTTTTTTTATATTAAGTATATACTGCTTTTAAAATAATATTTGAAAAAAATTTTAAATAGTTTATACTGAATTTAAGAGTAAATTAAATATTCCCCCACAGCAGCCAATCTTTACTAAAAATTTCGTAAAGATTTCCTTGAAATCTTGGGGATATTTAATTGCAAAGTTTAATGAAAATTGCATAAAGATTTGGCGTAAAAAATGACTAAAAATTTAAATGAAATTTTCAGGAAATGTTCGTCGTGAAAATTAAGTAAAAATTTTAATGAAATTTTTAGGAAATGTTCGTCGCAAAAATTGAGTAAAAGTTTTAATGAAATTTTCAGGAAATGTTCGTCGCAAAAATTGAGTAAAAGTTTTAATGAAATTTTCAGGAAATGTTCGTCGCGAAAATTGAGTAAAAATTTAAATGAAATTTTCAGGAAATGTTCGTCGCGAAAATTGACTGAACATTTAAATTAAATATTCATTAAAAATTTATAGCGAAAGTTGAGTGAAAATGTAATTTAAATATTCAGTCAATTTTTGTGACGAACATTTCCTGAAAATTTCATTTAAATTTTTAGTCAATTTTTACGCCAAATATTTATTTTGGTGGGACATTTAAATCTTTATGCAATTTTCATTAAACTTTGCAATTAAATATCACCAAGATTTCAAGGAAATCTTTACGAAACTTTTAGTAAAGATTGGCTGCTGTGGGGGTATGGCAGGGCTCAGTTATCTTGGTGCGTAAGCTTTGAAATAGTTATTCTTTACCAATGTAGATGGCATTATATGCTAATGTTCTCTTCGCTGAATTATGAGGGGAAATTATATTGAAAAATTGATGTTTTCTGTTTACTTATTTTGAAATAAATGATTGAAGTGAGTGCGTGACATAAATGCAATTAAAAAGTTTAAAAAAAAATTAGCCTTACAAACATTTGAGGCTCCTGGCAAGCCGCTTAAGCAGCTGCTTATTTTGTATGCATATAAATCCGACTCTGAGTATGTAGTTGATGTTGAAAAGAAGTTAAGAAAATGATAAAAGTGACAATTTTTTAAAATAGAAAATATTAAATACGAACCACATTTTGAAGAGGGGAGTTTTGTACATTTTTTATCAGGGCGCATTCAGTGCTCACGGTTGCATTGCATGTTATGTCCGTTTGTCTCCTTCCAACTGAAAAAGAAAAATTAAACAAATTTTCAAAAGTCTGAAAATTATTATAAAATATATTTTTTTTTAATATAACCATTATAAACAAAACAATTAAATTTATTTATACATACCTTTAAAGCAATCATGCAATATTCGTCGAACTGATTTTATAAAAATGATGCTGTCACCTGGAGTTTGTTTTTCTAAGATCAATGACTTTGGTCCTGTAAAATAAAGGAGATTAATTTTTACCAAATTATATAAAACAAAATATAATAGCTGAGTTTTGTAAATTTGACCCTAAAAATGTATAATCATGCAAAAATGTTTCAAAAATTTACCAAAAAGAAAAGAGATATTCTAAATTTAATAATAAAAATCCATGGATTCTATTCTGACAGTTAGAATATAATATTATTAAAAAAGAAACTGCTCTTAATGCTGAATTTTGATATTTACCATTTTAATGTGTTCTTTGAACTGGATGAAATATTATTTTGGAATTTAAAAAATTATTTTTAAATTAAGAATAGTATTCATAGTTTAAGAACATCATTAACATTACTATTATTATATTTTAACTGTATACAATATAAAAATAAAATGCATGCGGAAATTCAGAACATCTATTTTCGGTGTGATAATTTCTACTCTAAATAACATTATATGCAGATGTATAGATTTTATAATACTACGTTCTAACTCGAGTTTGCTTACATGATTCATATTTTAATCACGTATTACTTCAAGAAACATGAAATTTTTTTTTAAATATATTATTCACAATGATATTTTTTTTATTTTAATATTTAAAAACAAGAATAAATTTCTAAATTTAAACTCTTAAATGTTTCATTTAAATAAAGAAGAATAACCTTTCTTCGATGCTATTTTAAGCACGAATGTTGGGAAATTATTTTTAATTATAAACTATAACGTTTTTGAACATCCCTCACAGCACCGGATATTTAAGGATATTCCTGGGACATTCTCAGAATATCCATCTGCTTGCGACAGTTTGGATATCCCTAGGATATCCTAATGATGTCCTAGGATATCCAAACTTCCGCAAGCAGATGGATATTCTGAGAATGTCCCAGGAATATCCTTAAATATCCGGTGTTGTGAGGGATACAAGTCTAAATGTTAAGGAAAGAGAAAATACTCATACTTAGAAAGACAGACAATTAAAATAATTGAAAAAAATCATTATATTATATTACATAGGAAGGTAATTTTACTTGTGTCACGTTGTACGTAATACGTTTGGATGTTAGTTTTTTTCGGAAACGGAAGAAAGCACCTGCAACATTCCTTCTTCAAGTCAACAGCATAACTTCCATAAACTAGTGGATTAGCACAAGAGTTGCCAACAGCCATTATAAAAAGTGCCTCTTGAATTTCTTGCTTGACATTCAATGCACTTTGTCGATCAATTATGTACCTGACAAATTAACATATGTCAAAAATTAATTTTGATTAATTAAGAAAATTTAATTATTATTAGTTTATATTGAATTGATTATTATTAAATTGTTAAAATTTATTTATAATTCACAATTTTATCACAAATTTTCTTATTTACTATATTTATTTATAGAGAAAAGATTTTATATTTAATATTTATTTATAATTGTGTAGAAAAATTAATGAAATACTAACCATAGCACCATTGTCACATACGGCGTCCAACATAAGATAAATACAGCGACAATGGTTATGGTCATCCGTAGTGTTCGAGTTCGAGCTCTTTTAATTCGACTCATGTCTGAACACCTCAATCTCATGCGATTGTCACTTCCACTGTTTAAACTTCCTGAACTTCCGTTACTACGTGTTCTGGTCAACACTAGAGATAATTACACACAATTTCATAAATACTGTCCTTCCGTTTCGACGGCATTTTGAAAACTTATATAATAATTTTATCAGTTCGTGGTGTTGTTTATACGTTACGCCAAGAATTAATAAAATTATTATATAGAAATGTTACGACTTTACAAAATGCCGTCAAACCGGAAGAACATTCATTAACATTGATTAAAATAAAAATAATAACAATTCCGGTTAACCTTTATCATATTGTGCGGTCATTCTACAGGTACGGAATTAAACATAATGGGATGGGAATACTAGGCTGAATTAAAGAATACATTTCAGAAGATGAAGAAGTCTTTGATGCACGTTCAGATAAACATAAACAGAATGATAAAGAATATCAAGAAACATCAAGTCATTATTGAGAAGGTAAAGGCATAACATCAAAAAACAGATTCCAACTACAGTCTTCAACTTTGCGCCATGTTTGAAAGAAAAGGGCCGAAGCATTATTGGATACCCAGGTCGATGAAGGACAATACTCCCAATGTTAAAGCAATATCTACTTTTTATCGAAAACACTACACGACATAGAGATACGGCGGTTATTTGGCAAGCCTCTTCATTACTGATGCTCAGGATGAGAGCGGAATGGAAAAATTGTAGCTGTAAGACCTTAGTATCTAAGTAACTTTAAAAACCAAGCACTCTTCCAGGAGGAGAAGGTTAGCATTGTCGGTCTTTGCCCAGGCAAGGTTCGAAAATTTTGTCTGGGACAAGGGCAGGAAAGAACCCACCGGGAAACTCGTGGAAGTTCCGTCTCCTAGCTAAGTTCCGCTCACTGATGCTGCGATCGATAAACGTTTTAACCGTTTATCGGTTAAAAGGGGCCGAGGCCCAATAAGATACCTGGGGTCTATAATCTAGATATTCATGGCCTATCCTTCCCGCTACTTTGACTGCAAGGTACTGCGGAAATGGAAAAACGCCTCTTACGACATAGAATTCCTTGTGATGCCTTCTATTTTCCCAAAAAGTTACAGCCATCTTAGCCCCGATAATACCACAAAAAAATTGGGCGTAAGTTAGCGAGGACAAGAATCGTGTACTTCCAGCGGGGACAACACGGAGGTTCTGCTTCCAGACTGCAATCTTCAGACCGCAGTCTCATCCTGTCTCTAGAAGAGGAGGCGTAGTGCGTTCAAAGTTCCCTCTTTAGTCGCCTTTTACGACACGCGATGGGTTACGGGAAGAAAAATTCTTGACCGTTCTTCCATAGCCACCTTGCACACGATCCCATTTTATAGGTGACATTGTGGCAGGCGTAGTGCGTTCACGCATCATCGGTTTCTTCCAACTGCGCTTCTCTATCAAAACGGTACTTAGCCAGAAGGGTACGATCCTCCGCGCCCTTTTTAGACGCCTTTTACGACATGCAGTGACAGTTTTACGACAGGCGGCCTATTCTGTAGCCGGGACAGCCAGGATAACGATAAACGTCTTCAATAAACTGTCAAGTTTTACGTGCGAGATCTTCTTGTACAGGTATATTCACTGACTTGCCGGTTTAGTCATCCCCGGATTCCTAAAAGGTAATGAACTTGGAGAACCTTGGTGGGGTCCTTTCCAATCCTTAACGGCTTTACAACCCGCTGTCCGTTTTCATACTGAAACTCACACGCAGAAATCTAGAGGATGGAACAACTCTGATGACCCTAAAGCATGATGACCAACCATGACTTTGCACGTTCAGAAGAACTATAGGAGCTGTTTGAGAAAATATTGAGGTAAGAAATTAGAAAGACGGAGGTACTAAAACCAAAAGAAAACTGACGTTCTGAATAAACTTCGCAAGAATGTTAACTACACGACAGTAGGCGGAACAAAGACTAGTAGGAAGAGAAACCTAACGAATGAAATCGTAGAAGACACCATTAAGAATGCTTTCACCATAAAGATTACCAAGTTGGTCCAAAGTGTGTGTAAAATTCAGAAGGTGACTCAAATAGTCACCTGTAAAGAACACCTGACGCTAGTTCTATAGGGTAAACTAAAAGTAAAATCAGGAAACAATAAGGGTTTCCAGTGCAGTAAGATTGGCTGCCAAATAGCAAGCAGAGTTTTACAGTCCTATAGTACCCAGATTGGATCTTCATAAATAATTTCTGCACTTTCCTCTGTGTAACCGAAAATGATAATAGAAATTAAATAATTTTAAAAAATATTTACAAACCTTGTCTGTTTTCACGAGACTTGCTGTTGATTTCACAAAGAATTTTCATATAAACCCAGCAAATAACAATAAGTGGCGCAAAATACATGGCCAAGAGGCAAAAAATGTTGTAAATATTTTCCTGTAATTCCGATTTGAAAAAGCCGAAAGTTACACACTGGGTGAAATTTGGAAAATCAGGATGTGTTGCTACATGAAATATAAAACTCTGCAAATAACGTAAAGAATTTTTTTTTGAAGTACCGATAATAACAAATAATATGAAGTTGCAATATTAATTAATAAATCTACTTGTGGAATAGCGTAAATGACGCTGGTAATCCAAGCGACTGTTAACATCATTTTTCCTCGTCGCTTAGCATCGTTTAACTTTAGAGGATGTAAAACTGCAAAATACCTGCAATCACCAATTGTTTATAAACTATATGAAAATAGTATTAATAATATATATTTATCAATAAAGAAATTATGTTTTTATACAAACCTATCCAAGGAAACGCATATGAGTACATTACTAGATAAATAAAGACCGAAAGCTCTTAGAAATAAACAAATTTTACAGGCTAAATTTCCAGCCAACCATTTTACTGTGACTCTCCATCCGACCTAAAAATAAATTTTTATTAATTTTATATAAAGAGATTATTTATATTTAGTTATTCATTTATACGGGCAGTAGTGGTCTTTTATGCAAATTAATTACAAGAATAACAAAAGAGATAATGACTTAGCGAAACAATGACACATTTGAACTTAGATAACTCCAACGAGTTCATTACGTAATTTACTTATAAAAGTACTTAGAGTAACGCCATAGAAATCAATGTCATTGTGGTACTCATTGGCTTCTCTTGTTAATCTAACCATAACATAGTTTTCTCCAATAATTAGTTCTTTGATATGACTGGCTGAATTGAAACGGATTTCTGGTTAGTCTAAAAGGAACTGCAAAATTAAGCAAAGATAAAATTGTTGCGGACAGTTTATAATAATATTTTAAACAAAAAAAGTTAATCAGAAAATAAAAATCTGTTTCTTAATAATACCCAAATGCTAGCAAATGGTATCCCTGTCTGTCTAGCGATAAAACGCATAAATTTATTTTTGAACACGTTCAAGAACAATCATTACTTTTTACGAAAATAATAAATATGTTTGCAAATATTTGAATTTTTAAAAAATAAATACCTCGAGAGGAATCATAAAGAATGTGACGAAGAGATCTGCAGCTGATAAATGACATATCATCAATGCGATCCGTGACTTTTTATAACGACCTCTTGACAATGTAATGAAGACAGTGAGATTTCCAATTGCGGCAATTATGAAAAATATACAATATACTATTATAACGGTCAGCGAACGATTTGTAAACGTCATATTCGCCGGTAATGTCGAATTATTGAGTACACTGAAAAGAAAAGGAAAATTAATTTTAATTTCTTCCCACATTCTCTTACTACAAAAAAAGATTAGAAAAAGTTATCAAATTTTTTTTGCTAAAAACCAGAATGTATTTGTTTTAATGAAATTATAATTAATATTTAATTATATAAATAAAATACTAATTAATATTTGTGGTGATCTAACTTGTGCACTTTAGGACTAAACGGTCTGACTTTGTATCAATCTTTACCGCATTTAAGAATTTTTGCCCCGGAGTTATCTTACAATTAGACTTTTAGCTCACCTAAGGTAGTACCGTCAGGTTTTTTCTGTAACAGACCTTTTTCGTTGTATATTCGATTCTTCTGTTTTGTTCTTGGCCTATTTCTTACGTATTCCTTTAGAGAATCTTCTTCGCTTTTTAAAGAATTAATGTGAAGACATCGTATCCTCTGCTGTTTCTCTCTTGGTTATAGTTCTTCTTTCCTCTGAAATTTCCCTTATTATAAAAAGTAGGCTTGAGTCTTTTTGCAATCCGACAGATTGGCATAAAATTCTCCGCACTTGAAGCATGCAGTCAATATATTTACCGTCTTTTAATCTATTCCAATTCGGTCATATCCGAGATACTGATAAGGCTTTACGATCTTTAATTCCTTCCTAATTGGACAAGACACGAAGTCTATTTTTATTTCACCCTAATTTCTTCAGTCTTTTCTTGGTCGGATACTAAAAATGTTCTATTCTTTTTCTGTTGGGTCCAGAACCGTCAGCATCTTGTAACCTGCTATTTGAAAAGGAATCCAGCAAATCGAAAAAAGTTCCAGGCTGGACTTCTTTTTTTCCTGGGTAAGCAAGAACAACTCACAAATTACAAGTGTAACTTTTCGAACTACCTATGCTTCCTACTACTTTGGTGACCTCCTCGGAGATGAAAGACTCCTTGTCTAAGAGTTCTAGGATGATTTAGAGTGATATGGAAAGATTATACTACATACCAGAGTATAAACGATACAATGGAGATCTAGGTCCATATGAAGACTTGTCTTCTTCCAGACTTTTGGGTTGGACTTATGGTGGCAGTGGTTAAAAGCATACATAGCTTAAACCTTAAACCAAGCGTCTGATCAGAATGGACAACTTTTTGGGTACTGTAGCACGATCCGATATATTAACCTGTAGACTGACGGAATGTCTAAATTTAGGCTTTTTTACTGGATTTTGCTAAACGCTGGCAGGCTAAAAGTTAACCAACAGTTTACTGAAGACGCTAGTCTGTATTATATTTGGTCTTTAATAACTCGTTAAAAGTTCTGTAACCCATCCTTTTTCGTTCGGTTCACATTCTTTTGGAAAAGCAAAGTCTTCTTAATGGTTCGTTATCATGCTTTAGCGTAATCGGAGTTGTTCCACCCTCTAGATCTCTGCGTGTGAGTTTCAGTCTGAAAACAGACAGCGGCTTGCACAGCCGTTAAAGATTGGAAAGGACCTGGTCCCCACCGAGGTTCTACAACGACATTACTTTTCAGGAATCCGGGGATGACCAGACCGGCAAGTCAGTGAATATACCTGTACAAGAAGATCTCGCACGTAAAACTTGACAGTTTATTAAAGACGTTTATCGTTGTAGTGGCTGTTCCGGCTTTAGAATAGGCCGCCTGTAGTCCACTGCATGTCGTAAAAGGCGTCTAAAAAGGGCGCGGAGGATCGTACCCTTCTTGCTAAGTATCGTTTTGATAGATACGCGCAGTTGGATGAAACCGATGTTGCGTGAACGCACTACGCCTGCCACAATGACACCTGTAAAATGGGACCTTGCTGCTGGTCTTTGTTCCGCCTACTGTCGTGTAGTTAATATTCTTGCAAAGTTTATTCAGAACGTCAGTTTTCTTTTGGTTTTAGTAACTCCGTCTTTCTAATTTCTTACCTCAATATGTTCTCAAACAGGTCCTATAGTTCTTCTGAACGTGCAAAGTCTTTACCATGGTTGGTCATCATGCTTTAGGGTCATCAGAGTTGTTCCATCCTCTAGATTTCTGTGTGTGAGTTTCAGTATGAAAACGGACAGCGGGTTGTAAAGCCGTTAAGGATTGGAAAGGACCCCACCAAGGTTCTACAAGTTCATTACCTTTTAGGAATCCGGGGATGACCAAACCGGCAAGTCAGTGAATATACCTGTACAAAAAGATCTCGCACGTAAAACTTGACAGTTTATTGAAGACGTTTATCGTTATCCTGGCTGTCCCGGCTACAGAATAGGCCGCCTGTAGCTCACTGCATGTCGTAAAAGACGTCTAAAAAGGGCGCGGAGGGTCGTACCCTTCTGGCTAAGTACCGTTTTGAGAGAGACGCACAGTTGGAAGAAACCGATGATGCGTGAACGCAGTACGCCTGCCAAAATGTCACCTATAAAATGGGATCGAGTGCAAGGTGACCATGGAAGAACGGTCAAGAATTTTTCTTCCCGTAACCCATCGCGTGTCGTAAGAGGCAACTAAAGTGGAAACTTTGAACACACTACGCCTCCTCTTCTGGAGACAGGATGAGACTGCTGTCTGAAGATTGCAGTCTGGAAGCAGAACCTCCGTGTTGTCCCCGCTGGAAGTACACGATTCTTGTCCTCGCTAACTTACGCCCAATTTAGTTGTGGTATTATCGGGGCTAAAATGGCTGTAACTTTTGGGGAAAATAGAAGGCATCACAAGGAATTCTATGTCGTAAAAGGCGTTTTTCCATTTCCGCAGTACCTTGCAGTCAAAGTATCGGAAAGGATAGGCCATGAACATCGAGATTATAGTCCCTCATGGACCCAGGTATCTCATTGGGTCTCGGCGCCTTCCGTAGAAGGCAAACGATGAAATCGTTTATTGATCGCAGCATCAGTGAGCGGAACTTTCACGAGTTTTCCGGTGGGTTCTTTGCTGCCCTTTTTCCTGTCAAAATTTTCGAACCTTGTCTGGGCAAAGGGCGACAATGCTAACTTTCTCCTCCCGGAAGGGAGCTTGGTTTTTGAACGTCACTTAGGTCCTAAGGTCTTACAGCTATATCTTTTCCATTCCGCTCTCCTCCGGAGCTTCAGTAATGATGAGGCTTGCCAAATAACCGCCGTTTCTCTATGTCGTGTAATGTTTTTGCTGAAAAGTAGATATTTCTTTAACATCGGGTTTATTCTAGTCAGCCTAGCCGACTTTGTGTAACTTTGAAGACGTTAGTCATTTTTTGATAAAATTCCTTTACCTTCTCAATAATGACTTGAAGGTTCTTCTATCCGTTCTTTCTCAAATAGCACAAAAGCTTGCAGCAGAATTACCGTGAAAGGTTGTTAAGCTTGCACGGTAATGTTGTCGCAAGTAGCAAAACGTCCCACTTCTACAAGGTTACCACGGAAGGTTACTGCTAGGTTGCAGTGAAAGATTGTTGTTAGCTTTCAATGATTAGTTTCTGCAGTCTTGCAATGAAAGATTGTTGACAGCTTTTAATGAAAGGTTACTGTAGGCTTGCATTGAAAGCTTGCAGCAACTTTTCATTCAAAACTTACAACAGTCTTTCACTGACACCTTGCAGCAATCTTTCATAGAAACCTTGAACAGGTGAAACATTTTGCTAATTTACGACAACCTTACTGTGATAGCTTGCTGTAAGCTTTTTTGCTATCTGGGTGTAGTACGTCGAATGACAAAAAATCTTATCAGTGTCTTTGATTCTCTTACCCAGTAAAAAGTGTTGAAGAAAGTTTTCGAAAAGCTGGGAATTTTAATGTCCCTAGATCCCAATCATAGAGGAAATACCAATGAAGTATAAAGTCTGACGGAAGTTCCTTAGGTGAACCAATTTTCCTTTCGTAGATACCCGAGGTCTATTGGATTTGGCGATCTAGTGTCTTTTACCTACTTTGTCAGACATTTTGGTTTTTATTTCTCTTTCTATCGTGTTAATTAAAGAAAGACGAAAAAGGAAAATGGTTGTTAGAAGTAAGTAAACACCAAATGGCGTATTGCAATTTTTAATCAATTCCTATAATGTAATAATTCTTTTTGTCTCTGATTATGGCTTAAAAGTTCTTTCAAATCCCATAAATTAAATTGAAAAAAATTTTAATTTAACAAAATGGGAGTCCATATTTTTTTGGAAAATTATTCTAATATCGTTTCAAAGTAATGAGTAATTTTCACTATATTCTAATGTTTCTTTTACCAAAAGTTACCAATGTTTCAGGTATTTAAATTTATAATAATTTATTATACAAGATTTTTTGTTATCCAAACCCTAATAACACAAGATATCTTGTGATATATTGATAATATCCCGCAGATATCCTAGGGATGTCCTATGGATATCAAAAGGATCTCTTAAGGATATCCAAAAAATCGGCGGTTTGGATATCCTTTGGATATCCCATGGATATCTGAGGATATCCACAGGATATCTTCTGGATATCTCTATAGACTTTCATAAATGTCCTCCAGATATCCCATAGATATCGTCAGGATATCCTACAGATATTTTCAGGATATTCTCAGTATATCTTCTGGATGTCAAGAAGATATTCTCAGGATACTGTTTTTAAAGTCATTATGAGACTACGAGTGAGAATATTCTGTGAATTAAATTTTATATAAATAAAATAAAATGCAACTTGTTTTTCGAGAAAGTTGTTTAATTTGAAAAATAATTAACTAATTTTTTTCTCATTCGTGATTCATTCCTTTATTCATATGCTTAATATTGTCAGAAAATAAATTGGCTTTAAATAATATAAATTCTTCCCCGCAAATAACGAATAACTATTAATATTAATTATACATTAAGTGCATGAGTTTATTTAAAAACTTTGAAAAATGCGTTTCAAATCTTCATTTAAAATAAATTAGAAGCTCATAAGATTTTTGTTTTTATTATATTATTATTATTCATTATATTAGCTTAACAATTTTAACCTTTAAAAATATATGTTGAGATATTAAATATCCCGTGAATATCCTAAGAATATCCCACGGACATCTTGAGGATATCCCATGGATATCCTGCGATATAATATCCAATAGATATTTTGTGGATATCCTATGGATGTCCTGTTGATGTCCCACAGACCGGCGGTTTGGATATCCTAGGGATATCCTATGGATATCCCAAGATATCCTGGGGACCATTCTAGGATATCGACCATTGATATGGAAATCCTATGGATATCCTTTTGTTATGAGGGAATTATGCTTAAATGAAACTAAAAAATTTATTATAATCTCTTTTTAGTAATTATTATTTTATCAGAAAGAAAAAATTATTAACATTTGTAAGCAATAAAATAAATTAACAGAAAGAGAAAAAAATAATTGTAGTGGGAGGAGGAATAAATATATCAATATATTATATCGTACGAAGATATATATCAAGAAAATGATTTATATTCCTCAAGCGAACTTCTATATCTTTATATCCTCAGAACTCCAAATATAATAAAAAATGTTGTTTTTCAAGAAGAATTGATGTTCAAAATATTGACGATTTTTATTCTTATTCACGTCACTTGTGTACAAGAAAAACTTTTCAGCCACACAAAATGAAAAGAAAATAATTTTGATTAAAAATTATATAAAAATATTTTGATAAACATAATACAAATTATAATTATCTATAATAATAATAATGAATTAAAAAAATTTAAATATGGTATGTAATAACATTTTATGAAATATCGGTAGTAGGTAGTAATTGTAATTTTAGGAAAAAAAATATTTTTTAAAAATTTAACATATTACTTACCTATTGGTTTCCATTGTTACGAAATTTTCTATATTTAACACTTTAAAGTTTGTTTTTCATCAAATAAAATTTAATTTCCAATTTTAACGATACAACAGCAATTTTCCAGGTAAATTATAATTTGTTTATATACAATGCATTCTAAAAGACACTCAAAGTATTTCTCTCAATAAAATTTATGTTTCGGGTTTATCACTATATCGGAAAATTTGAAATAAACACTCAACTTCACAAACATTTTTGATAAATTTAAATAATTGCAACAATTGTCACTAAAATTTGGGTACGTTAAAATTATTTTTTAATATAAATTAAAAGTTGTATTCAAAAATTTTTAAAAATTCACTCGTATTATTTACGTTTTTCAGGCACTTTAGAAACAATTTTTTAAGTGCTATTAATGTTTATATACTATTGTCATTAAATTTTCTATAAAATTTATTCATTTGTCACTTAAATATCTTTCACAACACTTATTTACTTTCACATTTCAATAAAAAAAAATTTATTTATTTTTTTAAAGTTTTATAAATAAATTAAAATTTTTTTTTTTGAATTTAAAAGACAAAAAAAAACAAACAAATTACAAAAAAGTTGTATAGAATTGATAAAAAAAAGTATTAAAATTTTTTAATAATTTGTCCATTTTTATAAACATATACTTGAACATATCATATTCTCGTGTTTTTAAATTCATTTTGTTTAGAGCAATAAAATACGCGATGAATGTGGTCCTTGCTCCTGCGAGAGCAGATCCTTTCTGATTTTGTGCGCGTGACTAACAAAAGTTGAATGCTTCAAGCACAACTTGCAACTGAAACTTTTGAAAGGAGTACGCAAGCTCCATATATATATATATATATATATATTTGGATTTCATCCCCCTTTAACAAATTCATCTATTATTTACTTAACAAAAAATAATCATTATATATAGGTTTTTATAATTAATTTGTTTAAATTTTTATTAATTTTTACTTCAAAAAAATGTCATTATACCAAATGTTACCAAAAATAGTTACCAAAATTTTAAATGTACGAAATTATAATTCCTGCACTTAAAGTTTGAAAATTTTTGATTTCATGTGAACATAATTTAATTTACCCTCCTCCTATTTTTTAATTTAATTTTTCTAAAAATTTACTAAATTTTAAAGATTTTATATATACTTCTTTACACTTATTTATAAAATTATTTTTATTTATCAAACATAATTTCTAAATTATGTTTTGTATTATGCATTATGTAATTCTTTTTGGAAATTGAAAAATTAAAATTATTTTCATTCTTAAATCTTTTACTATTCAAATTATTTTTAAATTATTATTATATATTTATCCAAACATTATATTACATTATGATTGGTTTTTTAAGCGTTCAAGTTCAGGTAATGGATGCGTCCCGGGACGTAATCCCTAGTGTAGATCTATTTGCACCTGGGTATAGTATATGTAAGTGCAGGGCCGGATTTATATGCATTTTTCTATACAGAATTTTGGTTCTCGATTAATCGCAATGCAATTTGTATTTTTCTTCTTTTTATAATCTCATTTCTCCTTATAATTCAGCAAAGAGAACATTAGCATATTATGCCATCTACATTTGGTAAAGAATAACTATTTCAAAGCTTACGCACCAAGATAGCTCAGCCCTGGCATGACTATGTTGATCAGCTGGTATCAGAGAATCAACATGGCGCATCAGTATTAACATGAAAATAGTTTATGTTTATTTCAATTATAGTTCAATCGATTAGAAATTAATAACAATAAATTAGTGTTATTCAAGCGCTTACACTTTATTTTTCGTTTTGGTTACTTAGTCAAAAATATCTTTGTCAAAGACAACGAAGCGTGTAAGAGGCCCATTCTGCAATTCATTTATAACCTGAAAAGACTGATTTTGTATATGTATAAAAATAGATCTTACTTTTAATCTATTTTTTTTGGACTTTAATATGACACAATTGCAAATCACTCAGTTCTTTTTGTTAATATTCATTGTGTTTCTTACATAATTTGTAATAGAATTTGTTAATAAATAAATAATAATTTGTTCGGAATTTTTCACAGGCAGAATTTTGATTAGAAATTTCGGACAGGTAATCTTGTAAAAATACAAGATTACTGCATCATTTTAAAAACAGTGTTGTTAAGGAAGTTCTCTCGCAAACAGAAATGACGAAGAGTTAATTATCAAACTTGATAAACTGATAGATAATGGTTTAAAGAAGATGTAGTTAAATTTTTAGAGGTCTAGGTGGATTTTGACAAAAGATATAAATAATTTTCTCTTTTCACATTTAACACGGGTTCTTATGGGAAATTGAATTTTTTGGTCTGAAATCTCAAATTGTGAAAAATCTGACGAAAAGATATTATTGGAACTTTATATACATAAAGTTTAATAGCCAATGTTCACTTACTTTTAATAAAATTGATCAGACCTGGATTAGGAGACCCACAATTAATTATTTTGTCTAAAAAAACACCGTATTTTGACAATCAGAAATTACTTAGCACAACGCTTGGCAACGTTGCGTCTTGTAGGTTAGGTATAGAAAAAGCGCGAAATTTGAAAGTAATATAAGTAGTATATACATATAATAGTATATTCTTCAAAGATTTATAATAATGAATAATAATTTGAATTTGCTTATAAAATTAAGATTTTTAAAATAATAAATTATTATTATTATTATTTAACGAAAATAAATCAAACAATAGCAGACGACACGAAACGTAACGGGGGAAATATAATCCAACGTTGCCAAGCGTTGAGCTAGTACTACGTGATACAAATGAAAACTTAAATGGGCATTGATTTGACTGACGTTGGAGGGGGAGAACTTCCTTAATTTAAATAGATATTGAATTAAATTAAATTTTCAATAAACACATGAATTTTAAATATAATATTTGTAAAACAAAATAAAAAATTATACATATTTAGAGGAACGTGCAAAAAAATATGCTTTATTGCGTATTTTACAGAGTTACATGTGTATAAAGGACAAGTGTTAAGATTTTCCAATATATATATATGAAATTAAAGAGGTATTATTTATAGTGTTCTTCGTCTTACATATTTTATAGATAATATTTGAATGTGGTATACATTAATTTGACTTGCATCTGCAATTAAAAATTTATAACTATTAGTTTATATAATATATATGAAAGAGAATGAATATTATTATTATTTTTCTTTTTTGTTTGCTTAAAAAAGGAATGTCGATTATTTTAAAAAGAATTAATACCTTGTGCGATTTTATACCAGTTATTGTTTCATATTTTTGGCTATCATTTCTTGTGCCTGATGAATAGTATCCTGCATTGGTTGAGGTAATTTGCTTATTTGTTCTTCAGCAAAATGCTTAAATTCTTCCATGCTTGGCATTTTGTCTGGCATTTCACGCACAACCTTTTTGATGAAAAGAATAAAAAAAAATGCATATTTAATGTAAAAAATTTTAACTCATCCTTAAAAAGAGTTAAATTTAAAATTTGTAATGGAAAAAAAATCGAATTTACATACTCTATGATTGGCTGTTAATTCTCCATCCTCGATCTGAAACGTTTAAGAATATTAGAAATTGTAATTTAAAGAAATAGAAATAAATTTAATTAATATTAATTTTTATTAACTATTTTTTTTTATTTTAATTATAATTATAATAATCTTTGAAAAAAGAAAGTAGAATTAGAATTAAATAAATTGTCAATTTATTATATTTTAATTCAAATCTCACTTCCTGAGTTGGTGGCGTTGGAGGAGGATTTGGCATTGGACCATCAGGCCTGTGTCCATGATGAGCAAACTTTAACAAAATAGTATAAACAAAATAGTAAAAATAGTAGTAAGTATATGTAAAAAAAAAATATTTTTATTAAAAATTATATTTATTAACAATAAGTTAATTTAAATGCTTTCGTTATTTTGCCTAGAATTTTATTTATTTTAAATTTTATACATTTGACATATATGGTATTAAAAAATAAATGATATAAAAAACAAAATTTTTTCAAATTTAAAACATTAATAAATAACATGATATTAAAAAAGAATTAATACAAAGAATCAAAATTAAAATTAATTTTTAAAAATTTTAAACAAAAATAAAAATTTATTTTATTTATTTTATTTATTATTGAAATTTTTTGAAAAAAAATTATTTAATATTTAAAAAGGAAATGCAACGACACTTACAGAGACTGCAACAATGGCAAAGAGAACGATGAGAAAAATTGTTTTTTGCATCTTGCTTTCGTTTTAATTCAACTCTGATTCATTCATATAAAAATTTCAGATTTATATATAAATCCGTTGCCATTGTTTAAAGAAAAAAAGGGGAAAAAAAAATTTCGTGACAAAAATACATGGAAAATAAAGCACATACATGTAATATTTCTCAGAAATTAGTAGATCTAAGATTTTTATCCTTACAATTGTGTAACAAAATTATTCTAAAGATATATATATTCAAACTATACGTTATTACGATTTTTTTTTTAATATGACGAATAATTATAAAAATATAAATAGTGTAGCATTTAATTTGTGAGTATAATTAATCTTACTCATAAACAACAATGAAAACAATTATTTATTATATCATATAATCAATTTGCAAATTCATAATCATTCTTTTCAAAAAATATTTGTGTTTGTATTATTAAAATTTTATTCAATTCCATTCACAAAAAAACGATATAATGACAAAATTCTAAATTTTGCTTTTGATTGAAAGCTTACATATGAATATTATATATTTCACGCTGACATAATATATATAACTCATTTTTCGATTTGATAATATGATAATAAAAATAATAGTCATATTATGCAATTTTTAGATCTTTTATTTGCCCTCTGTTTCTTATGTAAGTGCGATACAATATTCTTTATATATTCAGTATATGGAGAAGTCACGTAATAAGCCTAAAAAGTGGATTTAAAAAAAAAATTTTTTTTCTTTTAATAAGAAAAATATTCATAATATCATTGATTGATATATTTACGGCCAGAGAACTTGTTCATTTCTTCGGAGAAACTTTTTAAAGTTAAAAACTTTTTTGATTAAAAAAGTTATACTTTTGATATCATGAACGGCAGTACTTTTTAAAAGTATTATTCCATTCAAATATATATATACTATAAAAGTAAATACATTCTTACAAGTTGATTACGAATTCGATATCAGATTTCCAAAATTCAAAATGGAGGATCTAATATGTCCAAAGATTTAGCCATATTGAATCTGCCATTTTGAATTTTTGAAAACTGACATCGGATTCGTAATCAGCGACCTCGAAAACCCCCGAGTAACAAATTTGAAGCAAATCCAATGAATTTTAAAAAAAATTTCCCACCATATTGGATCCGACATTTTGAATTTCTCAAATCTGACATCAGATTTATAATCAGTGCTTTGATTATTATAATTTCATTCTATGAGAATCAACAAAAAATTGATTATGTAATTTTTATTTGTAATAAATGTAATATGTAATAAAAATTTATTATTAATTATATTAAAAATATAGTAATGTAAATATGTAATGTAATATAGTTTTATTAAATTAAATATATTAAAACAAATTACACTCTTTATAATAATTTAACTTTTTTAGGTTACCATTATTTTTTCACATTCGCTCTCTTCTCTTTTTTCTTTTTTGTAGGGGAATATACTCAGGGTTGGACACTTTGCTTTTCTCAAAATTAGAACACTAGCGCCATCTATGCACGGACGTGGCAAAGCTTCTAGTAGTGAAACCTAACTTTTTGTGCCATTACATTTTTGGAGGATCAAAAGTAGCGTCTGCTGCGACGTCGGTGCATTTGTATGAACGAAAAAAGTTTTGTAAGCGATGTGATTAAACATAAAAAAATGAATAAAGAAAAAAGGGAATCGGTAAGGTATGTTTATTGCATGTATGGTAGGGTTCATGATAGAAGAAAAAATGAAGTGTAAAATCGAATCGCGAAACATGTCTGGTCATGGTTAGCACAATTCGAAAATGTTACTCCTACTTAGGGTTGGACACTTTGTTAATTATGAATTTGACATTTATTTCATTTATTCAACCAAAATTTGGTTGTTTTAAATAAATTTTTCTCTCTCTGTGTAAAATATAATAGGACGCCTGTATTATAAGTTATAATTATAAATATATAATTTTTTGTTTAAAAAATATATTTACATAATTATTTTGAAATTAATAAAATAGGAAAGGGAGAAGAAAAAATATAATAATTTATTATTCATGTTTTTGGTATCATTTTTTTATTATTTATTTATTAAGGAGGAACTTGAGAAATGTTATTACAAAGTTAATTTTATTATTAAAACTAATTTTGATATTAATTTGCGTTTCCTAATTGTCTCTACATATGGGTAAGTGTAGCAGTTACCGATGGTGCACCAATTGTCGATGGTCGTAATTTTCTTTTTCCGATAAATAGTATATTGTAGAAAATTTAAAAACCAAAATAATTTGTAAATTAACCTTATATTTCCAATTACATATTTTCCCCATTAAATTTCATATCGATGGCACAATAATAATTATTCTTTTATAATTATAATTCACTGCTGTCAAATTTACTCGATTCGACATTTTCTTAATACTTCAAGTTGATGGGAGTTGAATTTTAAAAATACAAATTAAATGTATTTTTAATTACTTTTTTCGTATTAAATTATTACTATAGCATTGTAGAAGAACTGTATTAAGTTTTTATATAAATATATTTGTTAAAATAAATTTTTTATATTTTTTAAAAACAAATCATCGGTATCTGGTTCCATATTTTATCTCAGCTCCATAAATAAAGTTGGTTAAGTTATTGTTTATAAAACGTCAGTGATGCAAAACTTTTATAGGTTAGTTATTTTTTGTATAAACTATAAACTTACAGGTAAATAAGTAAAATTGTTTCATGCCAATGTTTTATAATATTTTTATTTAAAAAAAAAATATTTATTCGATTTTGTAAATACTGGTAAAGGTTAATTCATTAATTGTCAGGTTATATATTAAAAAAATTCAATACCATCGAAAATTGGAACCGAACATCGAGAAATTGGTACACGACCATCGACAAATGGTGATTTTGCTCAATTTATATTTAAAAACAATTTTTATCTAATACTATAATTTATTTTAGAAAAATAAATAGGAATATTAAACATTATTAAATTCTTCGTCCAACTGCACAAAATTCAAATTTTTAAGTAAATTTACTCCGGAGAAAAAAAATATCAAAGTCACATGTTGTCTAAAATCATCGACAATTGGTACACTTACCCTATTATGAAGTTATTGACATAATGTGTCTATTTGGTATAATTTTCTACTTTTAAAAATTTATAAAATCTATAAAAATGAAATTAATAATTATTAAATATAGTAAATTGTTAACAACTTGTATTAGTATATACCCAGATAGCACGTAAGCCTGCAGGAACCTTGCAGCAAGCTTGCCGCGCAATATTACCAACCTTGCACGGCAAACTTGACGCAAGCTTCAAATGTCCAACCTGACTCAAGCTTGCATGGTATGCTTACCGAAAGATTGCCGTGTAAGGTTACTGTAAGATTGCACAATAAGATTATCGCAAGATTGCTCAGTAATATTGCACGGTAAGCTTGTAGCAAGGTTGGCCAAATAACCTTGCTTTAAACCTAAAAAATTTTTTTTTAATGTTTCGGTAAGCTCACCATGCAAGTTTGGGTCAGGTGGGACATTTGAAGCTTGCTGCAAGGTTGCTGCAAGCTATCTGGGTGGTAATATAACCCTTATACATGAAATATTTATTAGTTTTAGAGTAAAAAAAAATTTTTTTTAATTTAAAATTTTCTACAAATTATAATTTTCTTTATTTTTTATATAAAATTTATAATAATTGGAGAACGTTTTTTTCATTCTGGCACGGCATGAAAAAATGTGTTCCTCAAATTGTTGAAATCCAATTATAAATTAATTGATAGATTAATATAAAAAGTGATAAAAAAAAGTTTACAAAATTTTTTTTGAAATTGATGATTTATTGTTTTTTTAAATTAACATGTAAATTTATTTTTTATTATTTTTTTATATTAACATCTAAATTTACTGAATTAATATATATATATTTTCGTATAGAAAATATCTATGAATATATATATATATAATTTCCATTTAATTAGAATCAGATTTTGGTATCATTTGAGATGCTGCTTGCATCCATTTACCAGGATTCATCATGTTAGTCATAACACCGATTCCCTTTTGAACTCCATCGGCCATTAATTGTGGTATTTCAGCTGGATTCATTCCAGGCATTGATGGAAGTTGACGAATCATCTGTAAATAAAAAATAGTTTTAAAAATAAATTTTAATTAATGAAAAATAAAAAGAAAATAATTAAAAATAAATTAAAATCATTTAAAAAAAAAAAAGATTTTATGTTAAAAATTGGTAATTACGGTGTATTTGGTAATTATAATAACACTGTTTAATCACACATTTAATTCTATTTAATTTATTGCAATTTAAAAATTTTATTTCTTAATAGTAATTTTTTTAAATTAAAAAAAAAGAATTTAATTATTATTTAAATTTAAAATTAATTTTAAAATTAACTATTTTTTTTTGTTAATAGTAATAAAATAAATCAAATAGAATTAATAAAATAAATAAAAATAAAATAATAAATAGGTACCTATAAATAATAGAAAATAAAATAATTAAAAATAAAATAATTGTTATAAAAATTTTGTAATTAATGAAAAATTAATCATACTCTGTTGTGAGATTGATTTGGACCATTTTGACGATTAGCATTGTCCTGTGGTCGATTTAAACTATTTCCACGTCTCTGATGTCCTTGAGGTTGTCTGGACATTTGTTGTCTGTGCCCATTGACAGAAAGCTAAAATAATATTTAATTAACAAATTAATGTTTAACAAAAAAATATTGTTAATAATTATTTGATTATTTTAAAAGAATTTTTTTCACTTATTAAAAAAAAAAAATATTTTCTCTAATTTTTCCTAATTCATAAAAATAAACTAAAAAATTTCTTTTTTATAAGAGAATTTTTTTTTTAAATTTCAATAAAATTTTTTGAATTAAAATAAACGGAATTTTCTCTCTCTCTTAATTTTTTTTTATTTTGTGAATATTAAATTCTAAATTACCAATAAATAAATAAATATAAAATAATATAAAAATTTTCATTACAAATTTATGAATTGAATTTATTATATATAGGTATATATTACCACAGCGATACAGAGACAGGCAAAAAGAATTGCTTTGAACATTTTTAATGGATTTTTTTTCCATAAATGCGTGCGATAATTCAACTTTTATACATTTTATATTGAATTGAAATGTAATTTTCTTTTATTTTTCGAGTGTCAGTAATAATATGTTGATTATCAAAAGAATCACAAAATTTAATTCATATTTGCGCCTTTGACATTTTTTTTTTACATAATTCTTGGTGAAAAAATAACATCCTGTATTTTAAAAACTAACAAAACTGATGGAACACGTTTTAATAACTTTTTGATTTTAATTATCAACTTCCTTGAATTGTATTTTTTTTGTGATAGAAATAATTTTTTTTTTTATTTTCCCTACTATTTAATCAATAATTATAAAAATTCTCTATCATTTGACCTGTTTTACCTATTTACTTAATTTTCTTTTATTATTTAAAAAAAAACTTTTTTTACTTTTAAAACATTTTTTTTATCTAATATTTTTTTTATTTTTATTAATATTTTTTTATTTAATATTTTTTTTAGTATTTTTCTTTATTTATTTATATGAACATAAACGAATTTATTTATTTTATTTATTCATTTTTTAAATAATATAAAAATATATTTGTATTTAGGTACCTATCTAAAATAATTTTTTATTTTTAAATTAATTAATATTAATTTTTATTAAAATTATTTGTTATTATTATTTAAAATATTATTTATTATTCTATTAGTTTTTATAATAATATAAATAACTTAATGTTTTTTTTTGAAGGATTAAAATTTATTTTTATTTGTTTATTTATTTAATTGATAAACCGGACATGTACTTTTGTAATAAATTGTAAAATATTATTATTTTATTATTATTATTATTATTATTATTATTTTTATTATATTATTATTTATAATAATATTGTTGAACTCAAATTTAAAAATTGTTGATTAATAATTAACAAAAGTAATAATTAAAAGAGAATCAAAAGCTTTTGTCAAATGTTACACATGCCCCTGTATAGTGGCAAAATTTGTACCACAGTGTAGAGTGTATTTAAGTATCATTCTGTAAATCATTCGTTTTACCCGCCGTTTCACATCAAGAAACAAATTAAACGAGTTCAAATGATTTGTCGTTGTTTTAATACTTAATAAGAAAAAAATAAACAAGTTTTTATAAATCAAGTTCTTGACCATTTTTTGCTTTAGTAAAATTCATAACTAATTATGACGTATCTGAATGTAAAACAGGTTTGTAAATTTGCAATTTTTAAATTTGAGGTTAAATTAGATTTCCATTGATACAAAATAATCCCACCTATTTTCACCCCATATTTTCATACAATATTTCAATATCCAAAAATTATGATTTACTTTATTATTTTTTATTATTTATTATAATTATAAAAAAAATTATTCTCTTTTTTTTAAATTTGCACATTCGACTTTTATCGAATCGCCTTCTCTCGACGTCGTTCTTGGAGAAATCGATTCGCAACTAACTTCACCCTGATTTGATGTCAGAAAGAAAAATCAGTCGGCTTTGAAGTCTCCTTTGTTTTTCTCCTAAAATTCAAAGAAATGCATTAATAATAATTAAATAATCAACAATAAAAGTGCGTGCTATTATCATAATAATTGAATTATTCACAAGTTTACGCGCGACAAAACAAACAAAAGTGTATTATAAAACACAAGTTTCCATGTCAATCTAACCTCAAAACAAAAAAAAGGCGAAAAGAATCGACAATCAGCTGACAAACACGTTTTTGTCGTGTGTCTCCAATTTTCCCCATAGCAAAATTCTTTTTCCGTCAATCGGAAAAAAAAAAATTATCAAAACACAATTTTGTGTCATTGAATAAAAATAATTACACGAGTGTGTCCTCGTTTAATACTTTTTTATTTTTGGATAATCGACAAAAAGTCACGGGCATGTTGTGCAATTTGAAATCAATGTTTGTCAATCAACAAGTTGTTTTGGTGTTTAGTGAACGTTTTGCACTTTGGAAACAAAATAAAGTGAAATAGTGTTTAATTTTAAATTCTATAGGACAAATATATAATTTTTTTTTCCAAATTTCGAATTTTTGTTTTCGTGATTGTTTTTTTTTTCGTGATCTGTAGAGAAAATATTTAAAATATTATTTTTTTGTCAAAAGTTTCATCAACTTACGCAATTAAAAAGTTGGTTTTTTTTGATTGAAAATTGTTTTTTTTTCGAAATTAAGTATTTGATTTTGTTTTGGGTGAAATATTTTTCGATTTTTTTTCTCCTTTCGTGTTAAAAAAAAAAATTAAATGTGTGTCGTTTTCTTCTATTTTTATATTTAGTGTCAAATTTTTTTGTTTGCTTTTTCTCAATTTTTCTCTTATTTAGTGTCGGAAATTCGTTTTTTTTCCCCATAAGTGTTGTAAATTCGATTTTTTTTTTTTGAAAAAAGAAATTTAACCTTTTCGTTTAGAAAATTGCGAAAAAAATTTGTTTTGAATTTAGAAAATTTTTCTTCGCGAAAAAAATCGTCTTTAAAAAAAAAAAACAACGGACAATTATTTATTTCCAAAAAGGACAATAATTATCGTCGTTTCGTAGAAAATAAAAATCGTTTTTTTATTTAATAAATTTCAAATATTCGATAGTTTTTTGATGATAAAAAATATTTTTTTCCAAAAAGGACAATTATCGTCGATTTGCAAAAATAAAAATTGTTTTTTCGAAAATTCGGTAGCTTTTTTTTTTGCTAAAAAAATCACTTTTTTAAAAAAGGACAATTATCATCGTTTTACAAAAATAAAAATCGTTTTTTTATTCAGTAAATTTCGAATATTCGGTAAACGTTTTTGGCTAAAAAAAATCTCTTCTTCTAAAAAGGACAATTGTCTTTTTGCAAAAATAAAAATAATTTTTTTTTTTTGTAAGTGAATTTCGAATATTCAGTGCACGTTTTTTGCAAAAAAAAAATCGTCATTTTCTAAAAAGGACAATTATCGTCGATTTGCAAAAATAAAAATCGTTTTTTTTTAATTTAGTAAATTTCGAATATTCGGTAATTTTTGTCGAAAAAAAAATTTATTTTTTGAAAAAGAACAATTATCGTCGTTTCGCAAAAATAAAAATCGTTTTTTTAAGTAAATTTCGAATATTCTGTAAACGTTTTTGGCTAAAAAAAATCTCTTTCTAAAAAAGGACAATTATCGTTTTTAAAAATAAATTTCGAATATTCGGTAGTTTTTAGCAAAAAAAAAATCTCTTTTTCCAAAAAGGACAATTATCGTTGAAAAATAAAGCTCTTTTTTTAAAGTAAATTTTCGAATATTCGGTTAAAAATATTATTAAAAATATTCGCCATAAACAAAAAAAATGAGAATAATAAATTCTGAAAAGTTGCAAGAATTGCAGCGTGATTCGCGACAAATTCGCAATATTTGCATACTCGCACACGTTGATCATGGAAAAACAACACTCTCCGATTCATTGGTAGCGAGCAATGGAATAATATCAAATAAATTAGCTGGTAAATTACGCTATCTAGATAGTCGTCCCGATGAACAACTACGCGGTATTACAATGAAATCAAGTTTAATAAGCCTCTATCATATATTTAATTCCAAGGAATATCTCGTTAATCTCATTGATTCACCGGGTCACGTTGATTTTGCCTCCGAAGTATCAACAGCCGTACGTTTATGTGACGGTGCATTGGTTGTTGTCGACGTTGTCGAGGGTGTATGCCCACAAACACGTTCAGCACTTGCAATTGCATATTTAGAGGGTCTAAAACCATTATTGATACTCAATAAAATTGATCGTCTCATCACTGAAATGAAACTTTCACCTCTCGATGCATATGTTCATATGAGTCAAGTACTTGAACAAGTAAATGCAGTCACCGCCGAATTATTTACCAGCGATATTTTAGAACGTGAGGAAAAAGAAGAAATGAAAATTAAAAATGAAAATCCAAGTGGAGAATGTGATTTAGCCGATTGGCAATCGGCACTCGAGGATGCTGATGATTCACAATTATATTTTTCACCTGAAAATGGTAATGTTTTATTTACCAGCGCCGTTGATGGTTGGGGTTTTGGTATAAGGGAATTTGCAAAAATTTATATGGAAAAATTGGGATTTAGCGAGAGAACATTAATGAAAACATTGTGGGGTGATTATTATTTAAATGGAAAATTAAAGAGAATTTTTAAAGGTGCACAGGAGAAGGCAAAGAAACCATTATTTGTTCAATTAATATTGGAGAATATTTGGTTAATGTACGATACAGTGATGATAAGAAAGGATCGTGATAAAATTTGTACAATGGTGGAGAAATTAAATATTAAATTAACAACACGTGATTTAAGACATTCTGATTCAAAGACACAATTGCAGGCAATTTTTACACAATGGTTACCATTGGCAAGATCATGTTTAAATGTGGTTTGTGATAAAATACCAGCGCCTAATAATCTTACCACGGAGAAAATTGAACGTCTAATGAGTGGAAATTTGGATTTTACATCATTGTCACAAGAAACGAGGGAATTGAGAAAATATTTTTTATCATGTGACTCGTCGCATGAGGCACCGATTATTGTTTTTATTTCAAAAATGTTTTCTGTTGATAGAAAATCATTGCCTGAAAATAAACCAAAACCATTGAGTCCCGAGGAAATGGCACAAAGAAGAGAAATTGCAAAACAACGACTTGCTGAACGTTTGGAAAAAACTGATGAATTTGTACAATTTGTTGAGGGGGAAAAAAAGATGAATTTTGAGGAGGAATGTGAGAATTGTTTAATAGCATTTGCTCGTGTCTATTCGGGAATATTGAAAGAGGGAAGTGAAGTTTATGTTCTTGGTCCAAAGCACGATCCAAGAATTGCTTTGGAAAGAGAGGCGGCTGGTGAAATTGTTGATCCAATAAATTTGTTAAAAGATTTAAAATCTGGACGACATGTGACAAAAGTTGTAATTAAAAAATTATACCTCCTAATGGGACGAGAATTAGAATCATTAAAAGAAGCACCAGCTGGTAATTTAATTGGTATTGGTGGTCTTGAGGATCATGTTTTAAAAACTGCAACACTCTCAACATCATTGGCGTGTCCATCATTCTCAGAACTTACATCACTTGCTGTTCCAATTCTTCGCGTTGCTCTTGAACCAAAACATCCAAATGATTTACAAAAATTAATTAATGGCTTAAAATTATTGAATCAAGCTGATGCTTGTGCTGTTGTTCATATACAAGAAACAGGGGAAATTGTTCTAAATACAGCTGGTGAAGTACATCTTGAGAGATGTTTAGAGGATTTAAAATTGAGATACGCAAATGTTGAGGTAAATGTTTCAGAGCCAATTGTTTCATTTCGTGAAACAGTCATTCCACCACCAAAACTTGATGTTATGAATGAATTAATAAGTCAAAAACAAAATGAATCAAGTCTTGAAATATGGACAGCTAATAGACAATGTTATTTTGAAATTGATGTTAAACCATTGCCTGAGAATGTGACAAAATTATTGGAGAAAAATTGTGATCTTATTAAATTATTGAATCAAAATTGTGATGGTAATTTAATTAATAAAGATTGTGAAATTGAGGATGAAAATATTCTTGATATAAAAAATTTAACATTAGATTCGTCATTATTAATTGTTAATAAAAAAAATAAGGCCATTGAAACATTTAAAAATGAATTAAATAATGCATTCAAAGAAGCTGGATGGCAAGATGATGAGATTGTGGAGAAAATATGGTCATTTGGCCCAAGAAAATGTGGACCAAATATTTTACTTAATGAGACGAATTTTAAGAGTTATTTCTTTAATGATTTGGATAGTAAATCGTCTGATAATAGAGCTGTGTGAGTTTCTTGTATTTTTTTTTAATTTTACAATTTATAATTAGAATTAAATTTTTTTTGAATTATTGTGAAAAATATTCTTATTTTCAAAATTACAGAAATTTTCTCAACAATTTACCAAAAAAAAAAAAGAATAAAAAACACTCACTTCAATAAGAATAATAATTCTTTTTATTTAATAATTAAATTGAAAAAATTTAAATAATTTATTTATTAGTGTAAAGAAACTTAAATTAATGTTTATTTTCTTCTATAAACAGATACGAGAACAGCATGATCAATGGTTTTCAATTGGCAACATTTGCTGGACCACTTTGCGAGGAGCCAATGATGGGTGTTTGTTTTGTGGTCAAAAAATGGGAGATTTATGAAGATTCTCAGAGGTTCATTTATTTATTTATTTTATTAATTATTAATTGTTTATTTCAATATTTGAAGATTATTTCAATTATTTTATTGATTATTTATTTAGGGAACGTTCAAAAAATACGTAACGCTTTTTTTTTTTGGGGGGGGGGAAGGTTACAAAGCTAATTTCAATTATTTAATTAAATATTTGAAGATATTTTCAATTATTTGATTCAATAAACAATATTATGAATAATTATAATAATTTGATTAGAAAATTTAGAAATAATTTTAATTTAATTTTTTATTAATTATTTAAAGATAATTTCATTTATTTTATTAATTATTTGGAGATAAATATTTTTATTTCCAATTTCTATCTTTCCAAAAAATTGAGAAAATAATTCAACTTTAATCAATATTTGATGAATTGATTTTAGAAAATTGTTTATTTTGTTCAAAAATTTGGAAATTTTCCGTTTCTATCTAAAAAAAAAATATATAAAGAACACAAATCTGAATTAGAATAATTTTCATAAATTAGACTTGAAAAATTTAATTTAATAAAAAAATTAAAATTTTTAGTAGTAATATCTGTTTTATCGAATTCTTGAAATTTTTGTCGAAAAATTATTCTTATCAAATTAATGAAATTAATTCATTTATTTAATAATTTTTAGTAGTAGGTAATAGTTTAAAGAATATTTTATAATTAATAATAGAATAATTAATTTTATTAAGAATTAAAAAGAATTTAAAATTTTATTTTTATACTTGTTTTAAATTTATTTCGCTACTTTTTTGTTAAGAACTTTTTTCTTCTAGTTTTCAATATTAAACGAGGGAAAAATTTAATAATTTTTCAAATATTTTCATAGCGAAAGTGGAAGTCAAAGTCAAGGACATCTTGGAGGACATTTAATGTCAGCTTGCAAAGAAGCTTGCAGAAAAGCATTCAGCATGAGGAGACCTCGACTTGTGACACCAATGTATTTTTGCAGTGTACTCGTCAATTCGGATGTATTAGGTAAGTTAATTGAATTTTTAAAAAATATTTTTACAATTTTCTAATTTTTCTAATTTCTATAATTGTTGAACGATTTTTCTGTGATGAAATTTTGTAATATTCACTTGATTTTAAATTAGAAATAATATTTAAAAATCTTTAAATCATAGAAATTGTTATTGATTCATTAATACTAAGAATTAGTAAAAAAATTTTCCTGATTCTTTAGAAATTAAATTTATCATAAACGAGAAAATTCTACTGAAAAAATTTCTTTCGAAAATTTAACATTTCGAAGTAATAAAAAATTCAAAAATATGAATTTCGGAAAAATATTTATAAAGAGAAATAAGAAAATGAAATGATTCTTTCATACAAGTCCTTTATTATCAATCTTACGCCACAATTATTATTTACAAAATAGAATTACTGGTCATACCACTACAAAATAATCACGCTTGTTATATTAATAAGGTGCTAAAAATAATAATAATAATAATAATAATAATAATAATAATTTTCGAGGCGAAACAAAATTGCTATGTAGCGTTTAAAAAATATTTTAACTTACATTTTTATTTGTTTGGACAGTTTATAATATAAAGTTAAAAATAATATATAATAATATGTAGTAAAAAGAAAAAAAGATATATTTTTTAATGGCTTTGCATGGAAAACACTTTCATTCCGTTTCAATCACATCACATAACTTTTTTTTTTTCTCATTCCTTCAAAGAATGATTGGTGATTTATATATAATATTTAATTTATGATAATATATATTTTCATATATATTTCAAATATATATATATAAAATAATAAATTTCTTGGAATAAAAATTATAATATCAAAAATTGCACCGACTCCCTTATTGTTAACGTACGAGATTGAAATTTTTGAGAAAAACAAAATTATAACTCATCGTTAACACACTTTAACAGAAAAATGTTCAATTGATTTTTTTTTCTCTATAGAAAATCAGAAAATCAAATTTTTTGAAATTTGTTAATTTACTATATTTTGTTGTTACATATACATTTTTGTGGCGAGAAAATTTGATAAATTTTACTTATCTTTTAAAATTATTATTTAAAATAATAGAAAATTAAAAAAATTTATTAAAACTGATTTTTCATTTAATATTTTTTAAAAATTATTATACGGATAGTTTGTAATTTAGAAAATCTAAATGTCGTTTATAATTTTGATGTTTAATTTTGTAATTCATATTTTTTTACATTTTATTTTTATAAATTTTTTTTTTGCAATATAATTAATTAATTTTTCTTAATTATTATTAATATTTACTATTATTAAAAATAGGATTACTCTAAAATTATTAATAATAGTTATTAATATTAATTAATAACAATAATAAAAACCGCTGTTAAGTTTTAGTATTTGTATCAAAGTTAAATAACTATTTATTTACGTGAAATAAAATTTATTTCATATGTAAATAAATATTTATTTAGCTCGGAGTTAAAATAAATATTTTTTTCTCTGAATTTTATGAAAAAAATTTGCTTTCTCACAGAGATGAAAATTTTGTTGAAAAATAAAAAATATCAAAAAAAATTACGTTTTTCCAAAATTTTTGATTTTTTAAAACGTTAATAATTGGATAAAATTAATAAATATAATTTTTTTTTATAATTATTAATATATATTACAAATATTTTTATAAAGTTATAACTTCAATCTTCGTTTCTCAATTGAAAATCAGATATAAAAGTAATAGAAAAATTATATTTTTTAATATTAATTATTAAAAATTTTCTGATTAACTGAAATCTGATGATTTATTATTCATTTGATTTGAAAACAAGAATATTAAAGAATTTATTATTCTTTTGGAAAATTTTGAAAAAAAAATTACAATGTTTTAAATTTAATTAATTTTTTGTGACTATCGATTGAACATTTTTAAGTTTCCATATCGCATTGAAATACACACTTAAGCCTAAAGAAAAAAATAGATTTTTATTTTTCGATTTTTTTTCTGCAAAAATAGTAGCATAGATTTTTTTTTTTTTTTTGCAGTTTATCGGATTTATGCATAATAGAGTGATCATAAAAAATTGGATTTAATTTCCTGTTCATGAGGAAAAATATAAAAAAAAAATTTAATTTATCGAATTTTTCTCACAAAAAATGTTTAAAGAATTTTAGTATTTTAGTATTTTATAGTATTTTTCATAATTTTTCTTAAGATTTTTAATTAAGAAAATTCTAATTTTTCACATTAAAAAAGCACAATTAAAATCAAGAAAAATTTTGATATTTATATTTTATTTGCATTTAATTTTTAAGAAGTACGAATTGTGCCGTCAATTTTCATAAAATGAAAATTAAATTTTTTTCTTTTGAAATAAAGCAAAATTTTGCTAAATTATGATTTTTTTAATATTAAATGTTTTTTTCTAACATAGTTTTGTTTTAATAACATTTTTTTTTTGTAACGGAAAATTAAAATTCTTTTTCCTTATAATCACTGGATTAAATAATTATTATTATTAATAATTAATGAATAATTGCATTTGAAAATTTTCTATCACTATTATCATTATGAGACGCGAGTCATAGTTACAATATATTCTCACGAGATATATAAATGATGAAATTTATCTCATTCGAGTATAGAAGCAATAATAAATTATACAGATTCCGAATAGCGACGGTCATCTAAAATAGAAATAATATTTAATGCAAGAAAATCGAGAGACATAGAGTACATGATATAATTCAACGTGTAAAAAAATTCGATAAATGCAGAATAGTTGAATTATGATCATGGATATTTTGTAGTTTTGAAAAAAAAAGAGAGCGAAAGAGAGATAGAGACTGCAGTTCAACAAAAGACAAAAACAGGAAAACAAATATCGAATCTAAAGATAATTTCATTATTATTATTATTTCCCATATTAAAAGTAAATTTATTGCATTGCAGTCTGTAAAATTAAAGCTAATTCATTATTAAGCGTCGTTTTGCCATGTTAGTGATTTTTCACATTAAAAAAATAATAATTACGAGCTTTTGCGAAATTCTAATTCGTAAAGCAATTTTTTTTTTGCGTTATATAAACGAGAGAAAAAAAATACATTTTATAGTTCTAATATCGACGCATAATTGATTGCCGAGTCTCTGGCTACGATTAAAATAAATATCATATAAATAAAAAAAAAAAGAATGTTCGAAATGAATAGAACGACGAGCTAGGCTTTTTTTTTCTTCTTCTTCTTCATATTTTTTTTTTTTAATAAATAGTTTAGTGCCATTTTACCGGCGGCATTTAATTATATTTTATCGAAAATTAGTCCCAGTTTGCTGTTTCCATTAGATGTGGAACCATATGCCAAGGGAACGTTGCTCTTGCTTCCTTTTCTTCGATTAATTCCTGTTTGTCTAATAAACCTGGAAAATAATGCGTGAATATTAGACTTGGAATCACTTTTATACTCTTATATTTATTTGATTCGATTCATTAATTTTTATTGATAGCGATAAATATTTGGTCAATTTTTCTTCATTTTGATTTTTTTCATTTTAAATCTTGGTTCTTTTATGAGTATTCTATCATTTTATTACAAAAAAAAATAAAATGAAGATGATTTAATAAAAAACCATTTTTGTATTTTTTTATTCGTATTTTTTTTGTAATGTTTTTAATTTAAAAATTTTGACAATGAATTTGGTTATATCGAAAAATTTCCGGTTTATTATTTTTTAACAGATAATATATAATTAATATTCAAAAAAAAATTATCGATGTTTAAAAAAGGAAAAATTAAAAATATTTCATTTAATTACATTTTTTCTTTAGTTAGTAAATTTGAAAAAATCAAATTTGACAATATTCCAATTGTTTAATAAAGAATTATTTTTTAAAAATTTAATTGTTGAGAAAAATTTTTTTACATTTTTGAAATTTTGAATTTTTTAAAAAAGTTTTGAATTTAAAATTTTTTAAAAAGCTGATAATAAAATTCAAGTTTTTTAAATATCTATTTTCAAATTCGTTAAAACTTTGCAGTTTGTAATAAAATTTTGAATATACAATAAAGTTTTTAATAAATTAAAAATTTTTTAAAAAGTTTATAAAATTTTGTTAGAAATGTAAAATTTATTTTATTAATTTGTATTGATTTAAATAAGAATTTATGAATTTTTTTTAAATAAGTTTTTAATAAATTGAAATTTTTTTAAAAATATTTCTAATAAATTTCAAGTTTTTCAAATATCAAATTAAAATTTGTTGAAACTTTTTAATGTTTGTAATAAAATTTTTGAATTTTCAATAAAGTTTCAATAAATTTAATATTTTCAAAAAGTTTCTTATTAAAGATTTAAATCTTTATAAATCTAAATAAATACATAAATAAATAAATAAAATTTATTAATACTAATTCTGTCAAATTCAATAAAAGTTTTAAACCGATAATTATTCAACATTAATACTTGAATTTTCCTGGTTTTATGTATAGACATACATGTATTAAAATTATACGTGTATTAAGTTTCATTAATTAATTTTTATTAGAACGATCGATATGGTTGACGTTTCTATGTCGTCAAGAGTATAAGCAGGAAGTGCAATTAAACTATATATTAAAAATTGAAAAGTAAAAAATCGGTGTGTTATAAAATTGTCGTGGGAACTTGTGGGCAAGCCAATAAAAGAATATAAACAAACATTTAATTTATATAAAATTTCTTTAACAAGTTTCAAAGCTTCTTTATAATAAACATGAAAATCTCTTTTGAAAAGTCAAGTTTCAAATTAAACCACGCTCTGTAATTATTGAAGTTTTAATAAACAAACTTAATATAGCTCTTTACTCGATTTTTTTTCATTCAGTAGTAATAATTTATTTTTCATTAAGAGAAACAAGAAACTTGATGAATTTCATATATATATATATGTATATATAAAATCGGGGTTTGAGAGTTTTACGTAAATTTATTCATTTCTGAGTTAAAGAGTTTGCATAATGGTAATAATAATAATAATAATAATAATAATAATAATAATTAATTGAAGCAAGCGAACAGTTTATGTATAAAAGTTTACCGAGAACAAATTTTATGAAACTTTGATGAAACTTTTCTTCTTATTATATATCGTATAATAATTGTATTTACTGCAAATTTTTATTATAATCAAATATTCAGGAAAATAACATTATTTTAATTAAAATTGTTATTAATTAATATTTATTCGAATTTTTGGAAATTTAAACTTTTAATAATTATATTTTTTGGAAATTTGAATTTTTAATAATTATATTTTTTTTTAAATTCGAAACTTTTTAAGATTCTAAATGTTGATAATTTTGAAAATTTAAACTCTTAGAAATTATAACATTTGCAAACTTAAATTTTAGAAATTTCAAATTTTTAACAAATCTATTTTTTGGAAATTAGAACTATTAGAAATTATAACCTTTGGAAAATAAAAATTTGGTAAGTTGAACTTTTTGAAATTGGAAAGCTTTTTGAAAATTGAAACTTAAAACAATTATTATATTTTGGATACTCAATTTTTGAAATTTGAATTCTTTGGAATTTGAACTTTTAAGAATTTTATCATTGGAAACTCGATTTTTGAAAATTATAACTTTTGGAGAGTCAAACTTTGTAAATTAGTACTTTTTGATATACTAAATTTTGGATATTTAAACTTTTAGCATTTATAATTTTTGATAACTCAAATTTAAGGAATTCGAACTTTTTGAAATCTAAAATTTGATACCTAGAAATTTTTGAAATTTGAAGTTTTCACTATTAAATAACATTTGAAAACTGAAACTTTGAAATTTGAATTTTTAAAAAGAACTTTTATTAATTATAACTTTTGAAAACTCAAACATTGAAATTTGAATTTTTGGAAATTCGAACTTTTTGAGATTCTAAATTTTGTAAATTTAAAATTTTAGTAATTATAAATTTTGTAATCTCAAACTTTTATCAAATCTAATTTTTGGAAATTGAAACATTTAGAAATTCGAAGTTTTTGAATTTTAAAATTAAAACTTTTGCAAATTTGATCTTTTAACTATTATAAGTTTTTGGAAACTCAAAACTTAAAATTTTAACTTTTAAGAATTATATTTTTTAGAAATTCGGTATTTGGAAATTTGGATTTTTAGAAATTATAATTTTTGAAGACTCGAAACTTTCGTAATTAGAATTTTTAGAGATTCTAAAATTTGGATATTTAAATTTTTTGTAAATTTGAACTTTAAACAATTATATTTTTTGGAAACTCGAACTATGTAAATTCGAACTTTTTGAGATTTAAAATTTTGAAAATTTAAACTTTTAGCAATTAGGTATAACTTTTGTAAACTCAAAATTAAGAAATTTCAAACTTTTATCAAATCTAGTTTTTGGAAATTGGAACATTAAACTTTGGAAATTAAAACTTTTTGAAATTTTAAATTTTGAAAATTAAAACTTTTGGTAATTAGAACTATGGTGACTTTTAAAACTGAAACTATAAAATTCGAACTTTCTGAAATTTGAACTTAAAACAATTATTTTGGAAACTGAAACTTTAAAAATTTGAACGTTTGGAAATTTGAATTTTTAAGAATTATATTTTTTGGAACTTGATTCTTGGAAATTCGAACTTTTAGAAATTCTAAATTTTGAAAATTAAAACTTTTGGAAAATTGAACAATTTGAGATTTTAAAATTTGGATATTTAAACTTTTGTCAATTATAACTTTTGATAACTCAAACTTTTTTGAAATTCTAAAATTTGAAAATTAGAACTCTTGGAAATTAACTATTATAACTTTTGGATATAAAAATTTTCGAAATTTCAAACTTTTCACAAATCTAATTTTTGGAAATTTAAACTTTTACCATTTTATTTTGTTTGCAAAATTAATATTTGAAAATTTGAAATTTTTGAAAACTTAATCTTTAGAAATTGTAACTTTTAAAAATTTTAAATCTTAGAAATTGTAACTTTTAAAAATTTTACATCTTAGAAATTTTAACTTTTAGTAATTATAACTTTTTGAAACTCAAACTCTAGAAATTTCAAATTTTAAATAAATCAAATTTTTAGAAATTTTAACTTCTAGCAATTATAACTTTTGAAAATTGAAACTTTTAGAAATTAAAAATTTTTTTTCATACCTAAAAGACTGCGTATGTGTCGCAATGGACGTCCTCTTCTGATTCCTTGCACACACATCATTCCATAGACTCGAATTCCCGGTACACTAGCATAAGTTGGTTGATCGTGGCTCATAGGTCCTTCTACATAAAAAAATAAAAAATATTGAAATATAAAAGTTTAAAAATTATAGTTTCGCATATATTTGTAACACTATTGCTAATTGGGTTAAACGTGATAAAAACAGTAAATGAGGTGATTTTAGAAGTGAAATTTAATTATATATCTTCATCGTATTATGAGAAAAAAGCGGAAAAATAAAACACCTATTAAATATATATTATCAACGATATATACTTTGTGCATTTGCAATATATAATTCTGTTCATTCAATTTAAATCACGTAGAATATAATATATTATTATTTTATGTATATTTAAAAGAGAAATAAGCTGATATTATCAGGTGTTGAAATGAAAAAAAAAAAAAAAATTGAAAATTAAATTGAAATTTACTGTTCAAGTTTGTTACTCATCTGGTTCAGTGAAATACGAGAAAGTAATAAAAAGGAAAAAAATTTTTTTTTTCTTTTATTTATATAAAAGATATTGGTGGATATTGAGAAAGAATTGCACTTTGAAAATTAATAATTGTTTTCTTTCTTTTTTTTTTGAAAATTAAAATTAATGGATTTAATTGCTTTTGAATATTCATAACAATTTTTAATACTCGAGGGTGTAATTTTAATTCTATTTTTATCGTTATACCTTATAGATAATTATCACTTTTGATAATTATTTGCTTCTTCTTTTATTTGTTTCTTATCTTGGAAGGTAGATTAAAAATTTATTATAAGAAAATATTAATTTCATTCAGTACCAATTTGGATTAAATTTTTTTTTCTTAATTTCTTCTTGCAATTACAATTTTTTAAGTATTTTAAAACTTATGAAAATTTATAATTTTTATAATTTTTATTTAAAAATAATTTTAAAAAATGTTTTTACGCAGAATTGTTATTTAAACGAATTTTCAATTTACAGACTTTTTATTTAGTCAACCTTTTATAAAAACAGATTTTCTAGTTGGCCGAATTTTTATCCAATCTAATTTAACATTTAAATGAATTTTTATTTAACTGAATTTTCATTTATAATACAATTCCAATTTCACCAAATTTCCATTTAACAGAATTTTGCCTGAGTCGAATTTTTAAATACTAGAATTTTTATTTCACAAAAACTTTATTTGCCAGAATTTTTATTTCTACGAATTGCCATTTGATAGAAATTTTGAAAACGCCGAATTTTCATTTGACCGAAATTGCAAATGACCGAACAATAATGTCCAACTGAAAAGTTTTTGCGGGAATTTTAAAATTAACCAATCACAATTTTCTTTATTTCTGATTGATTAATTTTAAAATTCGCGCCAAAACTTTTCTGTTGGATATTTTTTCGGACATTTATAATTTCGGTTAAATGAAAATTCGATAATTTGATAATTCTCTCAAATGACAATTCGTATACAAATAATGAAACTTCCGACAAATGAAGTTTCGATAAAATGGAAATTCTGCTATTTAAAAATTCGACTAAGTAAAAATTCTATTAAAAGAAAATTCTGCTAAATAATAATTTTTTTATATGAAAAAAATCTCTTTATTGAAAATTCGTTTAAATAAAAGTTTTGTCAAATAAAAATTATGTTACATGTGAATCTGTTACATAAAAATTCTTTTAAATATGAATTTAGTTAAAATAAACATTTTTAAGGGTTCTTATTAACATAACCTCAAACTAAAAAGTTGTTTTTAACAACAAATAAAACTATATATAAAAAATCCATAAAAAAATTTTGAGCAAAAAAAAGTGGTATTTTTGAGTAATTTAATTAAACAATTTATTTTTTTATTAAAATGTCCGCCATTTTGTTATTTTTGAACATTTTTTAATTTTTCCAACGGATTTTAAAAGAAAAATGAAAGCTCTTTCATATGCAAAAATAAAAAATGAGACATCTAAATTATTTTAAATGTTATAACACTTTAAAGTTTTTTTCCCCTAAATTTTAAATTAACGACGTTTCAGTTTGTCTAATTTGAAATGAATTTGATCTTTGGCAAAAAATGATGACTCAAAATATTTTTTTTGTTGAAAATATAATATAGAAATTCGAGGTTATTAAATTTGGCACTGTTGAAATTGTTGTTTTTTGGATTAAGTTATTCATACGCTTCAGCTTAAAATAGAAAATGAATTTCACTTTTTTTCTGCAACACCAAATAAATTGGTTTAATGATCAAAATTTTCCTTATTTTTCAAGCTTTAATACCGCACAAGAAAAATGAGGTGATTCGAAATAGTTAACTCACAATTTATTAAACAATGTTTGTTTTCTTTTTTGTATTTTATTTATTGTGAAACGTCTGCTATAGTTGCGCGCGACGTTCGGAAGTTGTCGCTCTCGTTATTGAGCAGAAGCTCATTACACTAGCGTAGTAGAAAGCATGTTGTGCGAAAAGTGAGGTTATGTTATCATTAAACGAAACGTAAACATTTCTGGTTATCACATTGTATGGTTTTTAATTATCTACTTTGCAGCAAAAAAATCATAAAAAAAACATTTTTGAAGGATGAAAAACCTCACTTTTCACTCAACATGTTTTTTACTACGCTAGTGTAATGAGCTTCTGCTCAATAACGAGAGCGACAACTTCCGAACGTCGCGCGCAACTATAGCAGACGTACGTTTCACAATAAATAAAATACAAAAAAGAAAACAAACATTTTTTAATAAATTGTGAGTTAACTATTTCGAATCACTTATTTTTTCTTGTGTAGTATTAAAGCTTGAAAAATCCTTTCTTAAAAAAGACAGTGCATGCAAAGCACATGAAAATGTATCGAAAACTCTCGATGGTCGAAAAAATCGAATGTAAGAAAAAATGAACTTTGCTTTCCAGAGCATCTAAATCAATATTCATTTTATAAAAATCACCTTAAATTATTGTTCCACATATATATTTTGCATAACTTACTTATTTGCAATAAATATACACTTGCAAAGTATTTATTTGTTGTAAATATTTGCAGCTGTCATGAATCAGACACGAACATAACCTACATTTAGTTTAAATCACTTCATTGGCCCAAGACAAAATAGCGCGCGCTTTTTTAAAATAATGAAATTTATTAAATTATTATGAAAATAATATTACCTTGAATAAAAAAGTGTTTTTAGTTTAAAAAAAAATTATTCAACAATTATTATTATTTTTAGACAAATTTTACAAATATAATAGATTATTATTATTTTTCTGTTTGAAACTTTCTCTATAATTACATGCCTTTTTGCATTTTGTTAACAATATTATTAAATATTTAATAAAATAATTGTAATAAATTATGAAACATAAATTGAAAATTAAATTGAATGGACAAAGAATAGAAGCAACAGAGACGGCCAAAGGCCGTCGGAGGCACTAGTAAGGAAAATTTTGATCTTTAAACCAATTTATTTGGTGTTGCAGAAAAAAAGTGAATTTTTTTCATTATTAATTGTTGTATTTTTTAAATAAACAATTGTTTTTACTTAAAAAGTGATTATTTTGGACCTTTATATTAATAAATATTATTAAAAAAATGTTTCATTTAATATCTCCATGAAGTTGGCGTCAATGTAGAATAATGTATGGAAAAATTCGACAATTTTACAACATAATCTTTAAGATCTCAGCTTTAATTTTCATTTTTGAAACTTAAAAAATGTTTTGTGGTTCCTGAAATATGTTAAAAAAGGTCTGAGCATGTTTTTCTACAACTCAGCCGTCGATCATCACGTCTTTTTGCCGCCTCGCTGCTGGCTTGTAGAAAAACATGCTCGAACATTTTTTAACATATTTCAGGAACCACAAAACATTTTTTAAGTTTCAAAAATGCAAATTAAAGCTGAGATCTTAAAGATTATATTGTAAAATTGTCAAATTTTTTCATACATTATTCTAGATTATGCCGGAAGTCAAAAACAATAGTAAGAAAGTACGAAAATTGCATAATTTTTTCTTGAAATCTTTTCGGTGTTATAATAACAAAAATAAAAAGAAAAAAATTTTCTTTGATATACATTCAGAAGCAGAATTTTATCAGCTTTCCAATCATCTAAGTTAGAAACCTCTAACTTTTTTCTAACTTAAAAATATCTTGCTTTAAAATCCACACCGAATTTTCACTCCTTGCACGTTAATCGTACCGACAATTTCCGACGGTAGTATATATATATATATATATATATATATATATGTTACGGTCAAAGACCGAAATTGGTCATTCTCCGAGAATGACCGGTCAATGTCGACATTGCCAAAAATCGTTGGTCATTGTCGACATTGTCCTGAAAATTTTACCAATGCTTATAAATATTTGACAATGCCCAAGCATTGTTGACAATGACCGGTCATTGTCGACATTGCCTAGTCACGTTTGGGCAAAGTTGTTAATCGTAATAAACAGAAAGGAATAAAAGGAATTTATTAAAATTAAAATTTATTTAAAAGGATTTTGTAATTAATTTATTTATTGCAGCATGACAAGCTACCGTGGCATTTAGAATTGCATCTTTTGTCCTGTTTTAAGCCTCGTCGAAACGATCTTTAAAATTGTTGGAATCCATTTTTGCGCGCAGAAATCGAGTGTTTCTGTACCGACAATTAACGTCAAACTAATCACTATGAACTTCGTTTATTTTGATATGACTGTAATCAATACATTATTGATGGCTCGATCACAAATGAAATTCTATTAACTTTGTTTATATCATTAACAGCGTATTCTGTGTCTACTGTTTTCAAAAATTATTTCCGAATAATTACGGAATTAATCATATTTTAAATGATTAATTAAAAATTAAACAATTTTAATAATAAAAATTTTAATTAATAATACATTTTAACAACTTTGTCCAACTTGTATCGGTCATTGTTGACATTGACCAAGAAGAACACATAATATGCATAATTTTGAACTTTGTTCGCAATTTTCAGGACAATGTCGACAATGACCAACGATTTTTGGCAATGTCGACATTGACCGGTCATTCTCGGAGAATGACCAATTTCGGTCTTTGACTGTAACATATATATATATATATATATATATATATATATATGATTCATATCAGGTTTCTATATATGTGTATATTTTATAGTTGAAAGGGACAGAGATATCCCATAACTCATAATCAAATACATTATAGATTGCCTTATATATTTGACGTAATAACTAATGTTCCAAACGAATCATGTACATATAGATATTCTGTACTATTTTCAATTTATTCTGAATACCAAAGATATACCAATGTATATTCATATAAAGAGAGATGAGATGAAGAAGATCATTTGAGAACGCGTTTACGATCCTACTACTATAACTGCGGGGATAAATAAGAAAAAAAAACCCTCACGATCGAAAGCTATTATTTACGCATTTTCCTTTTACGTTATTTCAATCATCGTTTTTCTTGGGTCAATTATTTTCTCTACATTTACTGGTAGAGTAATGCTATTTACTAGCGTCTCTATCAGTCCCGATATATCGCTTGACCATATAGTTTTATATTCCTACGATGAGCTCTGCCTACATATAAACGGAATAAAATTTGCAATACTTTTCTGCAAGGGTATATATATATATATATATATCGTCACAGGGTCGTTGTTTTTGTTAGTTGCTTTTTGTATATATATATATATATATATACAATACTTACCGAGTATGTTCGTGTCGGGACATCGACAGATCACGAGGTAATGCGACTTTCCGGTCCTGACATTTTGTAATGCAAGTAACGACCAATCCCTCGGGGCTCTGCATTCTCGCATTTCAGCAACGGGCTCGCACGTCTTCACCAAAGTCAACGCCTGAAAACCAATTAAATTGTCAGATTTCCTCTTTATCTTATTATTATTATTATTATTTTGTTATTATATATATCAGGTGAAATCCATTATCTGCATGATGTTATTTTCACTCTTAGAATCGAGAATTCCGACTACTTTTGAGTAGTACTGGTTTTAGTATTTGCCGTGTACTGATTTACATATATTTAATATATTTATTGGAAAATAACATCTTGGTTCTATTTATAATGCCGTGTGTTGATTGACAGAGTAGGTATTTAATAGTGATGGGACCATTTAGGTATCTTATTTTTCCAGTTTCCTATATTTATTTTCCACTTTCTCCTTCTTTTTTCAAACTTTCTATTTCTTATTTCCCACTTGCTAATTCTTACCCCTATATCCTACTTTTCAATTTCTGTATTGAAAAAAAATTATTTGATTCAATTAAGTGAAATTAATTGGAAAAAATATTTAGATGACGTTTTCACTGTGTGGATAAAAATCTAGGGACGCATGATTATGTTCTAAAAATAATTAGTTCATTTTATGAAATTTCATTTGTTCGAATTAGTATTTTGCAGAATTTTCATTTTATGAAATTTCATTTGTTCGAATTAGTATTTTGCAAAATTTTCATCAAAACGATTTTCTGTATTACAGAATTTTTATATAACCGAAAATTCACTTCACAGAATTTTTATTTGTCAGAATTTTTATTTGCTAGAAATTTTCATTTAACATAATAGGCATTTTAAAGAATTTTTATTGGGTAGAATTTCATTGCATAGAATTTTCTTTCAGATAAATTTTCATTTGTTCGAATTATTATTTGATATAATTTCCATAAAATCGATTTTTCTGCAGAATTTTTACTTAAGCGAAAAATCATTTAACAGAATTTCTAATTGATAGAATTTTCATTTGTCCGAAATTGCAAATGTCTGAACAAACAAACAATTTCGGCGCGATTTTTAAAATCATCTAATCAAAATTTTTTTATAAAATTGTGATTGGTTGATTTTAAAAATCGCGCCGAAATCGATTGTTTGTTCGGCCATTTGCAATTTCGGACAAATGAAAATTCTATCAATTAGAAATTCTGTTAAATGATTTTTCGGTTAAGTAAAAATTCTGCAGAAAAATCGATTTTATGGAAATTATATCAAATAATTCGAACAAATGAAAATTCTATGCAATGAAATTCTACCCAATAAAAATTCTTTAAAATGCCTATTATGTTAAATGAAAATTTCTAGCAAATAAAAATTCTGACAAATAAAAATTCTGTGAAGTGAATTTTCGGTTATATAAAAATTCTGTAATATAGAAAATCATTTTGATGAAAATTCTGCAAAATACTAATTCGAACAAATAAAAAATGCGGCTCAAAAATAATTATGACAAATGAAATTTCATAAAATGAAAATTCTAACTAATTATTTTTAGAACATAATCATATGTTCCAAAATCTTTCGAGAGGTTAAAGGCAGTAGACATATTCTGCGTCTGCGCAGAAACTTACAAACATTCTGCGCAGACGCAAAATATATCTATTGCCTTTAACCTCTCGGAAGCTTTTTATCCCTACGGTGGAAGCGGCCTCTTACTTTTTTCAAATTTTTTTTTTTATTTAAATCCAAAAAATTCGTATTTGATTCAATTAATTTAAAATTATTTAAATTACATACTTATTTAAACCAAATAAATTGTATTTCCCGTTCAATTAAATAATTAACTGAATCTAATAAATGAATTTATTTAACATAAATAATAAGTTATTTTATTTATAACAATTCATAAAAAAAAATAAAAATTCTATGCAATGAAATTCTATCTAATAAAAATTAATTAAAATGGCTATAATGGTAAATGAAAACTCCATCAAATAAAAATTATGACAAATGAAAATTCGAATAAATAAAAATTATGTGAAGTGAATTTTCGGTTATATAAAAATTCTGTAATATAGAAAATCGTTTTGATGAAAATTCTACAAAATACTAATTCGAACAAATTAAAAAAAATTTAATGCGAGTAATAATAAATGGTAAATTCAATCTTAATCAATATAATTTAATTTTAAATGAGTAAAAAAGAATGACTTTTATAAATTTGACACAAGATTGACACAAGATGAAATTCACTTTATTTAAAAATATTCCTCTTCAATTTTATAATAAAAGGTAAATCATATCTCAATTAAAACAGAAATACTTTAGTGATCAATTATAAGAAGAAAAGTTTGAAATTGTATTTCAGTATATAAATAGTGAAAAATTAATTTTTACTAAAATGAAATTATTTTTTTGAAATATAATTAAAATAATATAAAATTGCACTGAAAAAATTGTGGTGCAGCAGTTGCCACAAAAAAATTTCTATATTCAGATTAACTTCATATTTAATATTTACCATGAGTTTTTATATGATAACTGATAAATATATAGAAATTTTTCGATTGGAACAACTGCTGCACTAAAATTTTTGCCAATCTTTTTGAAGCTCGTTTTGAAGGATTGCAATCTAAAAGAGAAAATTTTATTAAAATGTTATGATGGTGATTTTGAAAAACTTTTAGAAGTGTTTTTTCAATAATAAAATATAATGAATTTATACATTTTGAGGTTAGATTGTTCCAAATACACTTATTTCTATACAGAAGTACATAAAATAATTTATTGTAATGCTATAAGTGTTCATTAAATGTTAGTAAATATTCATCTAAGTATTTCCATCTACCGTTAATTACACATTAAATACTACATTATGACATGTTTCCTAATGACCATTATACATCAGTTATTTGTATATTCATATAATTATATCATTAATGACAGAAAAATAATAAAATCAATCAAAATATAATTCGATACATTCTATATAAAAGGGGCAAAATATATTAATTTTAACTATGATGATTTCCGATTGCAATATTTATGGTCCTTTAATCTGATTGGGCTAGTTTATATAAAAACGTACCTATATATACACTGCAAAATTACCCCTTGAAAAGATTGTAGATAAAAAAGTGATTTTCTTAATTGATTTCGTTGTGCGGTATATATTATATCTCTCTCTCGATTTTCTTAATTATATATTATAGTCATCTCATCATAAATTCTGCGAGCTTTCTTTCTGCTTATAATGAAGTGAAATAGCATATGTTATTCTGTAATGAGAAATTTTCTTTTTTTTTCATCTTCTTTTTCTTCTTTATATGCATCAAGTGGCAAATTCGAAATCTTAATCGCAGCGGAAAATAACATGTTCGCACTAAAAGCCTTGACTTATTTTCTCACTTTCTCTAAACTTGACCTAAAGAATTACATTAAATCGTTTAGGTATATATTTATAAGTACTTCTGTCACGACAGGTTTTGAAAAGTAACTCTCAGACTTTTTAGAAAAAAAAAAAAAAATTTCCTTTATATACATTTAAACACTCTTTGCATGCATTTAAATATTCCGTAAATATTGCAGTGGAATTCTTTTGATAACACAGGCCTGCATGGTTTTTTTATTTTCGATATTGGAATGGTTTCCAAATGTATTTTTGTCCGCTGAACACGAACCCGGGTCCGAAAATGATCTAATAAGACAGGATTTTGAGAAAAGTGAGGGAAAAGACCTGAAAATACTTGCTTTTGATGGTTTTCAAGATTTTTTGTCTCCTTTCTAAAGTTTTCTCAAAATCATGACGTTCTGGGCAATTTTTGAACCCAGAATTGTGTTCAGCGAACAAAAATACATTGAAAATCACTCCGATATCAAAAATAACAAAAATTTTTAGGGGTTTTCGAAAAAACTTTTTCCTTACCCCCACTTTTCTCAAAAACATGACGTTCTGGGCAATTTTCAAACCCAGAATCGTGTTTAGCGAACAAAAATACATTGGAAACCACTCCAATATCAAAAATAATAAAAATTTTTGGGGGTTTTTAAAAAAAAAATTTCTTACCCCCACTTTTCTCAAAATATTTACGTTTTAGACAATTTTGGGACCCAGGATCGTATTTAGCGAACAAAAATACATTGGAAACCACTCCAATATCAAAAATAATAAAAATTTTTGGGGGTTTTCAGAAAATTTTTTTTCTTACCCCCACTTTTCTCAAAATATTTACGTTTTAGACAATTTTGGGACCCAGGATCGTATTTAGCGAACAAAAATACATTGGAAACCACTCCAATATCAAAAATAATAAAAAATTTTTTTTTTTTTGGTCTCTACCCCCACTTTTTTCAAAATTCTCTAATTTTTTGTCTTGCGCATGTGGGTTTTAAAATGTACGATTCAAGCTTTAATTGAAAACCACACGAAAGTCTCCAGCATGTTATGTTAAAGAGAAAAAAATATTGAAAATTCCAAAAAACTTGTTTCTGGGGATTTTCGATATTTTTGAAAAAAGTGGGGGTAGAGGACCCAAAAATTTTTTTTTTTTGGGTAATTTTTGATATCGGAATCGTTTCCAATGTTTTCGTGTGCGCTGAACATGATCCTGGTTTCCAAAATAGCATAGAATGTCAGGATTTTGAGTAAATTGAGAGTAAAGAGAAAACAAATTTTGAAAACCTTTAAAAACACATTTTTTAGGGTCTTAGCCCCACTTTTTTCAAAATTTAGACGTGCTAAACAATTTTGGAATCCGGAATCGTGTTTGGCGAACAAAAATGCGTTGAAAACCACTCCGATATAAAAAATAAAAAAAAATCGAATTTTGTGTTATTAAATCTGTAACGTACTTTTTATACGTTTTTTTTGTGAATATTGATAACTAAATATAGGAATAATATATCATATTGGTATATTAATTCATAAAGTAGTGGTAATTTTAATTAATGATGTATTTCTAAACAATGTCAGATTTCACTATCTCTTGTAAATCAATCGGATTTATATCATTAATATAAAACAATGTTGAGCCTTCAAGTATCTTATCATACGTATCACTATGACAGTATTCCATTAAATTGCATTTAGTATTTACATATATGTGCTCAAGGTGAATCAATCAAATT